TCAGAGTCTCCGTGTTCAACCGCATTGGAACAGGAGACACCAGTATCCCAACAAATCCCTCGGATTGCATCACTCGACCAGCTGGTAGGTTTTTATTGATTCTTTTTTAGTTGTCGCTCCAGAATCACTTCTTATTACTACGAATAACATTCACATTTTAAGGTTTTAATAAAGTGATTTTATTTTTATCAATAGCTCCATCGCGCTCACCTTCCGAAATTAAGGGTGTTCCAGGAAAGATAAATGAGTTGAGGCTGGAATGGATTGTAAGTTTTATTTCACATTTTAACTCGCAATGCTTTAAAAAAGTTTATTCAGATGAAGTTACCTTTTCTTAACAAATTCTCTTCATGTGGAAGACATGAATTGAGTCTGAACTATAACTGCTACCAAATGTAGACGTCTATACTTATGTCAGTACTATGCACGTGTCGTTGAATTAAAGTGTAACTGAAACGAACATTTAACAAAAAATTTATAACGTGTCATTTTTAGCCCGTACCACAGACTTATTGGGGAGGTCCTGGATTTAATTATACCGTTCAATGGCGTCGTCGTATGGCACAAAGAAATCGCGATGTTGGCTGGGAACAGTCTGATGTTATCACAGTTACCGACTTGGATGGAAACAACAGTTCTGTGACAGTAAAGAATCCTGGTAATAACGTTGAATGGGAGTTTAGAATTTTGGCTTCGAATGCCAAGGGTCAAGCACCAAGCTGGACCTACGGTTCCTCGTTCTCTGGTCAGAATGGTAGGCTTTCTTTAAATTTTTGCCGTTAGTTATATTTTGTGCACAGTTTGCTGGAGACGTATTGACTGTCCAATTTAAATTGTAGCTTTTGTCTTTTTTGTACCCATCCCTCTTTGGCTAACGATTATTCAATATTTGTCAATGTTTTGTTTCAATGCAATGACATGGGAATGCAATGGCAATGTTTTGCTTCAATTGCAATGGCAATAATTTGTTTCAAAAAAACAACACTTCATTGAACAGAATTGAACTGGATTATTTAGTTCTAGCAATTGTTGAAGAAGCCTATCAGAACGCTCGTAATGTACTCTTTATGTTGTACAAAGTGGTCACCTATGTCTTTTTTCTCTGTAACCTTAGCCCCAGATGTGAAACCAACGGGTCTTACTCCAGATCGAGTTACTGCAAGATCAGCAGACATTAGCTGGGGGCGAGTGACAGCAGAGGGAAATGGAACTATAAAAGGATACAAGGTAGAAATGGTTGAGTTTTTCATATTTACTATGTTGTTTAAAATGTATATCCTTGCATCTGGGAAAACTGAAGTTGAGTGAGATGTCTTGTTAAAAAGCAGAGGCGCAGCTGGTCTGTCTATGTTGCCAGCTCATCCTCGTCTGTTGATTCCAAAGCATTTCTTGTTTATTCTGTGGATCACGAGTGGATGCATTGTGGGAATTGGTTTTAGAATTTGTTCTTACTCCTTGAAATTTCGATGTGTTAAAAATTCAGTTTTGCTCGTCTAATTAAATGACGTTGTTTTAGCATTGACCCCCCATTCCATTTTTCAAAATTTCATTCTTACAACTTTGAGAGACTGAAAATATCCAACTTTATGTATTAAAATAATAATTTTTTCCGTCGAACTGAGCTCGTTTGAAGGTATCTATTTGAAAATCTAGTATTTGTGGCATTTCAATTTCCTATCTTCTGTGGTTACTTAACTTTTTATAAAATGTTACTATGACAACCTAATAATTGTTGCTTACAGATCCAATACTGGCAAGGTGGCATTGGTATGACTATTGAATACGATATGAACCCACCAAATCATACTATGATGGATCTCAAAAACATTGAGAAACAAGAAAAAGAGCTTATTGAACGTTACAGACAAAAACGCGATGTTGACGCGCTCGATAAAGCAACACGAAATCTTCGTAAAAGGGACACGAGAAAATCACAGGTAGCCAAAGCACTCACGAAACGTGATGTAAAAAGTTCAATAGTTGAACGATATTTGTCGAGCGTAGCACGTGTTCGAACGAAACGTGCGGACGAAGACGAAGATACAGAAAAAGAGGATCCCCTAGATCTTTGTTTCGATCCAAGTAAACCATGTTATCAAGATGCAAGAGATAAAGAATCGCAACTTATAAATTTGACACCATACAAAACTTATCATGTTCGCATTGCTGCATACAATAGCGGAGGACTGGGTCCTTGGTCTGATGAATTGATTTTTAACACAGCTGAAGCAGCCCCCGGTCCAGCTTATGCTGTCTTCACGTACCCATACGACAAATATTGTAAAATCACGTGGAAGGTACGTGTTCGTTCTATTGAGCAAATTTATTTTAGTATCTTGTATTTCTTTGCTCATCAAAAATATTGACTATATATGATGGTTTGGCGTCAAAATTTCTTCATTCTAGATCACTACCGCTACTAATCACTATAATTCTTGTTTCTTTATGCAGCGACCTCGTCATGAGAACGGTATAATTCGAGGTTATCAAATTTACGGTAAAGGAATAACTCGAACAAATGTTTCTTGGTATGGAAGAAGTTATATTATTTGGGGTTTAAGCCCTAATAATGTGTACGAGGCAAAGATTCGAGCAAGGACAAACACTGGGTGGGGTGTTCCCGTCTTCAGATGGTTTCAAACACACGCCGCAGGTAATTGATATTTTAAATTGAGCTCCCAGAAAACTTTTTTTTTGTTTTGTTGTTGCTGAATAAACAAGTCTTTACTCTATCAAGATTTTATTGCCAGTTTTCATTGCTACTAGTGATGAATAAACAATAGAGAACGTGATTAAAAAACAAAAGAAAAGAAGAGTATCTTACACGCTCTATCGTTTAACCCCCCAAAAACGCGTGCTTCTGCGTAAGGAGTATCGATAAATGGGAGGCTCCTATTTATGCATGTAAAAATCCGTAGAAAACAATGGATTTCAAAAGAACTTTCTTCGGTATAACATGCATATTATATTTTAAGTGTCCACACTCATCGACTTTCCTGCAGCCAAGAACTTGTGTATGAACTTATAAACAAGAAATTTTGGGCAATGATTTCTGTGATTTACTTCGCTCAAATTCTTGTCTCAATCAATGATGAAGTAATGTTTTTACATAGAAAAACCAGCCAAACCTCTCACGCCTGTGGTCGTGGATATGGTCAGGATGGTGCAAATGTGACCTTCTTGCTACCTAAACCCAAAAATCTACGGAAATTTGGCGGCGAGTTGGACGAAGAGCCATGGGAATTACGACCTGTAGGGGGCTTTGAAAATGAACACATTGGTGTCGGGGGGTACCCTGAGACATTTTTTGTTGTGTATCGTCGTAAGGGGAGCTCACGTTGGGAAACAACAGAAGAGAGACAGTTGTATGGTCCTCGTAGGCAGGCCTGGATTGTTATTGAAAATCTTGTGGCGGACACTTTGTACGAATTTGCTACGATTCCTAAAAATGAGAAAGGGCAAGGACCTCAGAGTGAATGGGCTGTTGGTTTGACTGGAGGAATTATTCGTATGTATCTCTAAATTATAGTGTTTATGCATTATGACATTTAATTCCTCGCTTGTGTGGGTTGGGACTGATGTTTCTGCTCTTTTACAAATTCAAAAGCCTCATAATCTTAATTCATTGTTTTACAGTGTATGATGAAAATATATGAAAAGCAGGACTACATGCTCTGTCACTGTCAGTGTTGTAATTTAGACTGTATCTTGTGATGATCAAACATCTTGAATATTTACAGCAAGAATCCAGAAATTTTATTGGTATCAGCGAGATTGGTTTGTGTCGCTTATTATTTTAACGTGTGCAGCGATGGCATTGTTTCTAGTCATTCTTTGTACGACATCTCATCTTAAAAAGATTTACTATGAAGGTATAGATTACCATTGCGTCTTGCATTGAGTAAATACAGTTATTCGTCTTTAATTCATCTTAAAGTTAAACCTTTTTTTTCAACGTTGTAAGGTGCTCCTAAACGACGTAAAGAAAGAATAAGACAGAAAATTTATGAACCGGAAGATGTTGATGGAGGTTTTCGTGATTTTACATTGAGGTCAGCCAGAAGGTAAGCAATGGAAAGATATCGTTATGTTGCCAGCAGACAACTATAGTTTTGGATAAAAAAACATGACGTATCTTCGTTGCAGTACAACTGTCGTGACCAACCAAAGCGATGCTCCTCCCCCATATTCGGACGTTGCCAGCTTAAGCAAACACTCAGCAGATGACGATGATGAAGATGACTCTGACGATGAAAAACATGAGTTAACTTACCCAGATGAGAAAAAAGTGCCTTTGGATGATCTTGATGATGACGATGAGAACACTTCATTGGCAACGTTTGTGTAAACAACTTGGAACAAGATAAGATGCTTTTATTGTCTGAAAACTGTGGACAACCACTTTTTGCACCTCTTCGTACATGTATTTTTTTCTTCACCTTGTTAACTGTCTAGTATTTTTAAGTATAATGGGCGTATGACCTGAGATTATGTTAATTTCATATCACCTTACGATTGTCCACGTCCATTAAAGGATTTTGCCCTTTTTAGTAGCATTTTCAAAGACAATTAAATACAACGCCTTTGTTTTTCTGATTTGCTCTTCAAAGCGGCGTGTAGTGATGTTTTATTTATAAAGCTTTGTCGTATTATCTTTATTGCAATGTTTACAGTGTACACTTTTGTAGCTGACTTACATATTTTATCATCGCAATAAACTTCTACATTGTATGTATCATTATTGTCCTATTTTTGCTTTATTAAAGAATAGTTGGAAATTTGTGAGTTTTCATCTTTTAAACTCAGAGTATACAATGTGTATATAGCTGTCGAGTTTTACTATTGCTAGAGCAATGGCAATAAATACATGAAACAAGACTGATACTTTAAGTGTTGTAAACGCATATCTTGATTGTAAACATGATTTGTAAAATAAATGGGGTTAACCTTGAAAGATTCTCGCAACTGAAGTTATGGCCTTTTAATGACTTTAACTTTTAAAATGGTTTCTTGCAGAAAACTCCTGATGAAGAGAAGCTACGTGTGTTGAAGACTAAAGTCAGCAAAGTGATGCCTTGAAATCTTAAAAGAGAACTTAGTTTTTTCATTGGAGAAGTTTTGGTAGAATTATTTTTTGTTCATTTGCTTTCCCGTGTACAATCTCATCTGGTTCTTTTGCGATGTTCTAGTGAAGATGCCGAAACTGAAATCAAAATGCAGTTGATCTTTGGGTCTATCGATTAGGATTGGGAATTGAGTTAGAATTAGGGATAAGGGGTTCAAGGTCATGTAAATGTAAAGCCAGGGTAAGTCTTGTAATATGATCAGTGCATAAGTGAGGTGCGGTCAAATTCAAGATGGCGTCAATTTGTTTATTTTTTAGCGGCTAGTCAGTGCGTTATGAGGGAAAAAAATGCTATGTGGATTAATTTGTTGACGTCTATGAGTTTTCCTAAGAAAAGGTAATGTACATTTTTTGTTAGTTCTTTTTTCGTAAAAACTTTTAATGTAATTTACTACTATTTTTTCTTAATTATTTTTAAATTGTTTGTGGTCATTTGTATAACATCAACAGCACCAATTATTTTCTGTGTGTTATAAATGCTTTTAAACCAGGCGCAGTACGAACCAACAGCAACAGGTTTTGCCTATGTTTTGTCATTGTACGTATGAACGATATTTTTTATTATTTTATGTCAAATTTTCAACATTAAAAAATCATAAATAAGTACCGCTTCGAAAAATGATGAGCCATTAAATTGATAAAGAAGATGTATAACGTGTAGTCTTTGCAAGTGGGACAAATTTCGTTTTTAAAACATGTAGATTTGTGAACAATAGTCATGTATTATGTAATTATAATGAGAAGTTATTTTCATCAAATTTTTACGCTTCACATAGCTATAGCTTTTTATTTAGACATCTAAGGCAACCTAGTTAAAATGAAATGCTCCAAAATGATGCAATTGCAAAATAATTTCATGTAAAAAGAATAGCATTTCGTTGGAATGTAATATTTTAATTTGTTTTTAAGTACTTAACATTACATTTCACCTTGGTACGCTTGGCTATCACTGCTGGCAGTTGGCTAGACAAGTAGAACATTTGCATATGTATAAACTATATTTTGGTTTAAATATAAAGCCTTTTTGTTCTCAGAAAAAAATAGGAGCGATGAAGACAATACTGATGAAGACAATTTTTGATGATTTTTTTAAAGCAAATTAAAAGTTATAATCCCTTATGTCATATTTTGTGACTTTGCTCCGTTACAATTTTTAAATATGCCAGCCAATAGAACGTCACATGCATGTGGCTACCGTTCATTCTAAGTGAGAATTGCGAACAAACCATGCAGTGCATGTTAGAAGGCAGGAAGTGAAACTATTTTTGTTAGAAATACTTAAAATTCTTATAAGTTCTTATTAAATATCACAATATCCATCAAAACTAGCGTAGGCTAAAAACTCATTAATATCAATATTTCGACATTTTAACTATTTTAAAAATACGTCTGCAATCCGAACGCTTAGACCATCTATTTTACGAAATGCATTGCAAGCATCATTCAAATACATTTCAGTAGGTCGTTAATCTAATAATTGGTGGGGACTGTTTCATATATGCATGTTATAATCCAAAAGTCAATTGATTTCAAAGAACCTTAAAATGGCAAAACATACATAAATGATAGTCCCCCCCCCAGATCATGCTGGCGATACCACTGCATTTGTAATGGTATAAAAAATTATTACTAAGCTGTGTTTTAGCATTAATTTATCATTATTACTTACCTGTATACGTTTTCAGCTATGAATATGAGCAGATTCTCTTGTCAAGGCTTAAGTGCGTTCATTCCAGTTTTAAAATCTGACGCTTCTTTCGAAACTGTCTTTTTGATGACGAGCTTTCGACAGGGATAACTGTTATATGCTAAAACAAGCGTTTTTGTTGTGTTTGTTTGTCTAGTTTTACGTCATGATTGATATTTACACTTCGTTTACTCTAAAGATGGTTTATTGCTCAGGATGTCGAAACATCAGTCAATATTAACACTACAACAATCCTTCTAAAGACTTTACTTAACTAGACGATCAACATCTACAAACATGTAACGATACTACCTGGTTCAAGCAATTCACTTTAATCGCAAATTGCACCTATGGCAGTGACTGAAAACCATTTAAAACCATTAAAAAAGCGTAAGACACGAGCGGTGATTCCAAAGTATCAAATCTGTTTCGATAACCAAAATATTTCGAAATGTTGACGAACAGATAGACACAATATCAGTTCACTGACTTTGAAAAACTTCAATATCTGTTAATATTTCAATATACCACTAAAGCCTAAAGCAAAGTGTTTTTCAGTTAGTTTTTAAGTTGTGCAACAATTAGAATATACTTGTCGCCCAAATTCCTTTAGTCACATTGTCAAAGCTAAATAGCTTTCGTAGGACTTTAACATAGGCATGGAAGAACATAAAGTATTATTCTAGACATGAAAAACTCATGTTCTGGAATCAAAAATTGGTCTCAAAATTTGTCTATTTAGTTTTTTTCTTGAAGGTAAGGGTGTGCTTCCAAATTATTAGCGTTTTTACTCACTACATTAATTTTTGCTATCGTGCTTAACTCATCTTGATGTCAATTGAAAAATTCCCTTTTCTTGTTTGTTTTGTCAAAATCCTATGGTGGTTGCCAATGTTGATATTGAGCAAATATTTTTTTGTGTTGTTCTGTCTTTGAGTTTCATATGAAACGCAATATACTTTAATGTATCAAAGCAAAAATGCATTGTTTTGTTAATACATACCAAAATAAAGTAAATAAATTAATTTTGAGTTGGGAGAATGTAAAGGTACGTGCATATTTAGTATTCAATTTTAATGTCTTTTTCGTTAGCAACGTTCAGCGAGAGTTATGTATATAATAAAGATATCGTCTTTGAAAGAATTTCAATATACGAGCTCTTATTGTTTGTGTATGTCGCTTTTGGGCTTTCGTTAATATTTGTTCGTGTTTGCATTATTTTCTAGTTCTACAAAAATGATTTGGGTACTTTTCTCTGTTGTCTTTTTGGCATTCGCATCGACAGGTAGCGTCTACACTTAATTCCATAAAGTCATATTAAAACCTCGTTCACATTGCACCCGATAACGATCCGATAACGATGCAAAAAAAATAGCTCGCTATTCAAACTCTAATGTGCGGTCACATTGCAGCGATAACGATAACGATTTTATCGTTGGTGTGTGACCATTGAATATCCTTGTAGTTTACCGTTATCATTCATCGTTATCGCTATCGTCAAACATTATGACCGAGGCTTAAAATCTTGTCCTATGATTTTGTGAGTAGTTTAGTTTAATGTAAGTTTAATAAACATTTACAGGCAACACTCAGGAACAAAAACCACAGCTGATTACTACTGAAATTAGAGACTACTATGGTTACATAAAAGACTTTGAAGGATTTTTATGCCAGGCAAAAGGAACAAATCTCAAATACAGATGGCAACATAATGACCTTGTAGTGGATCCTGATTACATTCTCAAGTTTCCAGTTACAAACTCTTCAACACTGAGACCTATTATTGGATATGTTGACAAAAGTTATGATGGTTTTTACCAGTGTTTTGTCAGCAACTCCATTGGGACCATCTTTGGACGGAAACACATCGTGCAGTTTACAAGTAGGTCAAGTTTCTTTGGTTTATGTAATAATCGAAGCAAATGTGGAACGCTCATGTATGCCTTCCGTTATGAACTCTGCAGTTGTGTAAAGTTGTGATGGGAAGTTTGTTAGTATATTCTGGGAATTCAATGTTATTCTTAGTCATAAAGATTTTGTTCATTTTGCAGTTGTTGGTGAATTTCTTGATGCTTCAAGTAAAACTTCTAATGTAAATGGTGAAGTGGGCTCACCATTCATGATAGATTGTCCACCTCATCAAGAAAGTCAGCGGGTCACCTATAGATGGTGGTATGACGCTGATGGTGAAAGTTCACCATTACCTGCTAAAGAACATTATTTTGTTTTACAAAATGGAACATTGGTTTTTTCTATTCTCCGCGATACAGATGTTGACTTTATCAAAATTAATAATGGAATTTTTTGTCAAATCAGTGCCAAAGTTGACGATGATCGTACTTCACGTGACAGTAAGAAAATTATCATTGTAAAGACAACTACAGGTAGTGCTATATTTTCTTTAGGTAATATTATATCTACTTTAAGTGATACTAATTCTCTCTCAGCTAGTACATTGCTATCCCATTCAGGTTATACAATGTTCTTTCATGTTGCACCATATCCCTTATTGATCATACATAAACACCCTTCTATGTCTTTTTCTATCCTCATCAGCTAATTCATTGTTCTCTTAAGGTTATTTAAAAGTACCATAAATAGGAGATGTTTTCATATATAAGTATGGCACTCATAATAGTAAAAATACTGATGAAATGGTGGTTTTTTTATAGTTACACCAACACGAAGAAGACCAAACATAATAACAGACATTGGAAGTAAAACTATAGATATAAATACACAGTCTTTAACATTGAAGTGTTTTGCTGTGGGATAGTAAGTATAATATGTTAATATTTGTCAAGCGTCCGCCGGAGGGTTTAAATATTTTTATTGATTTTAGTCCTCAGCCAAAGTTAAAGTGGTACAGAATTAATAGCATTGACAATGCTGAAGAATTAATAACTAATGGAAAAGATTTCAGGCTTGCACGTTACAACCAGCATTTGACTATACCAAATGTGGCAGACGGTAAAGCTGGAAAATATCGATGTAAGGCAGAGAATTCTGAAGGAACAGCTGAGAAAGATGGAGTGGTGACTGTTGCAGGTGGTTGGAAACTGTTTTTGGCTTTGAATTCTTTCAAGAAATTTACGATTCTTTTATTTTTTCATTTATTTTGATAATCTTATGTCTGTAGAACAGCCTCAATGGATGACAAATGGTCAGTTAAAAGATACAGAACCACCTCTCTACAGCCGTTTGACATGGTCCTGTGGTGCATTTGGTGGAGTGAAATATTCTTGGTTCAAAGACGGAGTTGATTTATCCGGAAAGTTAGTGAATTAAAACATTTTATATTTTGAAAGGACAAAGAACTTTCTTTTAAAACACATATATTATTCCGCCCAGGCTGTTTTACAACTAATGTCTTCAAACAGCTTATTTTCAAATTTATTTTTCATTCTGTCGCCTCATTTGTAAGAAATATTCGACACATACTTATATCAGAAGAGCATCATCTTGTTTACTGAAGGCTTAGTCTACAAGACGAGTCAAGAGATGGAAATTTAAAGTAATGTTTTGACTATATTCCATAGTCATTCGATAAAAAAAGATTTTTTAAAATTTCATCTTTAAGTTGTTTGTGTCCTTATGTCATTTTTCGTAAGCGATATTTGATTTGTTCACTTTGTTGACCTTACTCATAGCTAAACCTGTTCGAGGGTAATCTTGCCTATTAAAATAATAAATTATTAGTCTTTTGTTCCCATGACTGAGGAAATACTATTGTTGTCATTTTAATTAGTTTTGCGTAGTTGCGTTTTACCAAAACTTAAACTGAAACCAGTTAAAGATGTTTGATTCACAAAGTAAAGAATGCGATCATTTCAGTTCTATCTTTTATTGTGTGTATATAGAACTGGAAGCGGTCGGATAGTCATAGATGATAGAAAAAACGAAGGAATATCTTACTTTACAATTACAAATGTGACAGACCTAGACAATGGAATGTATCAATGCACAGCAGCTAATGAACTGGATATTCTTTACTCCAGCGCCCGATTAAAAGTATTTGGTATGTTTTTCATCTCTGAAATTTTGTTCGCTATATTTCTTCTTAGGACCTTCCTTTAAGAGGTTGTGTATAATTTATAAATACGACTGAAGACTTACAGAAAACCCACTCTTTTAAAATACAATTTTTATGATTTTTTCTTCCTTGTGTGCGTGCGTATGATGTAAATGTTTGTGGTTTATCTGAATTATGTTGATTGTTTTGTTTTGCTTTTAGAGAAGAAACCTGAATTCAAGCAAGAAATGGGTCCTGTAACTCTAATTGAAAATACCACTGGTATCATTATATGTCCTGTTTTTGGTTCTCCTTTACCGAAAGTCACGTGGAAAAAGAATGACTTGATCGTTTTGAGGGATGGAGTGGGTGTTGTACGACCGGGCGCCGATAAATCCCGCTATACACTTAGTAGTAATCAATTCGATCTGTTGATCTCTAATGTGCAAAAAAGTGATGAAGGTTCATACAGTTGTCGTGCTGTGAATCGTCAAGGTTCTGTTGAAGGATTCAGTGTTGCAAAAGTCGGCAGTAAGTTTTATTTTTTTTTTCATTGTTGTGTAGAGGCATAAAATACCCCATTATTTGTGATTGCACTTCTGTGTCACAGAAGCAAAAATAACTCCATGAATGGCTTGTTTAACCCTTTAGAACCCACTCTAGCATCACAGCAACAATCACCAAACGAAACATGTTCGAACTTTCGAGGAAGTTCGGGTCATACGGGGTTGATTTTCCCTACCATGACTGGCTTATTAAATCATTATCCTTTCCATGAATGGCTTATTTTATCATTTTATCTTTCCATGATTATTTTGTGTATTTGAAGGTGTTGACAGCAAATAGTTTTTTATTAAGGGCCTTTTGTAACCAACACCGTCAAATTTGACGCGATATCTTCTACAGATATATGAAAAGATGTTTGCAAAAGCAGCGGTATGGCTCAGAGGCCTGGGTCGAAAACGAACATGCATACAAAATTAGAAATTTGTACTCTACTTCTCCTTTCGTTGTTTATCTCTAATAAACACTCAATGTACGAGCATATGACGATTTTTCTTTTTTCATACAGAGGGCATTTCATGGGTAAACGTTCCAGTAAGTAATGACAATGTTACCGTTTCTTTTCGTTTTGAACTGGACTGTGAAGCAGAAGGCGACGATAGTTATGAAATCAAGTATCGTTGGTTACGTAATGGTTTACCGCTGCAATATAGCGCCCGTATTCACTGGGTGAAGGAAGCTTACAGGCTGGTTGTACTGGACGCAATAGTAAGTGGTAAACTGGAGTGATATTGCCTATGGCTCCCTTTTATTTTTAAATAAAGTAGTCTTACTTTATTGTTTGCATTAACACAACTTGGTTGTATTTGATCCAAACTGAGCTCTCCGATAATTAAAGTGATATTTTGAACGTAGTTTATGAAAGAATCAACCGCCACTTTAACTTTGTTTTACTACGTGTCACGTGAATGTATGTTAATAATTTATCCTCATCAGGTGGATGACACTGGTACCTATACTTGTATTGCATCAGCAGAAACACCGCTGTACATTGAAAGGAGGAAAGATGTTGAGATCATTGTCAAAGGTACTGTACTATATGAATGATTTACACCTCTACTGTGTTCAATATTTATAAGCTTCTGTTTTCTATATTTATACATTAGACATAGTAAGTCGTTGGTAATGCGGAAGCATTATTGCAGTATAGACGATATATGTAGTTATTTCACAAAATAAATTATAACCAAAATTTTATACACGTGTATAAATGTCAATTTTATACTACATGTGATTTCGTTGACAGCACCTGCCAACCCCCCTGACATTGTTAGAGTTGAGGGCAGTTGTTGGGATAAAAGTGCTAGTTTAACATGGCGAGTTGGAGCATTAAACAATGAAGAAGTTTATGCATACTTCATTGACTGGACGACTGCTTATGACCGCACTACGTGGACACGTCTTGTCAGAATTTCAGAATATGAAAACCTAAGGTCGTATAAACTGGACTTTACTAAACTTCCAGCGTATTCACAAATATCCTTCAGAGTCTCCGTGTTCAACCGCATTGGAACAGGGGACACCAGTATCCCAACAAATCCCTCGGATTGCATCACTAAGCCAGCTGGTAGGTTTTTATTGATTCTTTTTTAGTTGTCGCTCCAGAATCACTTCTTATTACTACGAATAACATTCATATTTTAAGGTTTTAATAAAATGATTTATTTTTATCAATAGCTCCATCACGCTCACCTTCCGAAATTAAGGGTGTTCCAGGAAAGATAAACGAGTTGAGGCTAGAATGGATTGTAAGTTTTATTTCACATTTTAACTCACAATGCTTTAAAAAAGTTTATTCAGATGAAGTTACCTTTTCTTAACAAATTCTATTCATGTGGAAGACATGAATTGAGTCTGAACTATAACTGCTACCAAATGTAGACGTCTATACTTATGTCAGTACTATGCACGTGTCGTTGAATTAAAGTATAACTGAAATGAACATTCAGCCAGGAAAATTATCGCGTGTCTTTTTTAGCCCGTACCACAGACTTATTGGGGAGGTCCTGGTTTTAATTATACCGTGCAATGGCGTCCTCGTACGGCATCAAGAAATCTCCAAGCTGACTGGACTGATTCTGATGTTGTTACAGCTAAACACTTAGATGGCAACAAGAATTCTGTGACTGTAATGAATCCTGGTGATAACGTTGAATGGGAGTTTAGAATTTTGGCTTCGAATGCCGAGGGTCAAGCACCAAGCTGGACGTACGGTTCCTCGTTCTCTGGTCAGAATGGTAGGCTTTCCTTAAATATTTGTTGTTAGTTAAATTTTGTGCACAGTTTGCTGGAGACGAATTGACTGTCCAATTTAAATTGTAGCTTTTGTCTTTTTTGTATCCATCTCTTCTTTATTAGTTTGAAAAAACCACACTGCTTTGAAGAGAATGAGCTGGATTGTGCAGCTCCTACCCTAATCAGGATGCTGTATTTTATCTTGTATAAAGTAGAGTTTATTATCTCTTTTTTGTTCTGTGATTTTAGCTCCAATATCAAAACCAATGGGTCTTACTCCAGATCGAGTCACTGCAAGATCAGCAGACATTAGCTGGGGGCGAGTGACAGCAGAGAGAAATGGAACTATAAAAGGATACAAGGTAAGAAGGGTTTGTTTGGTTTTTTAGAATAATGCAAAGAGACTTTGTTTTTGCGTAATACTTAATTTTGATTGATAAGACTTGTTAAAATCAAAGGCGTAGCTTGTCTATGTTGCAAGGTCATCATCCTATGTTGAGTCCACACAAATACCTGATTGCTAATTGTTTGAGTTGTCAAGAAAAAAAATTATGTAAAAGCTTATGACTATCAAAGTTTATAAAAATGAAGATGTGTTCTAAAGCTCTGAACACGATTTTCTAACGTCATTATTTTATTGCCAAGCCTACGTTCAGGTAGTCAATTTTGAAGGCTTAGTAAATGATAACGAAAATATTGCCAATGCTAAGGACATGACAAGCTGAACTTTTAGCTACGCTTCTGCACTAAGGTGTAGAGATGATTCTACTCCAATCAAAGGGATTCATTTTTATTTTAGGTGTAATATCGTTTTGCCAATTAGTCAATCAGAGCATTTGCTGAACAAAAAAAAGACAAAACTAAGTTCATACACAACAATGGATACACTAAATCATGGATTAATGATTACATTAACAATATATACACTAAGAATATAAGAACTTCTTATGAAAATTGAGTTTATCGGTTTTCTGGGGGAAGGTATATATGCCAAAAGCAGACATGTCACGATGACAACAAAGCAATTACCATTTTCAGATCCAATACTGGCAAGGTGGCATTGGAATGAATATTGAGTACGATATGAACCCACCAAATCATACGTTGATGGATCTCGAGGATATTAAGATACAAGAAAATGAGCTTATTGAACGTTACAGACAAAAACGCGATGTTGACGCGCTCGATAAAGCAACACGAAATCTTCGTAAAAGGGACACGAGAAAATCACAGGTAGCCAAAGCACTCACGAAACGTGATGTAAAAAGTTCAATAGTTGAACGATATTTGTCGGACATTGCACGAAGTGTGAGCAAGCGTGATACACGTTTTGTGAACGTTGCACGTGTTCGAACGAAACGTGAGGATGAAGGCGAAGATACAGAAAGAGAGGATCCCCTAGATCTCTGCTTCGATCCAAGTAAGCCATGTTATCAAGATGCAAGAGATAAAGAATCGCAACTTATAAATTTGACACCATACAAAACTTATCATGTTCGCATTGCTGCATACAATAGCGGAGGACTGGGTCCATGGTCTGATGAATTGATTTTTAACACAGCTGAAGCACCCCCCGGTCCACCTTATGCTGTCTTCACGTACCCATACGACAAATATTGTAAAATCACGTGGAAGGTGCGTGTTCATTCTATCGAGCAGATTTATTTTAGTATCTTGTATTTCTATCACATTTCGTGTGGTTGTAGAAAATTTTACAGAAAATATGTGAGTTTGAAAAAGAAATTCTTTGGTCATTAAAAATATTGACTATACATGGTGGCTTGGCAACAAATTTTGCTCATCCAAAACCATAAACAAAAAAAATTGATCCTAGATCACTACCGCTACTAATCACTATAATTCTTGTTTCTTTATGCAGCGACCTCGTCATGAGAACGGTATAATTCGAGGTTATCAAATTTACGGTAAAGGAATAACTCGAACAAATGTTTCTTGGTATGAAAGAAGATATATTATTTGGGGTTTAAGCCCTAATAATGTGTACGAGGCAAAGATTCGAGCAAACACAAACACTGGATGGGGTGTTCCTGTCTTCAGATGGTTTCAAACACATTCTGCAGGTAATTGAAAGTTTAATTTGAGCTCCAAGATAACATTTTTTTGTTTTGCTGTTGCTGAATAAACAGTAGAGAACGTGAGCAGTCTTTACACTATCAACATTTTATTGCCAGTGTTTATTGCAACTAGTGATGAGTAAACAATAGAGAAGCAGAAATTGACTTTGAAAAACATAAAGCTTAGACAAGAATTGAACTCGGACACTAGTCCGTCCAATTCTCTGTCTGCTGAGATTGTAGTCGAGTCAAATTTGTCATTTATTGCTATTAGACAAAATATTGCCACGACAGTAGTCTTGATTGCACCGTATTTAGACTTAATTCTAATCCGTCATTAGATAATCAAGAATTCAATTTAAAACTTGACGGGTAGATAATCAAGCATATTAACATCCCGAAGTTGGGAATCAAACTCTCATCTAAGTCACGTGTTTTTATCTTAGTAAAACTTCTCAGTTTTTTATTTCTGATTCTCTGATTATAGCTTTGGAATAAAAAAAGCACGGTCGACGTTATATTTTTAGTTATTTTGTGTAACTAATGATAAAAAAGCAAAAGAGACAGAGAGCAGTTCTTACACTGTCTCACGTACAAACAATCAATGATGACGTAATGTTTTTACATAGAAAAACCAGCCAAACCTCTCACGCCTGAGGTCGTGGGATATGGTCCGAATGGTGTAAATGTGACCTTCTTGGAACCCGAACCCAAAACTCTCCAGAAATATGGCGGCGAGATGGACGAAGATCCATGGGAATTACGACCTGTAGGGGGCTTTGAAAATGAACACAAAGGTGTCGGGGGGTACCCTGAGACATTTTATGTTGTGTATCGTCGTAAGGGGAGCTCACGTTTGGAAAGAACAGAAGAGAGACAGTTGTATGGTCCTCGTGAGCAGACTTGGATTGTTATTGAAAATCTTGTGGCGGACACTTTGTACGAATTTGCTACGATTCCTAAAAATGAGAAAGGGGAAGGACCTCAGAGTGAATGGGCTGTTGGTTTGACTGGAGGAATTATTCGTATGTATCTCTAAATTATAGTGTTTATGCATTAGGACACTTAATTCCTCGCTTGTGTGGGTTGGGACTGATGTTTCTACTCTTTTACAAATTCAAAAGCCTCATAATCTTAATTCATTGTTTTACAGTGTATGATGAAAATATATGAAAAGCAGGACTACATGCTCTGTCACTGTCAGTGTTGTAATTTAGACTGTATCTTGTGATGATCAAACATCTTGAATATTTACAGCAAGAATCCAGAAATTGTATTGGTATCAGCGAGATTGGTTTGTGTCGCTTATTATTTTAACGTGTGCAGCGATGGCATTGTTTCTAGTCATTCTTTGTACGACATCTCATCTTAAAAAGATTTACTATGAAGGTATAGATTACCATTGCGTCTTGCATTGAGTAAATACAGTTATTCGTCTTTAATTCATCGTAAAGTTAAACCTTTTTTTTTCAACGTTGTAAGGTGCTCCTAAACGACGTAAAGAAAGAATAAGACAGAAAATTTATGAACCGGAAGATGTTGATGGAGGTTTTCGTGATTTTACATTGACGTCAGCCAGAAGGTAAGCAATGGAAAGATATCGTGATGTTACCAACCGACGACAATCGTTTTTGTTAAAAAAACATGACGTATCTTCGTTGCAGTTCAACTGTCGTGACCAGCCGAAGCGATGCTCCTCCTTCATATTGGGACGTTGCCAGTTTGAGTAAACACTCAAGAGACGACGATGATGAAGATGACTCTGACGATGAAAAACATGAGTTAGGTACGTATTACTCAGATGAGAAAAAGTTGCCTTTGGATGATCTGGATGAGGAAGATGAGAACACTTCATTGGCCACGTTTGTGTAAACAACTTGGAACAAGATAAGATGCTTTTTTGTCTAGTGAAAATGAACGTTTCAAAATTGTGGATAATCTACTTTTCATCTTTTTATACATGTATTTTTTTTCTGACTTTGCAACCTATTTGGAGTTCTTACTTCTTAAGAAATAGATTTCTAACGATGTAATTAATTTCTATCACCATAAAATTAGCTACGTTTAAACAACGGTAAAATTATTTCCCGCTCGTTTTTACCACCTTTTATTGTGATAAGGTTGGAGGAGCCTTTTTTGTTTTCACTTTTCACTTTCTTATATTGTGACATCTGACTCACTGGAGTGCGTAGTTTCTGTCGCTACAATATTCCAGTAAGTCGCTAAAACCTGAAAATGAAACCAACGTATAAACAGTACCGATGTGACCTAGGTTTGCTGATTGAGAATCTGTTACGGCACTAGTTGTGTCAAATCGAAGAGTTATGTCAAACGGCTTTACGAAAGGGGATGGGTTTTCTGTTAAAACTACGAACGTGAAATTCAAGACATATGCATAATAAAGCGTAACATTTGCATGTGTACTGTGTGGGGTGGGGAGGAGGGTTGTATACTTAATCCAAATACTGATTAAATATGTAGCATTTGCAAGGGAAATTTTAAAGAGTAAGACCAGAAACTTGCATAAGAGTTGTAGTACAAGTCTGAAAATGAATGATTTTACATTTGAATTTTAAAGTGACGACACGTTCATCCTAAGCCTACCAGTCGAGCACTGGCTTAGTAATTAGAATCCGTAATTCGCGCCATTATGGAAATTGGAGAAGTTCAATATGGTGGTACAGTCACTGTCACCATTAGATGACTTCAGCGCTTGTTGATTCTTATTTGATCACTGTATAAAAACGACATTTTGACTTTTTATTTTGCAAGCAATGAAAGATATGGTAGCTACTATAAGTAGTGCCAGAGACTGGCCGTGGAAAGATATGCAAGTCAGTATTCTTATTGAGATGAAATGTGAAAGCGGGGAGATAGTTATAAAAAAAATACGCTTGTTGTTTTTTTTCTCAGACCATCGACAGCTTGCTTCGTTGCTCAATATGCGGGGAGTTTTTTACAAATACTAATTTTATTCCATCATGCTCTCATAACTGTAAGTATTTAAGAGATTTCACGAAAGAAAGTGTGGTATTTTAGCATTAAAATTACAACTACCAAAGAGTACTTTAAGCCCTGAACATACATGCTCAGCATTTTCTGAATTATTTTTTTTGTATAGATTGTTCTCTATGCATACGAAACTATCTTAATGTTGATTCAAAATGCCCAATGTGCGGTGTAGTAAGTACGACATTTTATGTAGAATGATATTATTTGATAACTAGGAAATTGCCTCATATTAGTGGACAAAATGTGAATGTTGATTGTAGATATTTCATGGTTGTATATAGCCTGTTCAAGATAGCCAACTAAGGAACAACAGAATCATAGATGAAATTGTGAAAAGTTTTACAAAAATAAGGTTTGTCATACAGCAGTGTTTACTCTTTATGAGTGAATTCTTTGTCAAAATTCTGTTTATCTCATTATGTATAGGAATGATCTGTTACAGTTGTTGAAAAGCTCTTCATCAAAAGACACAACTAGAGTTGAAGTAAAATCAAAGACCTCTGGGAATGAGGTAAGTTCTTATTCAATCAAAAGTTTTTAATTGCCTGTTAAAGACAGGTTTTGTTATGCAATAGATTTAGCATCATTCAATCCCTTCATGTAAGTTAAACCATACCCATTACATTATGATCCTATGTAAGGTCTTGTGACCATTGGTGATCTTATCATGATGTAAGTATGATTATTACTGGAATGTTGAGTATCCTCTTGATGTATTTATGTGATCCTCAGTGATACACATGTGAAACTCAAATTTATAATTATGTATCAATATAATTTATTTAATATATTTCACATTAGACGCATCCCTGTAAGAAAGGTGAAACACCTCGTGCAGATAAAAAGTATTCTCATAAGCGAAATCGTCAAGATTCCAGTTGTTCTTCATCAAGCAATGAACAATGGTCACCCAGTCTTCAACACAAAAAACTTAGGAACTTATGTGATGATAGTTCAGATACTTCTGAAGAGTTGATACAAGAAAACAATAAAAAAGGAAGTCAATCATATGTGTCAAAACAAAAAAAGAAAACATCCTGCAGAAATGAAGAAGATTTGAGTTAGTACTTTTGGGAACAGGGGCACACTTAGAGGAGGTACAGGGGCATGCCTGGAGGGGGTACAGGGGCACATTCAGAGGAGGTACAGGGGCATGCCCGGAGGGGGGTACAGGGGCATGCCCAAAGGAGGTCCAGGGGCACACTCAGAGGAGGTCCAGGGGCATGCCCAGAGGGGGTACAGGGGCACACTCAGAGAAGGTCCAGGGGCACACTCAGAGGATGTACTGGTTGTGTGCACTTCTCTATGAACTCTGATAAGATGCACATCACCCTGAATGAAATTCTGAATCTTGTAGTTTTCATTCTAACAAACTTACGGCATTTAATTTTTTTTCATGTTTAGTATCCTGTCCAGTATGTGAACTGAAAATGCCCCAGAGTAGAATAAATCTTCACCTAGATTCGTGTCTTGGAAATAAACATCAAAATGAGGCCAAAACATTAGCATGGTACTATATTCATTTTTTATACAACATTATAGTAATTGATGTTTTTCATTGGTGCAAGAAAAATATATTTTCTTCTACTAATCCTTTATACATTTAAAAATCTTTGGCATAGCCGGCTTGCAACTTTTTATTCCTGCTATGAAAATTTCAGAGTACTATAGATATTTATATTTAAATGTTTTTTTTCCATGTGAAGGATAAACAAAATGCTTAGCTGGTATTAGATAAGTTATGGGGTTATGAACACCCCGTTGCTCACTGTACAAAAACCGTCCACTTATGCCAGTTTTACATAGTCAGGCTAAAAAGTCAAATTTGTACTAAAAAAGAATTTTTATAAAGAAGAGAAAAAGACTTATATTATATTCTTCCAACTTTTACCAAAGCATAATGACCAACCCAGAGTAACTATTACCATTTGCGTTCAACTGGTAACTGTCCCGAATTTTTCATGTTTGTTCACGTTTCAAACGTCACGTTTCTCAAGCGAAACGTCTGGTTTCAAATTAGAAACGTAACGTTTGCTCAGGAATGTTTAACGTTTGAGAAACAATTTGAACAGGTTTTGGTCATGTGATTAACATGTTTATACGATTTTACAGTGATAAAATGCTGTAGCAACTGAAAATTACACCTGTATGCCTTAGGCGATTTGCAAAGTTTGATAATTCGCCAAATAATATAAGAAAGAGCTGTTACAAACTTAGAAATCCGCGATTTGAACAAACGTAACGTTTACCAGTTGAAACCCGACGTTTCGTCTGATAAACGTGACGTTTGAAACGTAAACAAACGCGAAAAATTCGGAACAGTTACCAGTTGAACGCAAATGGTAATATTTAATCAAGTCAATCTATCCCTTTGACTCCTGACTGTGAATTATTTACAAATAATTTATCGATAAATACTTTCAATACTTTAGCAAAACAAAATCTCACAAAGTAAAGCTGCACACTTTGGCTGAACAAGTCACTTATTGCTTAATGATAAGTTAACAGCATCTATCTTCAGGAACTATCCCTAATCTTAATCACTAACCCTAAACTCTAACCTCTAACCTTAGCTCTTACCTTTGCCCTAACCGTCAAATCTAACTCTAGCCTTAATCTCAGCTCTAATCCTAGCTCTTACCTCAACTCTAACTCCTAGCCTTAACAGCATCCACCTCTGGCTACAAACTATAAAATAGTAAAATACTGATTGATTGCATACATTTGTATACAACAGCTCATCAAAGAAGTCGGAGGACAAAGAAACCCATGGAAAGTCCGCAGTTTTTGGTGCGAACTCCCTCATGTAAGTGTGCTGTATTGGTTCTTGTTCTTTTATCTTGAGTTAAAATTAAGATTGTTTTATGTATACTCGTTCCAGTCCTCTAGTAAAGGGAAGAAAGCCAATGAATAAACTCGTGTACAAGCTTTTGTCAAATACTGAGCTCAAGCGGAAGATGAAAGAACATGGACTGTCAATCAAGGAAGATAGGCAGGTAAAAAGAGATGAAAAGTCGCTTCTACCTTACTCACATTTTAATGACTAGCGCATCAATCTATATTAAAAGCTAATGAGTTATCGTGGTTAACGATATAGATAACCATGGAAGACTAATGTTATGTTGACGAAAAGAAACAACTTTCACATAAACATTAAAGTTAGCAATAGTTACATATTTTTTCTTGTCTCTCGTTATTTTAGATTTTAATTACGTTTTCTCTTCTCTCGTAATTTTAGACTTTAGTTAAACGGCATCAGCAGTTTACGATAATGTATAATAGCGAATGCGGCAAAGAAAAACCGAAATCTGGTGAGTCTTATTCACAAAATGTACGTACAGAAGGTTGACAAAAAAAAGTAGCTCTCTTACAAAAATTACATGGTTACTTAAAAACGTCAATAGATTACTTAATGGTGACGAAACTGTTTAATTATCTTCTTCATCGCAAATATTTAGAATTGGAAACTTATACAATGCATTAAACACAAGAGGAGTAGTTTTGAAATATCTCAAAAATAAAACGGTCGATTTGATGCATATGCCAACCCAGACCTCAGTCACCAGGTTTAAATCTTATTGAAATATTTGAACAAAATTGTTTGACACAAAAAACCGAAAATCAACAAATGACGATGAGATTTTTCCAATGCTGAGAAATTGATGGAATGAATAACCAAGGAAGCTGGTTGAAAGGATATTATCACTGGTTTTTGGATGTCATGTAAAAACATGTCCATGGTTCCTGTTGTTTCTTCACTTTTATTTTTTCTTTTAATTTACATGTTTGTAAATGTAGATCGTCCAGGTTGGTATAGTCCTGAGAAGGACTGTTTTTGTTGTTGTTGACTGACGTTTCGACAACCTTAGCGGTAGTCATCTTCAGAGTCAAATGTAACAACTCAAGTCATTTGTAACAACTCAAGTCATTTGACTCTGAAGATGACTACCGCTAAGGTTGTCGAAACGTCAGTCAACAACAACAAAAACAGTCCTTCTCAGGACTATACCAACCAGGGCGATCTACATTTACAAACATGTAACGATACTCCCGGGTTCAAACCATTTACTTTATTCTTTTAATTTCTTGATTAAAGTTTGTAGTTGACCAGTGTCAACATTACGTTTTTTATTCATTTATTCTTCAACAGTACTTTTTTTAATTTCTACACGTTTCTCCAAACTTGAAGAACAACAAGCCTATTAATGATAATTTTCTATGGTGGTAACTTCTTGTCCTTCCCCTGTATGATGGTTGTACTCTAGATACGTTATACTTCATTTTATATAATTAAATATTGTACCTCTCTAGTCGGTGAAATCGTTCGTGTAGTTGAAGAAGAGGAAAAGAAGAAAAAAAGGCCAACGGAATTTCGTGAAAAAGTATTTTGAAATTAGTAAATAACAACAGACAACAGAGCGCTGGTGAAAAATATTTGCTTTGTGTTCCAGTTGAATTTTGATCGAGTTCAAGGTCAGGAAGAAATTGACAAAATGAAAAGGGATTATAGTGAGTTGTTACATCCACCTTGTCATCACACGTTACAAAATTTAGTGAGAAACTAAATCATTTATGTTATTTTAGTGGCTCAAAACGAGAGTCAGTTTACTTCTCTTGTCAACCAGATCAGAAATAGGAAAAAGAAAAACGAAGCAGGAGCATCAGGCGAGAATTTATAAATCTAAGATTTCTTCATAATCCAGTTATGCCGTATCTTATCAGTGCTTACTCCAGTTCATAAAGATACCGTAGAAACCTTTGAAATTCAAGTTTTATACCACGGAAAAAAGGCGATTTGAACTATGTTCAATCATATAGAGCCAGTATGAAAATATTCTTACTCATTTAAGACCAACTGTAACTATTGTTTGTAGAAATTCTGCGAGTATATCTATTATCCATTGCAACTAAATAACTGTGTTTCTACATAACCAACTGTATTTTAACAAAATTAGTTTTTGATGCATTGTCATTACTGGAAAAGTCTTAACTGAATTCGCTTTTTTATATTGGTACTCCGTCGATAAGTTTCGTCTTACTTTACGGTGGAGAATAGTAGAAATGTCGGTATTACCTATGGCGGAATGAACTATAAATAATGTTGTAATAATTTTGTAGGTGTCAACATGTTATACACTTTTATTTTTACCATTAGTTGATTCATAAATGACTTAGCTTATTAAACTTAGGTCATTTATGCCACATGCAGTAAGAGTTGCAATGCATACTTACACTTAAGCTTATATCCTTGTCCATGCTGTATAATACGGTTTAGAGTGAGGATCTTATCTCTCACTGATCCAAATTCTCTTTCCATTTGTTTGGTTTTAGACGAAAAAGGCAATGATAATGGAGGGCAAACTCCTTGCTCAAGCAAAAAGAGTAATACAACTTTTTCAGATGATGATGCAGCTAGTACCAGTAGCGGTGCTGACTTTGAACCAGCGAAAACACGTTACAGCACGCCACGTAGAAAGTCTCGTAGATCTGTTACAGAAAAACGTCAACTTCGAAGTAGAGCGACAATTCTTAAAGTTATAAACGAAGCTGATGATGCTACAACAAACACCAACACGAAGATCATTGATGATACTGCAAATACTGCGAATTCCATGGAGGCCACTTTTACCTCTGATAACATTCCTGATCCACCTTCACCTTCTTTGCTTGCAAATATTGCAAAGGATTCTGTATGTTTATGTTATTTTTACATGCAATTAACGTGACTAGGAGTGAGGTTTTCATCGTACGTATTTATTGTGGGTAAAAAATAATACTATTTTATTTTAGGATGGTGCTGATGTTGAATACTGTGAATGCAACGAGTATGTAAGGTATTCCGTTATTACGCTATCAGACAGCGCCTAGAGGTGTGAAGACCATTTAGATTAAGGCGTTTTCCTACGATTTTACTAACGAATTTAACGATTTTCTAACAACGCCTATTTATGGTTTTTTGGAAGGCATATTGCATAAGTTTATAAGACTGAACCCTATGGGATTGGAGAGTTCACCCTTTGCTTGGTATGTCCCTGGTGTTAACCCACTAATCAGACATTTGTGATAATTTTTTTGAAGCAAATAGCAAAGATGTTTCCACTTTAATATTAAGCTGTCATCGGTGCAAGTAAAGTGATCATCATGACACACACCGACATGGAGCAAATACTTTATAAATATATTATATGTAACAAACAATGGTAGAAGATGTAATATTTACATGACTTGAATTGTAAATGTTATTGGTTGTTGAGGTCAGGTTAGTGTATTGTCATTATCTCAAATGTCTGATTCCTAGCACTATACTTCTAAAATGTTATGCAATATTAATGTCATAAATCATACTCCTTTTTAACTTGTAAAAGATGTCTGATGTGATGTTTGACATTTTTAGTTCACCTCAAGCTGACAATGGTAACGAATCAGAAGAAATGATATTTTGACATGTAAATATTATAAATGTGCAAATCTTTACTAATGACTTACAAAGATAAAAATTATTAATCATTAAATATTTTCCATTGTTGTTGAAAGCACTTTTCAAGTTGTAGTGTAAAAGGAATCATGTATATTCAAATTATTACAAACAAATTATCCTGCCATCTATTATTGACTTTAGTCGTTTTCCTTAGTGCATATGGTCCTTATTTTAAGGATTAATAACAATGTGAAAAAATTCCAGCTGCTAAAAGTTTTTATGTAAAAGTATGTTGCCTTTTTCCAGTCCTGATAATTAAAAAACATTCCTATTTTGCAAATTAACTAATTAACAGTTGTCAAACTAGCAATTATGAACAGTTCTAAAAAAATAGACAATAAATATATAGTTACATATGTCAAGCATAAAAAATAATAAAATGCCATCATCAGTTGTTTTTAATTTTCCACAGTTGCTTCTGAACTGGCAGGAGAACTGTCTAAAGAATTGTTTGATGCTGACTGTGTTAATGAATCAGATAATGTGACAATGGAGTCACTTGGAAGAACTTTGTAATCGGTAATTGTAACTGTAATATTTCCAACAGTCACTGTTATTTCCTCTGCACTGTTTCGATCAACATTCTTAAGGCGAGGCCGTGTCTTTCGTGATATTTTACGTCCATTCAATTTTCTACTGTTCATCATTGCAGGTGCAAACTTTTGGGCTACCTGTTGAGCTACCATTTGCTGGTTAAGTTTTGGTTTTCTATGAAGAAAAACACACTAAGTTCACCATTTCCAACACTCCATTGGTGAGCTTCCAATTGGTAATGCATTCAACTAATTCAAGTAGTCCTTGTTTGTCTGTTAAAGAGAGTTTGATTGGTACAAACCTGGTGGACGTTCCCTTTCGTACGTCACACATACCGCACTTGAATGCTTCAGGCTTATTTGTAAACGTGCAAACACTACAATCCCAATATGATTCCAAGCTGTATGAATAATTAAACACAGTCATTGGAAACAAGAAGTGTGTAACGATACGGATCTTTGGTAATTTCAAACAGTTATTGCTATTAAACATGCACATGCCGAAATCACCATTATCCGCAAAACTATTCTTGATTTATTGCATTTTTATCATAATATCTTTCAAAGGATAAGGGCAGTGCTTCAGTCTTTTTTATCAAATGAAAATTGAATTAATCCATTTGGAGATAAATCACATTTCTGATGAAGTGAACAAAGTTTTATTTAATAAAAGTAACGAAGTGTCTTTATAAATGCAAAAACTTACTTGACTTTATTGGAGTGGCTTGAAAGATTTGTTTCCATTTGCTCCAACACACAAGAAGTGTAAAGTGACGAAGTTGTTGAACACGTTGTTGTATTGTTATCATGTTACAAATTTCCACGTAAAATCACTCGAATGTTGCAAATTTAACATAATAAGTTCTCTATTTTACAATTGTTTGTATGAAGTTCCTCGGTAGTATAGTGGTGAGTATCCCCGCCTGTCACGCGGGAGACCGGGGTTCGATTCCCCGCCGGGGAGGATACAATTTTTATGCTCTTTTTAACGTTATCAGTATTAAAATCATTTTACTTCTTAAACATAAGGTAAACAATAAACAATCTTAACACTACAATCGCAAATATTTTAAAAAAATATGACCAAAACTGTCTACCGTTGTTTGTACCAATGGTTTCCACTGGTTGCAGGCTTCTACCTACAAACGGGAAGGATTTTTCAAATTTCCCGCGCGGGAAAAACTCATAGTTTCACTAAATAGAGTGAACTAGAGATGTCAAAAAAAAATAATTACTTCGTGAGGTGAGTCAGTTTGCTACGAAATTCTAAAATAGTGCAGCAGTCATCCAACTTATTCTTTTCTGGACTTTTTGCTAAAGCTAATGATTTTATTCACACAAATCTCCGTGATACAATAACATTACTATGAAGATTGTTCAAGTTCAAAATACACTTTCATCAAATCATTCGCACATCGAGATATCTCTTCATTTCCACTGTAATACAAATTATCAAGTACTTCTACACCTCCCATACTTTCAAACATTTCTTGACCATTATTCAGTCTTCTCAGCACTAACTCAACAAACTGTAGTGCTAAGAGGCATAGGTCATTGTCACCTCTTTTTGTAAGTATCACAAATTTATGGAGACCACCAGATTTTGTTATTTGCTGCAAATACTCCGGAGTTCTGCATGAAATGTTAAGAAGAACCATCGCAGCCTAAAATGTTAAATTATTAGATTAATGTTGGGTGACTCAATTGACAAAAATACTGTTCTTATCCAGATTCAAAAATGATTCATTATGGTTGCATGAAGTTAAATCAACAAACCTCTTTCGGTATATCAAAACTTTCATCCAACATTGCCAAAACTACATCAAGTAAATTAATCTCTACAAATGATTTGATACTACTGGTTGAGCCTGCAGTAACATTTGATAATAACCAGAGACTTTCTTTTTTAATATGATATATGTTTGACGTCAATAGTGTCGGCATCACTTTAAAAATGACATTATCTTTTGCAGCTTCATCGCAAAGTTGATTAGAAATGGCACACATGTTTCCTAGTGGAAAAGATTTTAATCATTACAACCTCTAACAAAAAAACTATGTTATTATTTGGTATGATTCATGTGGCTATAGACACTGGAATTCTTTCTAGTTTAATTGGCAAATTACTTTAGCATTTGAGAAGAAGAAATATTACCTAAAGCTCTAATGAAAGGTGTAGCAATGTGAACACAATTGTCAACAAGACCAAATCTGGCAATGCTTTCAATGAGAAATGTGACAGTTATTCCACATGAGGTAATGTGTTCAACCCCAATTTGATTTGTTGTGAAATACATAACAAGAGTGGCCAACTCCACCAACACTTCATCTGATCTTGCACAATTTTTTACCAGTCCCAACAAAATGTGTCCAGTATTGTATCGAATCATCTCATCAAAAACATTTTTATTGTTGCCTCTGGTTAAATTGTTTAATGCAAACACAGCTGAATGAACCACATTGTGAAATGTACTCTGTAAATGAAAGATGTTTTGTGAAACATACAGTCAAACTCTATTGTAGATAGGATTCGAGGAACAATGTCTTTTTGCAAACTTACTAAAGAGTATATAAGTAAAAGTTCTCAATGTAATGTTTTAAAGGAAACAATAGTGATAAACATACAAAGATCACTATGACCTTTAATAATTTCACCAAGGAATGCACTGCTCCCTGATCTATCATGATACACCTACATTCTTCACAATCCCCTGCAAGGTTTCCCACAGTCCAAGCACAAAGATCTTGAAGTATGACATTGCTACTTTGGAGGTATGTGATCAAGTAAGCACCACAAATTTTTGCTATTTGAACAGCATGCTTGTGTGTTGATGCAGCAAGGTTTGTTAAACACCATGCTGCTTCAACTTGAAGCTGCACCTCTTTGCCTGTAAATGATTGAATTTAGTTTATAAAAACAAATTTTGTGTTGTTTCAATGTGAGATGTTCATAACCTGTCAAATGTTTCACCAGAACCTCAATTGCACCATTTTGAGATAAAAATGCATCTGAAACTGTGTCTCCTTGTGCAAAAATGTTTTTAAGCTTTCTTAAAATCTCCAATCTCTGTGTGTTATGTTCAAAGAGACGTCTTGTCATCAAAATTACATCTTCGACAGTCGATAAAACAGACTCATCGCCATTCAAATTTTCTCCATATCTCAGTCGTTTTAAACTTAAGATTTTTTTTCTTTTTTCACGTCTTAAATCCGTTTGTTTTTTCTGAATACGAAAGCGAAGTTGTTCAACCGTGTCTGTTGCATGTTTATATAAATGAGATCGATCCATGATTTTTCATTTACAAATTTTAGTTTTATTACATGAAGTACTTCGTACAACCTAATTTTAAGAGAAGGCGCCATGTTTGAAATATTTATGTCTCTTTATTTCAATATTTGTTTTGTATACGAACGTTAACGCAGACGTTTCGTGAAAAATATCAAAATGATGTCAAGTCTGGTAAAGAAAATTACTAAATTTACATTATCAAGCTTCTTTCACTAGAGATATTTTCTTTTACAAATTCAGGAAGATCCAACGATGGAGCGACATTTCAAGGGACACAGAGACGTCGTAACAACGGTCGATTTCAATCCAAACATGAAGCAAATTGGTGAATACCTAATTTTAATTCACTTAACTGTGGCACAATGTTTTCTTGCCGTTGGTATTTACCAATCAAAATAGTAAATATTTTTGATTTGTTTTTTAGTTAGTGGTTCAATGGATTCTTGTCTCATGATCTGGCATTTCAAGCCTCATCTCAGGGCTTATCGTTTTGTTGGACATAAGGTAGAAAATTTCCAAACACAGTTGTACATAATCATGAAGTAGTGCTTTCCAAATTGTACTTCTGATAATCTTTACCTCTTACATAAACAGAGTAAAACAGTAGGATCCACACTGTAAAGTTTGTTAACTGCCCTTCCACGATGTAAAATTTGTACACTTACTCACCTACTTTGCTGAAATTTATGCACCTGAGATCTTGTTTGCAGAATACCAACATTCCTGTGTGCAGAAGTCAGCATGATAATTGAAAGAACCCACATATTTTAGTATTGATCACCTATGTGCCTAATATGTCTTACGCATTTTAAAATAGGATGCTATTCTATGTGTGAAATTCTCACCATCTGGTCATTTGATTGCCTCGGCATCAAGGGATAAAACTGTACGATTATGGGTACCTAGTGTGTAAGTGTAACCTTCACTTTGATTTTCAATCAACTTCAGTAATATACCATGTCTTCAAACATACCTTGGTTTTCTTGTATCAATGGTTTTATCAGTACATTTTTTGTATGACTGTTAATACTGCCATAATCATTTACCAATCTCAATCTCCCTTGGTTTCTCCCATAGGAAAGGTGAAAGTACTGTGTTTAAAGCGCATACTGCAACAGTTAGGAGTGTTGACTTTTCTTCTGATGGACAGTTCCTTGTTACTGCTTCAGATGATAAATCACTTAAGGTTTGTTTTACTATAATGAAATCGAAATTTGTTTTGTGTTTCAATCTTAAGGCCATTATTGGTCAACTCAAAACTGTCCTTCTTTATGTCCGATATTTTATATTTCCCACTATTATTTCAATGTTTGTGCTTTTTTTCATTTTGAAGCCCCTTTTTTCTGTATATATTTCAAGTTATTTCACAATGCATGATTTCATGTTCACCATTTCTTAAGATATGGTCTGTTCATCGCCAAAAATTTCAGTTTTCATTGAATGGACACATGAATTGGGTGCGCTGTGCCAGGTTGTTTCCACTTTAACTTTATTTTTCCTAAACAGAACTTTTCATGTGTAATGAATCAAAATATGTTGATTATAAATTGGTTAGATTCTCGCCAGATGGACGGTTGATTGTGTCTGCAAGTGATGATAAAACTGTGAAACTCTGGGACAGAAACAGTAAAGAAAGTGTTCATACTTTTTATGAACATGGAGGGTAAATATTCAAGACGTTTGGTTAATCACAAATTTTGCTCATTTTAACTTTTATACTACAATATGAATTCACGTCAAAAACGCCATGAGTTTTATTTCCTCTTTTAACGCCCGTAAATATGTTATTTTGATTTGTGATTCTGGTTAGAGGAACATTCTCATTTATAATCATAGAGAACTCCTTAGACTTCTGGCTGTTAGTTACAGAGAAGGACATTTTCCTTCATTACCTGAACAGTAAAACAACAAACTTTAGTTTGTAGTAAAAGGACGTTTTCCTTCATTACCTGAACAGTAAAACAACAAACTTTAGTTTGTAGTAAAAGGACGTTTTCCTTCATTACCTGAACAGTAAAACAACAAACTTTAGTTTGTAGTAAAAGGACGTTTTCCTTCATTACCTGAACAGTAAAACAACAAACTTTAGTTTGTAGTAAAAGGACTTTTCCTTCATTACCCACCATAAAACCATAAACTGTGTGTGAATGATGGTTTAAGAGAAGAAAATTTTCCCGCTTTATCAGCGATAAACCACAAGATTTGATTGGCGGTTATAGAGAAGGAAGTTTCCTTAATTACCTGCAATGGTTTTTGGTTCTGCATTATGGCTTAGGAAGGCTGTCATATGTCATATATTGTGATGATCTTATCATTTCATAGGTTTGTAAATCAGGTTGAATTTCATCCTAACGGAACTTGTATTGGTACAGGAAGCTCCGACCATTCTGTCAAAGTAAGTTGATGATATAGTTTTTTTGTACATCCATTCTTTATTTTGTAACGGAGAGAACTGATTTTACACGTCCAAATCATCACTTGGTCCACAGAATTTTCATTTTTTCTACTCTCAAGGTTTGGGATATTCGCATGAACAAGCTTCTGCAACATTACCAAGGTTTGAATAAACTAAAGATTTTTGTTTTTGACACTCAAGAGTCCCGATATATACATGTATGTACTTTTCAGCTCACACGAGTGCTGTCAACAGCGTGTCTTTTCATCCATCTGGTAACTATATGATCACCGCATCAAACGACACAAGTCTCAAGGTGAAATTGCTTTAAAATGTCTGAACGTCGCTTTGTCTACTTGAAAGATTTTTCCATGAAGGTCTCGAAATAAGTGTCGGTTACCGTTAATTTTCCCGTAATATTTTTTTCACGCCAGACATGCATGACCATCTAGAGTCATAGTTGGTTCTATTAAAAAATGGTTTTTTCTTAGCGACGTATTTCACCGAAAAGTTCAATATTGCCCTCGTCACAATTACCTCTATGCTTTTATTATTGTTTTGGACCTTGGGGGGAGGGGGAGGGTGAAAGTTTGCTTCATTTAAGACAAATGGGTATGTATGTAATGTTTGTAAGATGGCTGTCCAGTTTCGTATAGATAGAGGGTGTTTTTCAAAAGTGCTTCTCGATACACTATTCCCACTCAGAAAATGGTTAGTATTTGCCAAAATTTTACTGTCAAATGAGCCAGTGGAAGTCCAATTATCTATTCCATCAAAAATTTTTACAGATCTTGCGCGCTGATCACTTTAGAGACGTTTTCCCATCTGCTCAGTTTTTTTTAAATATGCCCTGTTTAAATATCGACGTTTTCTCTTTGCTTAGATCCTTGACCTCATGGAAGGAAGATTGTTTTACACCCTGCATGGCCACCAGGTTGCTACGACTACGATTCATGATGAAAAATTATTTTCGAAAAACATAAACGCGCAATTATATCTTGCACTTTATGTATTGGTTTATCTCGCATTATGCCAATTATTACAATACAACGTTTTTTGAACACTGTCTAGGCATCAGCCAATTCAGTTGTATTTTCCAAGAATGGCGAATACTTTGCTTCCGGTGGCTCAGATGAGCAGGTACGTCACCATTATCGCTGTGAAATAGTGTTTTTTACCATTTAACTAGTTCAATGTGTTGTACCAGTTTTACCAGTTACCTAGTCCAATTACCTAGTTCAATTTACTTGTTGGCTTTATAGGTTATGGTATGGAAGACAAACTTCGATAAATTAGACTATAGTGAGAGTAAGTTTTCTGATTATTCTAACCTCTTTCGATCTGCAAATACGATTTTCTATCCTGTATGCGGTTATAATTTTTTTTTTTGTTCTTGTAAATTACAATCTCGTACTTGTGAGTTATTCAACAACAGTGCTAATAATTTCATCATATCAGTGCTATATGTTAGTGTCTCCATTTTTCTCTTTACCTCTAGTTCAACATCATTACAAGGGTTCGTTATTTCTATGTAATTGTTTATCCCATTATGTAGTGCTAACGACGAGACGAAAAGCGACTCCAACAAAACACCATCATGATCCTCCGCCAACATCAGAGGTAACAAAACATCTCATTAGTCTTACGAAATTCACTTAAGGAGGGGGGGGGGATCTATTCTAATCTTTGCAATGGTTATAGGTAGCTTTGACAATGTCGTATTTCGGCATTTTTATACCACCACCACCACCCCTAGCAACTTTGTTTGCTGCTTCATCTAAGGAAAGGAAGGAAAACAATGATTAGCCTTTGAAGTTTAGTTTTCTTTCGTAGATTCACGCTTTATCTAAACCAAAGAACATGGCACATACTGATAATGATGTTGTTGAAATTGCTCCGGCTATGTTTGCCATTCCTACTGTAAGTTGTTATTTATAGATAATTATTGCTGGGTGTCACACGAATGTGAATAATACTCACGGATATTTCTCCATAGAATATATACACATTACTTACATGAAATTTTCCCCCAATTCTCTCACCTTCAAGGTGAATTCCTCTTCCTGGTCAACAATTTCCGGGTTCAGCAGGAAAAATGTTGCATGAAATTTTTCATGTTTGAATTCTAACCTTCCCGAGTTTTTATCCTTTATTGATAACCGATTTGTATATAAATATAAATAGATTAATTTTGTGTGGATACAACATAGGAGCGAAGTCAAATGGACGAAGCAACCAAATCCGAGGCTAGACCTCTTAAACAGCCTGCAAGTCAGGTTGAAGCTCCAAAAACCACCCCGTTGGAAAGAAGAGAAATACCGGCACAACTTGCAACAACATTGGAACATATCGTAGGACAGTTGGACGTTTTAACGCAGGTTAGCAATAATTATTTGGCATTGGCATATATTTGAATGAATTTGTTTACTAAGACTCGATAAATGATAAATGAAAGATGGTTCGTACGGGCTCTTATGGACGAACGATTGATCAGGTTATTCAACAAAAATAAATTTAATTTGTTTAGATTTCTTCCTGTGGTAATAGTTATTTGACCAATATGAACTTATTTCGTTTCAAGAAGAAAAAACAGCACAGAATTGATAAATTTGATGAATGGATATGAAGCTAGTTTCTCTACTTTAACATTGATATTAGGATATTTTTTCTTTTCTAAGACTGTTTCAATTTTGGAACAACGGCTGACAATGGCTGAAGACAAATTAAGAGAATGTTTAGACAATCAACAAAAGATAACTTTACAGATTCGTCCAAATGAATGACGTCTATCAATACTAGAGGTAACCCTTATAAAATGTATATATTTATTACATGTCAGTATAAATAGTTTACAATTTTCCAGATTGTTGCTTTCATTTTTTCAAAAACACTTCTAGCCCAAAACAATTTGTATTTAAAGCTGTATAGTATACAAAATTCTTAAATGATACCGTCCTCCATGTACAAGAGGTCGGGTATATTTTGATGAGCCTTCAGATTATAGTTTCAGCTGACCATTAGAATTTCGATGTGCCTTTGTATAGCAAATTCTAATGTAATGTCACAAGATGCTTTTGGCTCAACAACAACAGCGCATGATACCAAAAAACCGGATTCAAATTTCTAAAATAACTCTGATAATTTTCTTTGGTTCCTTTTGTTCAGACGTAAATAATGTTTCGTATTAAATTTTTATTACTTTGGGTTGTTCGAGTTATCAGCTATTTTACTCCTTACAAAAAAACCTCAGTTTTACTCAAGTATTATTGAGCGCTTACTCACCCATGGTTCCCAGCAACAAAATGCAAAGCCAAACAGTCACGCGATTCCGACGCCTTGAAGACTGTATGGGAAGGTTGTAAATGACTATATTACTTGAGCAAATATTAGGTTGCCCGGGGAAAGTTCCATCAAAATATTTTATGAACATTGAGCTGAATTTGTAATGTTCAAATTTTTATGACAGATCTTGAAAAATTCTATCAACAATTTGATCAAAAATTGCGAAACCGATTTATGCCTTCGAAAATATCTGATTTCGAAATAGATTTTGAAAATACACAGTACGTTTTTGCATTTGACCGTTTCCCTCGGTATCTCTATGGTAAATTCTACTCACCTTGAGCATGCATTATCATCTTCAATTTTTAAAAAATTCGGCTTTACTTTGTGGCTATTATTCTATGTCAATTAGCCTAGATCTCTAGAATGAAACTAAAATTGTTATTCCTCACAATAATCATACAAACATAGTCTACTTTCTCATGATATTATCTCTCTGTGTATGATGAGGATTGAGGAAGGATGTTATTGAGACTGTCCTAGTGTCATTGACCGACCATTCTTTGTATCCTTGGCAAGCAAGGTAAACTTGAATCACGAGAACTTGTTTTTCGACAAAAAGCAGGAAACGACAAGATTTTCTCATGCATGCAGATTATAAAGATGGCGGTATTCTGGGGTGTTTATGCAAGAGAAATCAATCGAGGATAATTTTTTGCGCTATCCACGTTCTTCGATACTCGGACCATTTATGGTTGATATAGTGACTTATTATAAACTTCAGAATTTTAATGCTTATAAAACAACCATTAATTGTGTATAAATGTATATAAGAAACACGATGTAAACATACATTGTGTAGGCTCAACGTACTTTCGAATATTGCGTGGGAATGTTGTTTAACTTAGCATTTGTAGAAAGTTGCCTATCATCACTTGTTATTGTTTCTAAGTCTTTTCATCCTTTGGACAACTTTTATTTTAAAGAGTGTGTGAACATCTTTTGCTTTAGTGGACAGCGGCTAATTAATATGTAACATCTCTTAAAGTAAATGGTTTGAACCCGGGAGTATCGTTACATGTTTGTAAATGTAGATCGTCCAGGTTGGTATAGTCCTGAGAAGGACTGTTTTTGTTGTTGTTGACTGACGTTTCGACAACCTTAGCGGTAGTCATCTTCAGAGTCAAAAAAACATCTCTAATGGACGAGCTAGACGGGCTATTGATTGTCGAGACACGCCCTTGTTCTATTTTCGTCTATGATTTTCATGTGAGCTTTTTAAGTACTGCGCATGCGCTGATTTCATTGTTTAGTGATGCTTTTTTCGAAATGTAAAAATTTCGATTTGCGTAGAAATGAGATTAAAAAATTTGGCTTGTTTCTCAACTCAGAGTTGTAGTGTCTAATTCTGTTATTTGTAAGATACTCTTATTTGAAAAAGACGTTCAACTCTACTTTGACAAGTATACATGTAAAAATTTATACCTAATTACACCGCCTATCTTAAATCATCATTATTCCATCCACCGCTGACCGTGATGATAGCAACTCAAATGTGGCAAAAGTCGTGTCACGTTATTGCTATTTGTCTAGTAATTGGTTAGAGACATCTTCCCCCATACTCTATGATAACTTAGGTACATAGCTTACCCCTTGGGGAGAAGCACTGTATACGTTATTGGACTGTAGAGAGCAGAAAAAGTAGTTAATTTACAAAGTGTAGCAATTTTTAAAGAAAACTTGAAGTTAGAAATGAATGTTTGATTGCAAGGAAGTCTTCATTGGTAAATGTGGTTGTAATCTATTTTAAGAAAGTTTGTATTTAGAGAAAAAAAGTGATCGCTAACCTTAGCGCGAAAGTTCTAATTGGAGGTGAAGAAGAGTTGTAAGTTGCGCTAAGCAGACAAATGAAAGAATTTTATTTTGAGGTAAACTGCTAAATGCAGAGGAATGGCTTTTTGGGTGTTATCGACGGTAAAGATGTGCTGTACTTGTAGAGGAAATAGTTACCAAGGGAGAAATGATTGAACAACACTAGTGGGGAATGGGAGACAACGCTCAAATTATCCTATTTATAGAAAAAAATTTATGTTTTCTTGGGTGCAATTTATATTTTTGAATATTATCTCATACAAGTTGATTACGTCTGATATTGTCCAACTTCTGTGTCTTACAATTGAAACAAAAAAATTATCAAGGAAACGGACATTATATCATAAGTAAACGCACATGTTTTTTCTCACGTTTTTCAACCTTTGTTGATCGCATTCACTCTTAAAGGTGAATAATTCTTCACTTAAGTAAGTATGATATTATTATTATTGTTTCACGTGTTTGAATAATTTCATGGCTTTCACTCTCTTAATGTCTTTTAAATCGCACATCAAAATATAGGCAGTTATTCTATTATAATTTGGAAACTGATTAGAATGACAACATGATGATTGTTTAGTGTTTGTCTAGAGGAATAGGAATAAAATGAATGTGTTTAGTTTCTTTTCATCTATCGTAAGTTCTTTTGAAACTATATGTAGATTGAAGTTTTATGGGAAGATTTTACTTTCTATACCAATTCTTAAATAATTATTATTTTAGTTAGATGTAAGATAAAAAGCATGTGGTCTTTGCATTACGGTTCACGTCGATTTTAAACAAAACATCGGAAATCCATGTCGCTTTTTCTTTTGAATTCGGCAGTTCGCTTTCAAGTCTTCATTGACTTCAGAGTATCGCAAATATTACTTTAATTAGTTTTAACGTGTTTTTTTTATGTCGTTTATTCTTATATGACTTCAGGTAATAGCCCCTGGGACAAAAACGGTATTCATTATGACACGATGTGTCCTAAAGGGTTGCCAAATTGAAATAATTTTCAAAAATTTATTTCCTATATCATATATTTTACGTTGAACGTCTTTCACGAAGTGCTCTTGCACCTCTAACTATTTTGATAGAGGAAGCGTCATTGAAACAATATCGACCTACTGAACGTCAAATGATATTGAGAACTGGATGGATACCTTGAACTGTTGTTTTATAGGCAACGTTAAATTGATCTGAATATTTTGCTTATCATATGACAGCAATTTAGCTTTTATAATTGACTTTGATTATGAATGGAAAGTTTATTTTATTTTACTTGTAGAGCTACGTGCATTAATAAAATCTAAAATTGTTTTCTTTCGACAAAGAAAAACGAAACGCGATTATAATAAATACTTTGTTATTTTTATCTTTTCATTTTTTTCATTAACCCAAAAATGTCTCATTATATTTGCGGTTTATAGCATTTTGTTCTGTAACAAGAAACAATTTTCAATAAATTATCCCTAATTCACAAAATTGTAAAAGTTTCCTTCCTCCTCGTTTATGGGTATGGAGAAAAACTTTGAAGTTGTTTTCTTCAAATGATATCTTTGTCTGATTTATGTTAAGACTGATGTTCAAAAATTGCTACATTTATTTTTATAATTAAAATCATGTGTAAATATTTACCAATCGTTTAAATGCTCATATTTGATATACGTTTATGTCATTAACTTTAAACAAATAGTTTCGTCAGCTTATAAAAGATCCAAAATAGACAAACAACAGAAGTTTACGCTATATAATTAGATTTATATACATCTCATATGTTATAATGTGGGTTTGTTAAAACATGTTCGCCGAATTTTTTTCATAAGAGCATTATAACACTAGATTATAGCAATCACAACTCACAAGCTCTAGAGATGTTTTAAACAACAACACGTATTTCCATCATCTTATGTACCGCATATTACCAAAAAAATCCAAATTAAAGGCAAACATTTGCTAAAGCAATATTATGGGTGGTGTTTTTTCCAAGTTTATGTTGTTTTCTCCGGTTAAACGTAACTGACGTACGATTTGACGTCTGAAAACCGGTAATTTTATCATAAACTAGTGTTAATGGTTTTATCATTACGATTCTTGGGCAACAGTCTCACGACTTTCTTTTCCTGTTATATGTTTGCCAGACACTTTGGAATCAACTCAGTAGGCTTGAACTTTCAAAATGAACATCACAATAATTTCGAAAAACGACGTACGCCGCCATAAGTGGGAAAGTTTTGCAAAACTTTTTGTTTCTTGTTTGAACAATAACATTCCTATGTACACTGTTTGAAGACAATCAGAATAAAAAGGCAATGTTTTTATGCACGAAAAACCCATCCTATAGTATCTACATTTGATCGCTGGTAGTGATATGAATGTTGGGGTGCGGGCGAGGGGTGACGGTTCGCATTCTAACCGAACATTCTTGAGCGTCATTAAATATTTCGCACTTCCTAACATGTGGTTGTCCTAATATCATTACAACTAAATAACTCTGTAGTTCATGTCATCAGTTATGTTGAGACTAAATTTCATCGATAAAAGAAAAATTGATGCACCGTGCTTTGTATGAAACGCTTACGGCCTCGATCCTTTTGTAGATTTTTTACGCGTAATGTAAATATTGGAAATACTTTGCCGTTTTATGGGAACGGGAAATATTTACATCCATGTCTGTGTAGGAACGACAACTTATGTGTTCGCCATTATTGTGGGTCCAACCAGTCATCATGTCAAGGTCTGGAATCTACGATTACGAATTGAAACAAAGCTTTTTGCCTTTTTTTGCGGCTAATTATAAAAATTGATATAACCACATCATACGCGATAAAATTGTTATGTTTGGCATAGTACAAAATTATATTAATCTCTAATCACAGTTCCTACTCCCAATATTAGAGAATATTTGCAGGAATCCCGAAATCTAAGTGAACTTTCGAACATCATTTAAATTTAATTTATTTAATGAGAAAATAAAACATAAATAAGATAAGGTGAGTGGCATCTTTGTTTGATCCAATTAAAGCCTTTGAAAAAATATGAGCAGCATGAGGCATAAATTTAGGTATTGACCTCCTTGACCTGGTTTCCGTAGTAGACACTCTGGCGCTGAATAAATTATGAAAGTCATTTGATTCGTAAGCAAATTTTATAGAAAACTCCATCATTGAAGTTTATTGATGAAAATAAAATCATTCCACTTGTTCTAATTCTATGAGAATTTGAGAATTGCGATATTTAAACCGTTCTCTTATTTAATTAACAGACCACCCTTGGCTATGCGAGTTCTATAGCATATCAACTCATAAATTTACTCTAAACTTTGATCAGTAACATCATTTTTACCCTAAAATCGCGCTAGGCATATCGCACGTCAAATAATCTAGAAAGTCGAAATTCTATATTTAAATATTTCAACACATTTCAACATCGAGTTCTCCGGCCCCGCCTTCACTGTTTATTGACGTCTTCAACACACCCTTGGGACAAATCCCTATTAATTTCAGATGTCTTAAGTCCGTTTGTATAGGGAGAACATTATATATGGTTAAACTGACTATTGAACACACGTAAACCATTTGACTAGCAATGCTTCAAAACTACATACATTCAGCGCCACGTCTCCGATTCCGAACGGAAACCTTGAGTTAATGTTACGGAAGCAAGTGGCATGTTATTGATGAAGTTATATTTGGCAAGGCCAGTTGACTTGGTGATGAGAGGAGCAAACAGAGAACCGGGTAGGTTGTGACATGCTCTCTCATTGGTTCGCTGTTTCATCTCCGGAAATATGATGTCAATCATATTTCATATCAAGAGACAAGTAAGTGATGCTCATGGTTCAGTCGGTCATAACGAAGTCGTCGAACTCGAAGTAATCACTCAAAGCTATTAAAAGCAAGTAGACCAAATGCCTGCGTTACAATCTCAGTTTGCTGCCATGTCTACAGATGTTCTATCATTGTCTGATCAAATCTTGAACAATTCTTCAAGTATACTCCTTCTTGATTGCCGTCCGTACAACGAGTTTTCTCAATCTCATATTTTTACGGCAATAAATCTCGCTGTACCTTCTCTTATGATGCGACGCTTAAAGAAAGGTTCTTCTGTCAACTTCTCTAACATGATTAACTCTGAAGAAGGCAAGCGACGTTTTGGTAAACGGGATTTGATAGCTAAAATTGTGTTATATGACAGCAGCAGTGAGAATGTTACCAATACCGCTCTTGAACTTATACTACAACGACTCTCCGCGGAAGGACTCAACAATATATTTTATTTAAAAGGTAAGAAAAACAAGTATTAAATATCGTAATATTTATGTCAGTATGGTAAAGTTTGTCTCGAGCCGGTTAAATAACCTGTGGATTTCTTGGTGACTGCAAGACATTCTTATGGTATAATTAACAATTATTATTAATAGAATACGATTAGGTATTATTTAGTTTCTTGCACACTTACTTAAATGATCTTTTAAAAAGATTATAAATCCTATGGTTATTTTTATAAACTGCGCTCATTTTATATCTTCTCGGCTTGTGACGCAAAATTACTTCATATTTTAGGTGGTTTTAACTTGTTCAAGGGAAGCTTTCCTAAGCTTTGTGAGTCAGTCGAGGAGAGAGAAGAAACGAATTGTCCTTCGTACATTCGTCTGTCGGATCTTCGTATTACTGGCGATATATCAAGTCCTTGTGAACCCAGCAGTCCATTTGTCGACGCTCATGTGAAGAAAGGCGCTGTTGAAATTTTGCCCAATTTATATCTTGGCAATGCGAGGGACGCCTCCAATTTAAGAGAACTTTTGGACAGAAAGATTACTCATATTTTAAACGTTACCAATGATATTCCAAATAAATTTGAAAACGACCCTCGCTTCACATATTTGAATGTTAAAGTCCGAGACAACTGGCAGACGAACCTGACCGATCATTTTGCTACGGCTTTTAAGTTTATTGGTGAGTGAATGCTCTTTTTTTGCTAGATGTGTTTTTTCTTTGCCAATAGTTTCGTTGTTTACTAAAGTCTTAAAGAAATCAAATGAGTAAATCTATACGAATTCATTATAATCCTCTTACTGAGAAATAAGCGTCATTCTGTCATGTAAATATTAAAGTTGTGCGCGCGGTTCGTGTTTGAATTGAAAAAATTCATAAGCATGTACAATGTTGCTAATTAAGTATAGTATGGTGGTACATTGGGGCATTGTACTAATTGTTTTGTTTTGTAATTGTACGTGCTAACAGAGATTTGTATTATTGTATAGATCGACTCTAAATTATGCGATCATTAACGTTATCTTTCTAAATATATTTGTAGATGACGCCCGATTACATGGTAAAACTGTATTGGTTCATTGTCTGGCTGGTATATCTCGTTCAGTAACCATCACAACTGCTTATCTTATGGAACACGAGCATCTGAGTTTGAACGATGCCTATGATCTTGTCAAACGTCGAAAATCTGATATCTCGCCAAATTTCAGTTTTATGGGTCAACTGTTGGAGTTCGAACGTCTTTTGAATATTCCAGCGACCCCAAGTTCTGCTTCGAGCAGTCTTTCGTCGACGAGTAGTCTTGAAATGGAGATTGGCGGCTTTTAAATTCTTTTCACACCGGATTTGCTCGTATGAAATGAAAAATCGACATTCCAAAGACAACCAAGATTTTTATTCATTCACTGTTAAACTCATTGAAGTTAAAAAAACGTTTCAGCTAAACTTCACATGCTTTGTTTTTCTGTCTGGCTTATGAAATTGACCAGAACTTCTGCTATTTTTATTTAACACCTCGTTATTGGCAACTCCGACTACGTAGAGTGAAAGAAAACACTACATTGGTTCTATTGAACATACTTTGGATTACTTACATCACCTCATCTTCACTGAATCTAAATCAGCTCTATTTCAATCGTATATTAATCCAAGATTATACTTGTAAATAACAGATTTCTATAAAGAGTTACATATTTATATATTGATTGTAAATTCACATTAAAATTTGTAGTTAAAATATCGTTTCCTGTACTTCAATTAGATTAAATTTTTTTGATCTAGCCGCCGTCAAGTGTTTGCTTCGCATCGCCCCGCTTGACTTGGTTCGTTATTAAAATGTAAATATACCCTCCATGTGGACGCTCAATTTTTCAAGCTGTTTAATTTATCTACAAGGTTAGTCTTACGACAGATATGTGTCATAAAAACCATTTATAATTTGGATAGATTGATGGATTCAAGATGACGCCAAAATTTTATTACCACCAGCAATATAATATGAAGTACAAAACGAAACACTCTGTATTCAACCTTCATCTTTATATTCAATGAAAGGAAAAGACAAACATTTAGCGATATTTAGTTTGATGGTGAATTTTTGATTAACTCGAAATATTGTCTCCTTTCTTTTACATCAAATATTGAGTTAAAGATGGATGATTTATGATTCTGTTGTAGTAGACATTACAAGTTTTGTTGGCGTCAAATCGTGGTAATTTCGGCCAAATTTTCTTTCATATATTATTGTCTGAAAATGATAAAATCTGATTGAGTTCATATTTTTATGTACCATATGTATTTTGGTTAATCTTGGTTGATGTTTGCTTCATCTCTGTACAAACACCCATGCGTGTTTCCCTTATTCAGTGCAACAAAATATTCCTTGGCTTTATTTTCATTTATAGCAAAACGAGTTATTCTTACCAGATAGTTCATCGAAATTTTCAAAAAATGCAATAAAAACAGCTTATGTCACTTTAATCGTTCCACCCGCTTAAAAGAATAGACAAAAACACATTTAGAAACATTCTTTGAAATGTATGTATATTTTTTAAAACAATCTTGTAAACCAAAGGAAATATACTATGATTATTGATCATCCTGTTAACATCAAAAATCTTAATTTTCCATCCACTTGTACAGAGCCTTCAATTGACTAATGATAGGGAACACGCCATTCATTTGCATATCCCGCGGTCTAGCCAGAAATTGGGGAATGTTGGAATGCGTAATCGCACCACGCAAAATATTTAATGTCTTTATGTACAGGATGTTTTGAGATTATATGCGAAATCATAACATCCCAAGGCACTGTATGTCATAATCTTACGTTCAACAGATTATGATGACCCCCTTCACAATGTAATGTCCTGTTTTCGCAAAATTCACACACTGTTTGAAAGTCTAGCCTTCTCATTGAGCATGGGAGCATGGGGAAGACCATATTGTGTAACGGGTTACGGGGCTGAAATTTATTTAGATTCTTATTGAAGTTGTTTTGTGCCAACATTTTGACACATGAAAACAATCTCAATGATTGGTCTTTCTTGATACACGTCATTTTGCTTGACTGTTGCAACTTGCAATAGGGTTTGGTGAAGATCGGATCGCTAAATCAGGTATTGGTTCTTGGGTACGCTGTGTTCGAAATTTTACTTGCAGGCCTGGTCACAGAATAGATATTCTGTGCAGAGCCCTCTATAGTATAAGAGTTGGGACATCTATTGTTATCCGTTTAGCTTACGTTGATTGGTCAATATTGATCACCTGATCAATTTCCGCCATTTTGGTTCCTAGTTTTGAAATTTGGCATAAATCACTCACTACCATTAAATTGTTACAAATCTTGAACACAAATCTCTCCGGACCAAATCTGCATGATTACTATGATTCAAAGTTTCGAACAAAGTCTTGTCCAAGTATTTGATAACACTGATGCCAGGACAACATTGCCGCTTGCCGCCAAGCTTAAAGATCTTGAAAACTTGTTACAGAGTCGGAACATTAGCCGAGAAAACACGTTCACGTACGAAAAATACTTCTTACAATGGGTCACGATCAATTTGAAGCAAGAACTAGTAAACCGCAAACGAAGCTCAAACCAATGATATTAAATCAGGTCTGCCGCAAATCGTTAAAAAAACGCAAAGAGCTTGCTATTATTCCTAATATATTTGATACTACCATGGAATAAGCTTAAATTGCTTTCTTCTTTTGCATATAAACCCAATTTCCAATAGTATTATTATAGTTTCACTTTGCAAGTAGGAACCAAAATGGCGGCTCCGCGCTCGCCCCAGACCGTTTGTCCCAACTCTTATACTATAGAGGGCTCTGATTCTGTGGCCTGGTGCTGGTGTGGCTTGGTTACACAGCAAACTTCCTTTCGAAGTTTTTCAATGGTTCAATACAAGACCCCAAGGATTCGGTAAGGTTTCAATCCAACGAATTTTTGCGTAGTTTTACTTCATCTTTTTTTCCTTTTAAATACTATTGATTTTTAAGCCTTTTTAGTTCACCATCATCATCTCATTTTCTTTTCTACCGCTTTTAGTTGGTGTATACTCCGTGCTTAAAATACTAAGAACAAAATGGCCAAGTCAAAGAATCATACTGCCCATAACCAATGTAGGTGTCTCATGAATCACTTCAAATAGAGTTGTTATCCTTCTATTTACGTATCGCATTAGATTGACAATCCTTATTATGTACTGAAGTTGCAGCCAGGGTAACGAATGTCACTCTACTCGTTATTTGACAAAACTAAAATTCAAATAAGTTTTAAACTTTCTTGCAGCAAAAAAATGGCACAGGAAAGGTATTAAGAAGCCTAAAACACAAAGATATCCTTCACTAAAAGGAGTAAGTGATAAATTCAATTGTATCTGTATGAGACTGGGTGTCTTGATTGAGAATTATTGGTAGTTGTTAAGCATTGAAATAGTAATAGCTCTGTCGTTGAGTCCTTTTTATATTTATTAGGTTGATCCAAAATTTCTCAGAAATATGAGGTTCTCCAAGAAACACAATAAGAAAGTTAATGCAAAAAAAAGTTCCTAGAATGGCCTTTGTAACTTTTGCGGTAAAATAAATGGAGTTTTGATAGTCCTATCGCATCCTATGTCTAAAATTCTGTGTTTAATAAATCAAATGTTTTGGGGGCATGAAAGAAAAAAATTAATTTGTCTTAATAATTCTGTCATGAAACAGTTTTTTAACTGCAATAAGAATTAATTTACTTTTCATTATTATAACCGTGTGACATAAATGTCAAATCTCACATGGTTTATGGAACTGCTAGTGTGTTTTGTTGACAGTTACAATTTTTCATAAACGTATTGGATAAATATTTAACTTCATTGCTCTTGATAAATTGCTTTCTAACCTAGAGCTGTACCATAATAAGTCAGTGCGCTAAGTGATCAAATTGATTTAGCCAATCACATTGTTTGCATGTCATCGATAGACTGATTATGTTTGAGATGTTTAAATGGATACTAGGACTTACTTGTGAGCAATTTTGAAAAATCATTCATATCAATTGTTAGCAGACAAACTTTGCACAAATGAAGATCCATGTATGAAATCATTGTGCGAAGTTTTTGCCTAACAATCCAAATTGAAGTTAGAAAACCAAATTCCTTATATCAAATCAATATTACAACACAAATAGCAAAACTTGCAACTCTTGGTATGTTTTGGTGGTAAAACTTTGCAAAGTGAGTTTTCATGTATGGATCTTTATTTGTGCAAAGTTCTGTCTGCTAACTAATAATATGAACAATTTTTCAACAATGGTCACCTTTACATCCAAGTATCTCTTTAAACATTGAAAATTATTGGGCACTCTCATCCAAAGTTCTAACAAACAACAAATTTACTTTTGTTTCTCTTCAATAACAATCAGGGTATATTTCAAATTTCTCTCTACTAAGGAGTAGGTTTTTTGTGCATATTTCCAAAAGTGATCCAACAAGAAATGGACCATTTTTCAAATCTCTCTAATCAAACAGAGTTCCCCGTACTTCACTTTCCCAGAGTTCCTCGTACTTCTCTTTCCCAGAGTTCCCCGTACTTCTCTTTCCTAGAGTTCCCCGTACTTCTCTTTCCCCGTACTTCTCTTTCCCAGAGTTCCTCGTAGTTCTCTTTCCCAGAGTTCCCCGTAGTTCTCTTTCCCAGAGTTCCCCGTAGTTCTCTTTCCCATAGTTCCCCGTACTTCTCTTTCCTAGAGTTCACCGTAGTTCTCTTTCCCAGAGTTCCCCGTAGTTTTCTTTCACAGAGTACTTGGTTCCATATTATATGATCAGTTTATTGTCATCAATATAGCGTTGCTTCATACACCAGTAAATAATAAGTATGGTATTTATCTAAGTTGTAAATCCGTATCTTTAAAACTGCTTAATTCCCCTATTATTTTATAGCGCTGTTTTATTTACTTTTATGTTATAGTATTTTTGCAATTACACTTCATTCCATCTTTGAATGTTTGTGGTTGGGACAGTTATGATGTTATGGATTAGCTGTGAAAACCACTTCTTTGCATTTGATTTAAAATAATGATAACTTATCTACGGGTTCGCATAATGACACGTTTGTCGTTTTCTTTGAGGCTTTTCATGAAAATTTCTGTAAACACTTGCGTTTATTTTGAATAAATTTGACGACGGAACTTACCTTTAAAAGTGAATACTTCAAAAGTGACTACTTAGGTATAAAACAAATACAGCAATGAAGGATGAACTTTCAGGTAAATGTATTTTTTTCGTAGCCATCATTTTCAACGTATTGGTCGGAACACCTGTCAATGTTTTTACAATACTTCAAGGTGACATTACGTTTTTAGAGCAACTTCTGTTGAATGTTTTGCGCATGCAGTAACATAAAAGACCTAATGAATTGTGTTTAACAGTAATGCAAATGATTCTTATGAAATTCCAACTTAAACTGAATTCAATAACCTATTCGTTTAGTATTTTGATTCTTCTGTTACATCCCAAAGATATTGCTTTTACTAAACCTTTAAAAATATTTTTTAACTTCAGCTGCCTTAAATCCCATATTTTTCACACGTACAATTTATAATAACGATTACTACGTTCATCTCTTAGCATGTTCAACAAATTATAATTTTTGTTTGATTTTTTTAGCCTCCGGAGTGTTCGTGCTTGCTATGTTTGGTATTATGGTATTATTCCTCACTTTTTGCGGATTTTTCACCTTCAGACATTGTTGCTATGTTTGGCAAAGGAAAATTGGAAGACGACGCAAGGATTCGTTAGAAAGCATCCTAAATTTACTCTACAACGAAGACTACTATTATTTAGAATCTTCTACACCCTATCTTGCTCCCTCAGAAAGCAAGTATGACAGAATAAGTGACGATGAGGAAAAAGAAGATAGTTCTCATCAGTCAAGTGTGCCGTCTTTCGCTTACGAGCCATCACAGGGACAGAGAATCAAGTGGACTGGAACAGGGCAAATTGTATTGGATAAGTACAAGGTTAAAATACAAGTCTTTATTTAAAGATAGTGTAGAGTATAGTTTTTATAAACTTATTTTCTTGTATTAAGGTGTGTCCACAAATGGTAAACTCGGACATTTCGTCTCAACGAAAACTTCACCGTCAAACTAAGTTCGTGGGCTCGGCAGACGATGTTTCAAACTGGATACAAAATGGCACCGATGAACCCATAAAACCTTCATCGACACTTCTACCTTCCGGAAAGCACTTGCGATCTCCTCCCAACTCTCTTATTCTCAGTCATAGTAATAGTAGTTCTACCGAGCGAAGCCCGACGGAGTCACGGCTTTCTCCAACAGGCAATCACAAAGAGAAAACCGTTTCCATTAAAAAAATTGTCGCTGCTTCAAAATTCATTGGTGCTGCTCATCGTGCAAGAAGACAACTCAGAATGCAATCACGATATAATCCCGAGACGTTCCGTTATCGCAACGACAGCAGTGAGAGATCAGCTGCCAGCAGCTTCGAAAAACGCAGTTCACCAAATGCAGACGGCGAAAATTTGAGACAGAGTACTAAACAAGGACAAATCAACTTTCTGGAAGTCATAAACAAAATAAGAGATCAAAACCTGGAGAGGAATTCGAACGAACTCACAGAACGTCAAGACGAGTTGAAAGAATGGGGTTCGTCACCCAGAGATTATGGAAATAATGATCGTGCAGTTAATGAAGTCTCGCGTGACATTACACGTGATACGTTGTCAGGCAAAGACGTTCACATGAAATGGGTTGAATTGAAAAAAAATGACCCATTAAAGACTCCTGCTGGGCTTAGGCCCGAATCTCCACGAGATACGGTTTTCAATGGGGATAAATCTCGACGCGAGAAGCGTGTTAGGATGTTAAAACCATGTGACAGAACATTTGAAAATATTTCCCAGTATACTCGTAAGCCAGGAAAGAAAATATACAGCGCTAGTGTGGGTGGCAATGAAAAGAGGACGACAAATGACGTGGAAAAACTGTATGAAAAATATGAGGAAATGGAAAAGACCAGGTATGCAGAAATGTTGAAAAAAGCGAAGTCGTTAAAACGTTAAAATTTGCTTCACCTTATCCGTGAGCAATAAGAAAATATGAAATTTTAACTGCTGTTCACGTCAATAATTTATGAAGACGATCATAGAAACCGATAAGAAAAATTTGATAATGACATGTATTAAATAAATGATATGTTTTGCAATAGCTACAAAATTAAAATTAACGAAACTTGTGGTTTTTTCCATTTGTTTGTTTACGTTCCTTCTCTGCAGTAAAAACACTTCCTCAAACTTAAATTTTATCATTTATTATTTAATCGAAAAAAGACAGCAAGTTGATTGTTTATTTTCCTGACTAGTGAGGTCGCGGGGGATGTTGAACCATCTATGGGGAGGAATTTTCAGTATGCGAGAGAACTGAAGTTAGCGATCTTTGATTTACGAGGTTTCATAGAATATGGAACAGTAAATTATGTTAAAAATCTAGTGTGATAGGTACAAAAAGTGGTTTTATGACGGAAACTCTTCAATCTAACAACTTTGATTCTAGAACTGTTAATGATTAATTATTGGCTGCAGAATCACGTGACAAGTTAAATTAAGCTCGCGTGCTCCTTGACGCAATTTAATTAGAATTATTTAATTGGTTCTAAATTAGAAAGCTAATTGCACACAGTCAATTGTCATTGAAAAATTTCAGACTGTACTAACCACGTTTTACCAAACGAACGTTCAAAATGGTAAGTGCTTAATTGTCTGTGCTCGTAAATAAACAATAGTTTAAGTAATATGTTGAAGATTGAACACAAATAAAATAAAATGAATTAATATGTAAGATCTCTTGTTGTATCACTCTTCATAGTGAACTGTCACGCTTGTTACGTTATTTACTTTAATGACGTAACAATATTACATTTATAATCAGTGTAATTTGATCGAATAGATTTTTGCTTGATTTGAAAAATTAGACATTTGATAGTATTTTACAAACATGGTGAAACTTACCTCATGAAGTTTAGTTGTTAATATTTGCTTTGTTCATTAGAGAGAGTGTCTTTCTATTCACATTGGTCAAGCTGGAGTTCAGATGGGCAATGCATGCTGGGAATTATACTGTTTAGAGCATGGTATACAACCTGATGGTCAAATGCCTTCGGGGCAGACAATTGGCAGTGGCGATGACTCTTTCAATACATTCTTTTGCGAAACTGGAGCTGGCAAACATGTTCCACGCGCTGTGTTTGTTGACCTTGAACCGACTGTAGTAGGTTTGTATCGTAATTGGTTCTTTCCTGTACATTTGGTACATGCACACGAACCCTTTCTCTATGAAACATTGTGTTAACAAATGAATACATAAGTAAACTCTACATATTCTCTAAAAACAGTCTATGCGAGTACGCATTTTTTTTCTACGTGTTTATAGATGAGGTGAGAACTGGAACATACCGCGATCTTTTTCATCCTGAACAGTTGATTTCAGGTAAGGAAGATGCGGCAAACAACTACGCCAGGGGGCATTACACCATTGGCAAAGAAATTGTCGACCTGGTGCTTGACAGAATACGAAAAATGGTTCGTTTGTTTGCCATGTTGTCACATTCATAAAAGTCTTTAACTTGTAAGTGTTTTTATCATAAGCTATATCACTCCATGTCGTTTGTCTCGTTTAGGCAGATCAATGCACAGGTCTTCAAGGCTTTCTTATATTCCATTCATTTGGTGGCGGTACTGGATCAGGCTTTACCTCTTTACTCATGGAAAGACTTTCCCTAGATTATGGGAAAAAATCCAAGTTGCAATTTTCCGTCTACCCTGCTCCACAGGTTGTGAACATCACTCAGTCTGTACAAGATATTTGAACACTAGTACTTTTTCCGCATATCTTTTCTTAGGTTTCAACAGCCGTGGTGGAGCCGTACAACTCTGTTATGACAACCCATACAACCTTGGAACATTCTGATTGTGCATTCATGGTCGATAATGAGGCTATTTATGACTTATGTCGCCGTAATCTTGACATCGAAAGACCAACTTATACCAACCTTAATCGACTGATTAGCCAAATTGTCTCCTCTATCACCGCATCTTTACGTTTTGACGGAGCACTCAACGTGGACCTGACTGAATTTCAGACCAACCTGGTTCCCTATCCCAGGATTCACTTCCCTCTTGTGACGTATGCGCCTGTCATTTCCGCTGAGAAAGCTTTCCATGAGCAGCTGAGTGTGGCAGAAATAACGAGCACTTGTTTTGAACCAGCCAATCAAATGGTAAAATGCGATCCACGTCATGGCAAGTATATGGCATGCTGCATGCTCTATCGCGGTGATGTTGTACCCAAAGACGTTAACGCTGCTATAGCAACCATCAAAACGAAACGTACCGTACAATTTGTAGACTGGTGCCCAACAGGATTTAAGGCAAGTGAAATGTGGATGTTACATTGTGTAGAAAGCGAGGCAGAAAGCAGCATATTTTCCCTTTTTTTCTCAAAAATGAAACTCTGCGTGATATGAAAAGTATAGCGTTCTCTTTCTTGTAAACTTGTTTCAATTGTCTAATGAGTGTCTAATTTTGAAGGTGGGTATCAACTATCAACCGCCTACTGTGGTTCCAGGTGGGGATCTTGCAAAGGTACAGCGTGCCGTTTGTATGTTGAGCAACACTACTGCCATTGCAGAAGCCTGGGCACGACTGGATCATAAGTTTGATTTGATGTACGCAAAGCGAGCATTTGTTCACTGGTATGTCGGCGAGGGAATGGAAGAAGGAGAGTTTTCAGAAGCTAGAGAAAATCTCGCTGCGCTTGAGAAGGATTACGAAGAGGTTGGCATGGATACAATTAACGATGACGTAGGCGAGGAAGACATGGATGAGCACTGAGAACTAATTATAACATACGTATGCTTTCTCATTTTTTGTAAAATATGGTTTTTGGATTGGTTATATATAGTGTAAACTACAATATATGTATACTGTACACTTCAAGCAATGACAAATGCAAATGAATACTCTCAAAACATTAAAGATCTTAGCGAGTGTCACAATACTTGATATGATTTAGCGCGTGATATTCGCGTGGTCACAAGACTTACGCGAGAAACAAAATAGAAACCATTATTTGCTCGGAAATTTAGATTCATTATGGATGATTTACAGGTAAGAAGCATTTTCTTTTTTAATGTTTTACTTGATGAATTATTTTATTCAAGACTTCGAAAACGGACGAAAAAGTCTGATACAATATTTATGATTTACTGCGTCTTTATCATTCTCATCATTAATATTGTAATGGTTAGACATTGCTTGACAAAGCAGTCACAGAATATGAGAAATGTGCTTCAACTCCGAGTGTTTTGCTGGAAGATTGTCAGTAGAAGAAGATCAACTGAAAGTGGAAAGCGAATGGGCGCAGAGAAATCTAACCTTAAATGGAAAGAGAGTATTTCTCAAAACATTTTATTTCAAGTTGAATGTTAATAGTCAAGTGGATGGCAAGTATTTGGAAGTTCCACCAACACAATTAAATAACAAGTTAGGACATAAGTATTTTGAAGATATTTGCTTAACCTACTTAAATTTACCAAGAAATTTTTTTACCAGACAGATTTCATGTTCTACAAAGACAGGAAATTTAACAGCTATAGTAAGAAAAATTGCTGGGGATGCCAAGAAAAATGATACTCAACACATTGAGGTTGGCTACTTACCTAATAAAAATAAAATCCTGTGCAAAAATACAGATTGAATTTTGTTGTTTAGATTTGGTCACGAACTCATTGCATAAAATGCTACACCTTGGAAAATGTTCTTTCTAAACATGGTACTATCCATAACAATGGTAAGTTGCCAAGTCAAAGATGATTAGTGGGATGAAATGAAAATATTTAATTTGCATTTGTTTATTTAGATGAAATAAGTTGTCTTGAATGGTCTCCATGTCAGAGATATTTACTCTACATTGCGGAAAGGTTACCATCAAAAACTGAGTCATATTTTGCAGGTAAAGTTAATCATCATTTAACAACACATTCTACATTAAAATAATACTGTGCACTTTAGTGCTGCATGACTTCTTTTTCACATGACTTGATTCAGTTTCCTAATCGTCCAAAGGTCAATTATGTTTTGATGGGCGAGTCAAATTTCAAGTGTGCGCTTGACTTTGATTTGATTATGTTTCCAGTCATATACAATTGTTCACAGAAGTCTTTCAACTGGCAAGGTTGCATTGCACTTATTACGTAATTGTGATTGCGTGACACACGATTATCGTAATATAGCTGACTAAATTTTTGCAAATGTGTTTTTATATAAACTTACGAATATTTAGAAAGCCAGTATAATCACGTTTCATTCGTTCTTTACTTTATCGATTAATCACAACGAATGGCTAGCCACCAGCTTATAAAAAGCACAAAAAGATTTTACCATGTATTCCAAAAATTGCCTTTAAAATTTGTTGTTATAAAAGGGGAACAATACTTATCCGAGTTGTGTTTCCTTCTGGCTAGCTAGAATCAAATATTTTAAAGGTAATATAGCTGAGAGAAGAGCCTCTTGTTTGAACAATCTCAAAGTTCATCTTGCATGGAAATTTTGTAGACAAAAAAGAAAAGAGCTCAACTGAAGATGAAAAATTGGAAAAGGTGTCTGTTTTCTTGCATTTGATGAGAATGTAATATGGCTTCATCTATGCCCTAGATTATCATGTTAATTAAATGTAGAAATGATCTTCGCACTTTGCTGGACAATATTAAGCAATTATCTCATGAACCTGAAAAATTCAGGTGACTCAACAGGATTCGAACCCATGACCTCTGCGGTGCCGGTGCAGTGCTCTGACCAACTGAGCTATGAAGTCACACAGTGGTGAGCAGGTCAATTTTGTCCACAGTGGTGAGCAGGCAAATTGACCTGCTCACCACTGTGTGACTTCATAGCTCAATTGATCGAAGCACTATTCACCAGACTAGTTTCGAGAATCATTGCTTAAAATGTCAGCAAAGTGCGAAGATCATTTCTACATTTAATTTCAAACACCGCACTGCATAAAACATTCTTTCGTATTATCATGTTAAACTCTCCATTTTTAGGGCGATAAGTTTGCATACAAACAAAACTTTGGAGAGCAGATGAACAATGTTTATGATACGGTAATTGCTATCTTGGACACCAAAAACGACGATGTTAAAGTGATTGAAGGATTGCCTGATAATATTCGTCCTGGAGCGGTAAGAAAAATATATTTCGGCGTTTATGTGTTATTCTTGCTGTGTCCAAGTATGAATGTAGCATGTTGATGGACGAAAGGATTTTTTTTATACAGACTTTTGTGGATGATAATACTTCTTGATAATAAAAAGTTTTGGGCTTTGATTTTTTAGTCATTATGGAGTCAAGACGGTCGTTCTTTAATCTTTTGTGGTCATATTGTGGCGCCATTTATACTAGGTGTAAAATATTGTCGAAACAGAAAGTAAGCAACTTTCTTACAAGAATTGCATAGATGAATCACAAAATGTCAATGTAATTCAGTTTCATTTTTTTCTTTCTTTGTCAGGACTGGCATTTATCTTTTGTCTCTAGATGATAATTCTTGTGGTACACACTTCTAGAAAAAATTATTTTCTATACTTCTACACAGTAAAAAGGAAATATTATTTTCTTGTTTCTAGTTGTGTTGAGTGATGAAGATGAAGCATGCAGCTCGCCTCGTCTTTCTCCTTGCAGAGAGAAATTGGTGATTAAAACTTCATTACATAAACTAAACAAGTAGTTTTCAGTTAAGTGTTCAAACAATGACATATTCGTTGATTTTGTTCTAGGTCTATCTTTCAGGAATTCCTTATGGTCCGCATATGTGTTGTCAGAAGATGATAGTGGTGAGAAATTAGCTTTATGGCTGTCATTAATAACTTTGTTACGAAAACGATAAAAGTTATGAGAATTTTTGCTTTCTAAAACATAATTGTTAGACTTTGAAAATCAACAAACAAATTTTCGTTTTGTTCAGGTGGAAATGAAAAAGCCGAAAGAAAGGAAAATTTTGGTCGATGTCGTCGATAAACCAAAGAATGGTGTGTATCGTAGTTATGTGAATATTTGCAATGTTTGCTCTGATAGACAAGTCAGTCAGTTAAGTTGGCATATTTTGATTCTTGAAACACCTGCAGAAAACGGTGTTATTTTGTTGTATACGTATCTCTAAAACTGTCATTACATCATCAATTTATTCCCGACTTTAGTTGAAAGTTGTTGTCTTTTGAATATTTTTCTTTCTCCATTTTCTTTCTATTTTCTTCCTCAATAAAAAGTTTATCAAATTGTGTATTTGCTATTTTAGCTGAAGCATTTCCTGGAATTTATAACTTTGGTGCGTAAAAAATTTATTGTTCGTAAATAATTAAGTAATAATTAAACTCATTCGGCCCTTTGAATTTTTTATATGTAAGCTTTACCAAAACGCACATGGTCAGAGGATAGTCGATACGTCATCTTTCATTCTATCTGGCGTTCAAATCAGGTGCTTGTGATCCAGAGCCACAATAGAACTTTTATACCAAGCCATTTTCATTCAAAGTGTGTGGTAGTAAAATAGAAAAAAATTCAGGTTTTCTACGATTTAAGTATCTTAGAGTGAGACACACTTAAGCTAAGCTCTATTAGTTTTTGAAATATCAAGGTTGCAAAGGCTTGTGAAAAAAACATAAGACGATTGAAGTTGCGGAAAATATCTGGATAATGAGGGTCGGTTATTGACCTTTGGATATGCTTTAACTACATAGGTAATCATCGCCATTGATGTGCTTAATGGAATGGTGTCGCGAATCACATCAGGTAAAGAGTGAAATGTTCTTTGGAGTTGAAGAAAATGCATGAGGCTAAAAATAAACTTCGAGAAAACCTTCTTTTTCAAAATTTTGTTTGTAAAACAGGAAACGGATGTTGGACAGTTCTCGATATCGTTAATGGTTTCATTTTAGCGTCGTTTTCAACTCCAAACTCTCCTCAAGTTTTGGTTTGTTGTCAAATGTTATATTTTCACGGTGAACATGGACTCGAGATTTTCATATTGCTTTATTATATTTAGATGCTTGCAAAACTACCAAGTATATTGAAGGATGCGGTTCTTTCGTGGATAAGAGTGGGTAAGTCTTGCATGGTTGCGGAAATAATTTTTTATGGACAAAACTGAATGGACTAAGAAAAGTGAATAATCAGATGATTGTATTTTAAGGTGACGATTTTGGTTCACTGGAGGATGTGATTGAATGGAACATTGTCTCTTTTACACCTAAAGACTTTCAAGGTTCTATAATAATAATCCTTTTTTGGTCCTATATTAAAAGATGGGTGAATTTTGTTCACCGAGCTTATAAATATTTTTGCTTCAATAATTCAGCAAACTATTCACTGTCTTATTAATAATTTACTTTTGTAATGTTGTGATTTTTTCATTGATTAGATAACTGGCAACAATATGAAGGCTATTTGATGAAACCAATTGTTGATGACTCTAGAAAAATACCTCTAATTGTGTTCCCTCACGGTGAATGATCGATTGATTGCAGTAATAAGATACATAAAAAATATCCACAAATGTTATGGTAATATGCATCCCATGATCATTATACAGGAGGTCCACACATTGCGTCTATGACATGTTTCAATCTCCATGGTGCGTTATTTTGCAAGCTTGGTTTTGCTGTTTTGTTTGGTGAGTTCAGGGTTTATATATTTTGGTACAATGAACGACTAATTTTATATTTGATGTCAACATTCTACCGTGATTTACAATCTGAGGGAAACGTCAGTCAACAACAAGAAAAACAGTCCTTCTCAGGACTATACCAACCTGGACGATCGACATTTACAAACATGTAACGATACTCCCGGGTTCAAACCATTTACTTTATCTGAGTGAAGTTATTTTGTTTACATTTCAAGTGAGAAAGTGCAACTTGCAGCTATCCACTCCAAACCAAAAAAAATGTTGTGAAGTTTGTAGTTAGGTCTCTATAAAGTATTATAAAATCTCTAAAGTAAAGTGTCTACAAATCAAATATATGTACAAATACAATAAAACTGCATCTGAGAGCATATATTTGCTCTTGAAATGCGAGTGCAGAATTTTCCTTGCGTACATCTGTGCTATTTTTTATTCCAGTTAACTATCGTGGTTCATTGGGTTTTGGCCAAAGTGCCTTGATGTCAATACTTGGTAAAAGTAGTATTCAAGATGTTGAAGATGTTCAGGTGACAAAATATTATTTTGTATAATAATATTGCATTCTCAATCATTGAACACTGTACACAGTGGTTGCAAAAAAAGCCACCAAATATGAAAATCCAGTTTTCGGTTGATAACACGTGGAAAATTACAAAAATCATGTAGAAATGTTCAGGGGCACTGACCAGATAGCACTTTAGGATTTACGTTTGCGCACGGCAATGGTGTTTGAAGCATTTTTTCAAAAGTTACATTGCTCAACTTTCTATAAATAATATGATCAAAATGTAAATTCTGCTCTTGCAGCATCCATATTTTTCACACCATTAATCATTACATATACTTCTCTTGGTTTTGTAAAAGAAAACGCACTCATGTCGTGGATGTTTTCTTGTATCTAGTTATGGTAATATAAAGACTTTGCCAATCTTGTGCTTTCTTAGAATGCAGTGATGACCATTCTGAAAAATCATCCAGGAGTGTTTGATGAAGAAAAATTATTTTTGACTGGCGGATCTCATGGGGGATTTCTTACAGCCCATCTTATTTCGCAATATCCTGTACGTATACTTGTAGCAATCGTTCATCATCATTTCTATCTATTTACTAGGGCATTGAAGTGAGGACTCAGCACTCTCCTCCCTTGTTAAAGTTTTATGTGTTTTAGTGGTGGGTGTATATCAGAGCCTTCCCCTTGTAAAGTTTTGGCTATACACCTCAGCTCCTTTCCTCCCTTCTTTCCTTTCTTCCTTAAGTAGGAATTAAGTAGAAACGTTTATTCCGGCGGGAGGGGGGGTGTTCTTATTCATATATTTAGTCGTACCCCACTGATTTCTTCGGATAGTGAATTCCTTGAGCATAACTTAATATATGAACAAACACCCCTCAACTAACGTGGTAGGAACGGCCCTGTATATCTATCCTTCTTTTCTTTTTTCTCCAAATTATTTTTTCAAAAATATCTTCAACTTTCATGAGGTGATTTAAAAGATTTAATTCAAAATATTTTAACAGAATTTCTACCGGTCATGTGCCATGAGAAACCCCGTAATTGACTTTACAGGTGAGGTTCAGCTAACTTAAAGGCATGTGTTGTATATGGTGTGTCATTGTTTCTTGAATTGTGTTGACGTCATTAAAGATTAGTTTGCTGTAGCTTGTTTAGCAGCAATTAAGTAGGAATTGTATCAAACTTGCAAATCCTTTGTTTAAATGTGATCTATTTTTTTTTCATGAAAAGTTATGTTGGGAACATCAGATATTTATGATTGGTAAGTCGTCTTCGTGATTTATTATCCAAGTAAATTCTAACTAACTTCTGTTTATGTTTTAGTTGTTATTCCATTGTAAACGAGGAGTTTTCGTTTGACGATATTCCTTCACTGCAACTAAGAACGAAATTGCTTCAAGTGTCGCCTATAATTCACGCTCACAAAGTAGGTCATTTAATTATTCTTATAATCTTGTCTAACCTCCAAGTCAAATAACAACCCACTTTTTGTCTATTAAAAGGTGAAAACTCCAGCTCTGTTGCTGTTAGGCGGTTCTGATCTTAGAGTCCCTTCTTCCCAAGGATTGCTTTACTACAAAACCTTAAAAGCGCATGGCGTTAAGACTAGGTTAGTACACCTTAACCGTGATAATTCCATAATCTGTCTCTTAATGTTAACACTCATTTCTACTAGATGCTTATTCTATCCTGAGGATAACCATACTTTGGATAAAGTCGAAACAGAGGCGGATGTTTTGTCAACATGATAAAATGGTTTTCGTCTGCATAACCAAATTATTACCAAATAAATTGAATTTTTGAATAATTCGTTCGAATCAAACCGTGGTTGGAGAAGTAATTTAAAATTTTCACTTTTGAAATCAAATCATAAGTTTGATCATTTGTCTGTCCTCGAGAGTATGGAAAAGAAGGAAACTAGGAGTTCCAAGAGGCCGAACGGCCAGAAGATAGACTACCTCAGACAAATGGCAAATCATTGATAAATACCAACATATAAAATACTTTTATTTGTTATAAACTGTGCTTTTTTGAACAATCATACAAGTAAATCACGAACTATGATAAAACAATGAATAATTAAAAATGAAATAGGTTTGTAAAAGTGAACTTTTGGTGTTTCACCTGCCTGTCAGTCACATGCACGTGATACCCACATGTTTACGAGACATACTCTTGTTCTGAATTTTCAAAGTTTAATTTCTTTTAATTTTACTAAACGTACATGCGGAAGACTCGTGACATCACGATTCACGATTTGTTGAAATGACGACTTAAAAAATCATCTCTCCTATGATTTGGTTACAGCTCTATGAACTGAACGCTAATCTAAAGTAAATTCACCAATTTGGAAAATTGCTATTCATTGTTTGTAATGGCGGATATTTTGGTAGAAACCAAGAGATGTTCTTTATTAATGTTGGCGTTTATGGTTATTTTATTTAAGACTCGCATAGCTGAGACAGAATTTGATGTAACATTTGTAATTTAAAATATAAATTTATATTCTTATTTAATATCGTGTTGTGCACTGTGCAGGAATGGGAAGACAAAGCTGTCCAATTGTATGAGAAATTTGCTGCAATTCCTAGCGTTTCAAAGGCAAGATTATCAGTAGAAGAAGATCAGCTGAAATTGGAAAGTGAATGGAGTCAGAGAAATCTAATCTTGAAAGAAAAGAGATTATTTCTCAAAACATTTTATTTCAAGTTGAATGTTAATAGTCAAGTGGATGGCAAGTATTTGGAAGTTCCACCAACACAATTAAATAACAAGTTAGGACATAAGTATTTTGAAGATATTTGCTTTATCTATTTGATTTCTACCAAGAATTTTTCTTTACCAGACAGATTTCATGTTCTACAAAGACAGGAAATTTAACAGCTATAGTAAGAAAAATTGCTGGGGATGCCAAGAAAAATGATACTCAACACATTGAGGTTGGCTACTTACCTAATAAAAATAAAATCCTGTGCAAAAATACAGATTGAATTTTGTTGTTTAGATTTGGTCGCGAACTCATTGCATAAAATGCTACACCTTGGAAAATGTTCTTTCTAAACATGGTACTATCCATAACAATGGTAAGTTGCCAAGTCAAAGGTGATTAGTGGGATGAAATGAAAATATTTAATTTGCATTTGTTTATTTAGATGAAATAAGTTGTCTTGAATGGTCTCCATGTCAGAGATATTTACTCTACATTGCGGACAAATTATCACCAAAAACTGAGTCATATTTTGCAGGTGCAGTTTACGTTATACCTATTTTTATAATTTTCTGTTTTTCTAAGCCGATCTTTGCTCTAATGAAAATCTGTAGAAAAAAAAGAAAAGAGTGAAATTGAAGATGAAAAATTAGAAAAGGTGTCTGTTTCATTGCATTTAATGAGGATATAAATTGGCTTCATCTATGCTCAAGATTGTCATGGTCAACACTTTATTTCTAGGGAAATAAGTTTGCATACAGACAAAACTTTGGAGAGCAGATGAACACTATTCATGAGACTGTATTGGTCATTCTGGACACCAAAAATGATGAAGTTAAAGTGATTGAAGGATTGCCTGATAATATATGTCCTGGACCGGTAAGAAAGTATTTTGCTAAATGCTAATGATAATGTTTGCAGATTTTCCTGGGATGCGTACAATCCCTTGGAATAATGTACAATGTGTGTCAAGAAGTTGTCTTTCTTGTAATGAGAAAATTCTATTATCCAATGTTTTAGGCATTGTGGGGTCGAGATAGTTGTTCTGTAATATTTTGTGGTTGGGCGATACAGCCTCATATACTTGGTGTAAAATATTGTAGAAATAGAAAGTAAGCATCTTCTCCCTCATTTTATAAATTCAAACGTCAATGTAATTCAGTTTGATTTTTCTTTCTTTGGTAGGACTGGCATTTATCTTTTGTCTCTAGATGATAATTCATGTGGTACACACTTCCAGAAAAATTTATTTTCTATACTTCTACTTACTAAAAAGGAAATATTATTTTCTTGTTTCTAGTTGTGTTGAGTAATGAAGATGAAGCATGCAGCTCGCCTCGTCTTTCTCCTTGCGGAGAGAAATTGGTGATTAAAACTTCATTACATAAACTAAACAAGTATTTTTCAGTTAAGTGTTCAAACAATGACATATTTATTGATTTTATTCTAGGTCTATCTTTCAGGAATTCCTTATGGTCCGCATATGTGTTGTCAGAAGATGATAATGGTGAGAAATTAGCTTTATGGTTGTCATTAATAACTTTGTGATGAAAATATGTTAAAGTTGAAAGTGTTAATGTATTATCAAACATTTGTGATAGTTTTCAAATTTTTTTGTTCAGTTAGAAATGAAGAAGCTGGAAGGAAAGAGAATTTTAGTGGATGTTGTCGATAAACCAAATAATGGTTAGTACGTATGTGTTATTTGCATTTGTTTCAATATTTGCAATGTTTGCTTTGATAAAGAGGGTGAATAAAGTGAATAGTTTGAACCTGGGAGTATTGTAACATGTTTGTGGATAAAGATTGTTATATTGTTATGTTTTGAAACACCTCCAGAAAGATATTTGAACTAAATCATATTTTGATTTTGATATGTGGGCATATGGCGGTGAAACCGTCAACCTTTCTTCATTACTCTTCAACTTTTGGAAATCATTTTAAGGTTTTCACAATGTTCTTGTTTCTCATATATAATATTTTAGCTGAAGCATTTCCTGGAATTTATAACTTTGGTGCGTAAAAAATTTATTGTTCGTAAATAATTAAGTAATAATTACACTCATTCAGCCCTTTGAATTTTTTAATATTTAAGCTTTACCAAAACGAACATGGTCAGAGGATAGTCGATACGTCATCTTTCACTCTATCTGGCGTTCAAATCAGGTGCTTGTAGTAATTAATGCCTAGCCATCTTGTAAAGATAGCAATATTAAGACTTTATAAGATTTGAGTATCTTAACATCTCATGGCAAGGACAAGAAGTCATTGGCGAAGTTTTGGATCAAAGTATCGAGGTCGGTTATTGACCTTTGGATTTGCTTTAACTACATAGGTAATCATCGCCATTGATGTGCTTAATGGAATGGTGTCGCGAATCACATCAGGTAAAGAGTGAAATGTTCTTTGGAGTTGAAGAAAATGCATGAGGCTAAAAATAAACTTCGAGAAAACCTTCTTTTTCAAAATTTTGTTTGTAAAACAGGAAATGGATGTTGGACAGTTCTCGATATCGTTAATGGTTTCATTTTAGCGTCGTTTTCAACTCCAAACTCTCCTCAAGTTTTGGTTTGTTGTCAAATGTTATATTTTCACGGTGAACATGGACTCGAGATTTTCATATTGCTTTATTATATTTAGATGCTTGCAAAACTACCAAGTATATTGAAGGATGCGGTTCTTTCGTGGATAAGAGTGGGTAAGTCTTGCATGGTTGTGGAAATATTTTTTTATGGACAAAACTGAATGGACTAAGAAAAGTGAATAATCAGATGATTGTATTTTAAGGTGACGATTTTGGTTCACTGGAGGATGTGATTGAATGGAACATTGTCTCTTTTACACCTAAAGACTTTCAAGGTTCTATAATAATGATCCTTTTTTGGTCCTATATTAAAAAGATGGGTGAATGTTGTTCACCGAACTTATAAATAATTTTGTTTCAATAATTCAGCAAACTCTTCATTGTGTTTTTAATAATTTACTTTTATAATGTTGTGATTTTTTCATTGATTAGATTACTGGCAACAATATGAAGGCTATTTGATGAAACCAATTGTTGATGACTCTAGAAAAATACCTCTAATTGTGTTCCCTCACGGTGAATGATCGATTGATTGCAGTAATAAGATACATAAAAAATATCCACAAATGTTATGGTAATATGCATCCCATGATCATTATACAGGAGGTCCACACAGTGCTTCTCTGACATGTTTCAATCTCTATGGTGCGTTATTTTGCAAGCTTGGTTTTGCTGTTTTGTTTGGTAAGTATCAGGGCTTATAAATTCTGTTATAAATACAGTTATTTTTTAGAAGTTTTCCGCAAAGTTAACTTAAAGTCTCAAGTGCTCAGGGCAAGTTCATTCAATAAAAATTGCCAGCTAATGATAAAAGCCTGTTGTGATTGGTAAATCTGTGAACTTGGCTTGCGTTTTGTGATTAGTAAAACTCCTTTGAACTATGTGCCTCTACATCTATATAATCAATGAATTTATAAAAAAAAACGGTTTCTCCGCCAACTCGAATACATTGGAGCGTTAATGTTTTTTACAAATAGATAATTTTCTAGCCATGTGAATGATAGAGTTTGTCTATAACAGTGTCATTGAAATGCGATTCCATAACTTCCTGAGTGTATTTCTTTTATTGTTCCAGTTAACTATCGAGGCTCACTGGGTTTTGGCCAAAGTGCCTTGACGTCATTACCTGGTAAAATTAGTATTCAAGATGTTGAAGATGTTCAGGTAACAAATTTTTATCTTGTTTTAATAATGGGAGTGTGAATGGAGAAAGTACGCATTTGTTTCCTCTGTCAAGATAATTTTTTGTCACTTTGACGCTAAAATAACGACATGATTACTACGATTGTCTTTATGTTTTTGTAAGCCATTCTTATTTCTTTTTTTTTTTAAACTGCGATGACTTGTTGAAAATACAACAAACTTACAAATTGATTGAATTCACTGTGCAATTTTTGCGTAGAATGCTGTAATGACAGTTTTAAAGAATCACCATGGAGTTTATGATGAGACAAAAATATTTGTGACTGGTGGATCTCATGGAGGATTTCTTTCAGCCCATCTTATTGGACAAAATCCTGTACGTATGTAGTATATCCTATACATGTAGTTATTGCTCGTCATCACTTCCGTCCTTTCCTTCTTTCCTTCTTTCTTTCCTTCCTTTTTTTCTTTCCTTCCTTCTTCCCTCCTTCCTTTCCTTCTTTCCTTCCTTCTTTCCTTCTTTCCTTCCTTCTTTCCTTTCTTCCTTCCTTTTCTTCCTTCTTTCCTTCCTTCTTTCCTTCCTTCTTCCTGCGTATGCCTTTTCCTTCTTTTCTTGTTGAATTAATTTTACAATTAATATATTAATTTTTTTATACGTTAATGAAATATATTTTAACAGAATTTCTACCGGTCATGTGCCATGAGAAACCCCGTAATTGACTTGACAGGTAGGCAATTTAAAATACCATAACTACTTCTCGGAGGTCAAGTTTTAAAAGAGCATCTTATCACTTGATTTGAGTTTAATCTTCTTTTTTTTCACGACAAGTTATGATGGGAACATCAGATATACCTGACTGGTAAGTTCACTATGTTCTAGTCATGATTTATTAATGACCAGGTGGTGATTTGTCAGTTGAAATTGTTGTTGATGTGCAGGTGTTATTGTGAAGGAGGTGACAAGTTTTCGTTTGACGATATTCCTTCACTGCAACTAAGAACGAAATTGCTTCAAGTGTCGCCTATAGTTCACGCTCACAAAGTAGGTCATTTAATTATTCTTATAATCTTGTCTAACCTCCACACCAAATAACGACCCACTTTTTGTCGATTTAAAGGTGAAAACTCCAACTCTGTTGCTGTTAGGTGGTTCTGACCTTCGAGTCCCTTCTTCCCAAGGACTCCTTTATTACAAAACGTTAAAAGCCCATGGCATAAAGACAAGGTTAGTATTTCTTATTGTGTTCTCGATAGTTACATACTCATTCCATAAAGATCACTTATGGTTTCTATTAGATGCTTATTCTATCCCGAGGACAACCACTCTCTTGACAAAGTCGAAACAGAGGCGGATGTTTTTATTAACATGATAAAATGGTTTGCGTCTTCATTACCCATTGATAATTAACATAATTAACATAACTTGCGGGATATTGTGTGATTCTGGTGAATGAAAACAAGTCTTCGGAAGGCAACTATTGCCGAGTATAATTTTTACAGAGGAAATTGATCGAAATGCAAATTTTGAAGACTTGGTCAAAATACGGAATACTCTTCGTCGTTTGTTTAATTTTTTTTGTTTTTACATCTGATAAACAATTTGATCATAAAGAAAGTACTAAAGCTGTTGGTTTTCATTTGGCGCTAACCATGGAACATAGTTTAAAGAATGAGGTTGACGATTTGAAAAAAAGTAAAGACAGAACAATATTGCTGGTATTTTGGACAACATTTTTTGGTTCTAAGCCACGGCATAGGGATGGCAAGCAGTATAAATGGCCTTTTTACTACGTCGGTGACAGATGTCCTGTGAAGTGTGAGCTTACTACAGAACAGCACAGAATAGCTGAAGCTTCTGCTGTTGTATTTCATGTAAGAGATTTTAACCAGAATGATCTTCCTCCTAAAAACTTTCGAGGTCTTCCATGGATTCTACATTCTCATGAAAACCCTGTTTACACTCCAGTTCTCCATGATTCAGATATCATGTCAAAATTTAATTATTTTGTGAGCTATCGTCTTGATTCAGATTTCCCATCTCCTGAATTTATTAAGCCCAATTTATCTAGGCCAATGGCATTTACAAGTAAAACCAAGTTGATTTTGGCTGTATACAGTAATTGTGAAGGATTGCGGACTCATTACATGAGTGAATTGAAGAAATACATAAAAGTTGATTTCTATGGTAACTGCTTACGAACTCATAAGTTTGTGAAACGTGCTTCTGATGCTGATGACAGAACTCTGATAAATTTAATGCGAACATATAAATTTACTCTGGTTTTCCTAATGCAGACTGTGATTATTATGTTACAGAGAAGATGTATAGAGCACTTTCCTCTGGATCGGTGCCAGTCTGGTTAGGAACAGATAAGATTGATGAATTTTTAAAATGGGGAAATTTAAACCATTCCATAATCAAGGTGAAACAATTCAAGTCGCCCAAATCTCTTGCAAATTATTTAAACTTTCTTGCACAGAATGAAATGGAATACAACAAATATTTAAAGTGGAAATATGAGGGGTTTCAGTTCCCACCCAGTTACTATAAATCTGCAATTGGCAGTTGGTGGGAGGGTTTGCCTGTATACTGTAGAGTGTGCATGAAGATTGCACAAGATTCTAAAGGACATGATGGATTGCCCATTGATATTTGTTCATCAACAGGTAGTGAACGCTTAGCAAAATTGATACCATAATTATTTGATGTTTATGTTATGCCTGACTATGTGGTAGACAAGCTACAATGATATTTTGTAGGAGAGCAAGTTGAAATTTTTTTTGCAAAGCTAGAACTGGTAAAAATTTTTGCTTCAACTTTGGTATTACGAATTCTTTGTAATTTTGTTTGCTGTCCAAGCAATACAACTTGCATCACCATCCGCCTTTTCGAGTATGGAATTTAGTACAACCTAAAGTGATTATAGACGAGTTCATTTTTCTGGTTTCAAATCTCAAATCTTCTATTTTGGTCGAACATTTCTTTGAAAGATGGAAGAATATGCCAGAGAGCCATGGTAAGTAATACCCAAAACGCGTTAATGGAAGTAATTCTTTCAATTCATTCCGATTCGAGCAGAAGCGAGAAAGTTTTTTGTATGTCTGAAAAGGGCACGAATTAGTTGTATATCTCTCACTTTGCTTTTAATTTTCAGCCCGTATCGTATCGTCGATGATTGTGGCGGTGCCTTTGCAATGGGAGCAATAGGCGGAGGAATATTTTCATTTGTAAAAGGATGGCGCAACTCACCATCAGTAAGACCTGACATTATACTATGGTTCTTAGTAATTGATTTGGCCAAAAAGTGCCGGGTATTTTTTCCAAAAACTCTTTAGCTTTGTGACTTTAAAATGAATATGTAAATTCACCTCTAGCCATCGAGTGCACATTTTCGGGTCTGTAATTGAAATAATTTGTGATACAAGTTACAAATTCCAAAGTTAATGTTACCACATGGTGAGATTATGTTTATACATCCCTCTGCTACTCGCTATCATAAATATATATATTTTGCATGTGATCCTCAAACATCTCACAGTTAGTAGAAATGAAACATCTTAGTAACATATAAACTCATTTATTTTGTCTAGGGCCACCGGTTGCTTGGCAGTATTTCTGCAGTTAAAACAAGAGCTCCTGTATTGGGAGGCAAGTGTATGATTTGAAATGACAAGTACTTTTTAAGCACAAAGAACAACTATGCTACATCATATTATAACATTTCTGTTTCAGGTAATTTTGGTGTATGGGGTGGGCTCTTCTCTACATTTGAGTGCTGTTTGATTGGCATTAGACGAAAAGAGGATCCATGGAACTCCATTGGTAGTGGTGCATTGACAGGAGCTGTGCTAGCAGCCAGGGGTGGGCCCTCATCTGCGCTTTCCGCAGCTGCTGTTGGTGCTGTCTTACTTGCTTTGATTGAGGGTGTAGGTATTGCAATTACCCGAATGACAGCAGAACAATTTAAACCAGGTTTGCTTGTAAATTTTTTTTTACCAGTTTTCTGATATGAGTTTGGCTAACTCTCTCTTTTTTTATATTCAAGTCATGCCCCAACCACCTGACCCAGCTCAGCTTCCACCTTTACCAGTGCCTCAGGGCCTACCACCTCCACCACCATCAGAATTTGATAACCAACCACAGTACCATTAGTAAAAAGTAATCTACTATGAATAATCAATGGATGACCAAAGTATCTTATTGGAAGGTAAAACAAAGGATATAGTTTTAATTTTCCTTTAAAGAAATGTTTGACTCCAAAGATATCAATGAACTTTCAAGAGCTGTGTTTCTTTGCTTGTGAGATCTTCAAAGAAACTTAGATTGTTTTATGAAATTTTTTTACACATGACAGTATATGTGTCAAAATATCAGGCAAATTAAGACTGTCAGTTATTATTTATTATTGTTCTTCTTGAATACAGAGCCTTCAGTATGCTTTCAATACAGATTTATGTCAAATTTTTTCCAGTTTTATCATCAGTCAGCTAGGTCAGTTATTTATTCTGAATCTTGGGCATGAGATCATCAATGGTCCCATTAGCTTCCAGTCTCTTTTCCATTTCTACAAGTAATTTAACACCATTCACCACTGCCTGACACTGTTCAACCTCAGATGATCCCAATCGATCTAAGTTGGAAATATCAAACACTCCATTTGTACTTTCTGTATCTACACCTCCTGTGCCTCGGCGCTGCAGCGCAGTGTTGCCAGGATTAGATCAAAACGAGATTGCTGACAGAGGTTGCTGAGTTTGACATGTACACCTGCACGCAGGCCCGTCCCTAGATTTGATGGGCATGTAAGGATATAGCCAAGATGTTGATTCCACATGAAACCATAACCTTGGGACTTGATAGTTTCCTCCACCTTTGTGAGACCTTCACAGAAACGTGTGAACACCTAAATCAAAAACTTTTGCCTCATTTTGCCTTCTTATACATGGCTACATCAGAGATTAGTCAGAGGTTATGCATACCCTTGTGCCGCTTACTAAAACTTTTGTAATACCTCTTTCATATTTCCTCCTTTCTGCATAGAAATAACACGTAGATGGTCTTCTTCATTAACCCATACCAGGAAATTCTTATCGTTATTATGCCAGATACCTAAACAGCGTCAAGTATCTTTAGTTCAATGCGTCAAAATTTCAATTAAGCTCACAGCCTATGTAGGTTTTTCTCACCTCTAGCATCAGGCCAGTCACGTGCCATTCGCGAAGCCAATAAGAGTGGTGAAACAGGTTTATCAAACAAGAAATGATCGGCAATCAGTTGATCTTGTTCAGCCTCGCTCATATTAGACAATGGATAATAGATTCCCTTTAATGGACCGTCCAATTTCTCAAGTGCCTGAGTTGAAAGTTTCTCCACTTCTCGACGTTCAGCGCGTGTGCAATGTGGGGGTAAACTGAGACCTTTGATGGAACGTCCAGTCCTCACGCGACATGAAAATACGTAGTTGGGATCTAAATCGTCTCCACCAATCAGATTGCTGGGGTCCAGATCTGTCTTATGAGTGTTAGTTTTCTTGTAGCCTGCAAAACAGCTTTTGATATATTACTGTATCCAGTCCTCTGCTATTGTTTTTAAATAATACACAGCACTTTAATCTTCCCTATTTTTCGCTCAACATTCTTCATATCTTGCATTGATTTTTTCTTCTCTTTTTCCTCCGATATTACCAACGTTCTCGGCTTATCCTCATTCCATCTTTCTATTTAGCCCTTTCTTATTATACCCTTTCTTACATCCCACCCCACCCCCCTTCCCGCCAACGCACACACTTCATTATTCTTCTCTCGATATTTACCTTTATGCCTTGCTTCAATGACGGGATCAAATAGCTCTGCAAAGATTTCATAACTTTCCTCGTCTCCAGCTACGCAGCCGACGGTCATGATGAAAGGATGTCCTGGGTTATCGATCCCTGTTTGTATCGCTTGATCAATAGTGAATCCTGTGCTGGTCCTTAACTGCAAAATGAGGCAAAGTACAGTAGATGGCAAAAGAGTTAAAAATGACCTGCTGTGGACAACACAAACCTTTGACATTCTTCCATACGATTCTTTCGTCAAGCATTTTGCCATCCAGTTATTGTGTTTTGTAAGATCTGGAAAGTTGTCGATTGTGTCCGTTTTATCATCAACTCTCAATGCATTGATGTGATCATCAATACTCAGATTCTGTTCCAAGGCTTTCTCGCACTTTACCAAATGATTAATTCCATTAATAACACTTTGAACCAACTCAACCTCGGAGTAGCCAATTCTGTCGAGATTTGAAATGTCGAACGTTGCATCTGTTGATTCAGTGTCCACGCCACCAGTTCCGCGTTTTTGAAGCCGAAGTCTGGAAAGCATTTCTTTGAATCTTGGGTGAACGCTCAACAAGGGGAGTTTGATGTGCACTCCTGCTCGTAGGCCTGTTCCTAAATTGCTCGGGCAGGTGAGGATGTAACCCAAATGTTCATTCCACATGAACTCACGTCCTTTGGATTTTATTGCTGTTTCGACCTGAAGAAACATGACAACGCTCAGTATGGCCTGTTTCATTCATTTTTAAGTTGAACGTTTCCTTACTTTGTTTAATCCCTCGCAAAATCTTTGAAATACGTCTTTCATATTCCCGCTCGTTTCCATAGAAATGACGCGAGTGTGGTCCTCTTCGTTTATCCAAACAAGAAAGTTTTTAGCATCGTTGTGAAAGATTCCACGAGCGTCTGGCCAGTCACGTGCCATGCCTGCTGACGTCAGGAGCGGAGAAACTGGTTTGTCAAACAAAAAGTGATCTGCTATCAACTGTTCTTGGTCTTCCTCGGACATCGTCTTCAGAGGATAGTACTTTCCTGTAGATAGGATTTGTATTTTACTTTGATGATTTACTTTAGTTTAAGTATGAATTTATATATTCCTGCATCAATACCACTAAACTAGTATTTCTACACAACTCAGTTTTTAGCGTCTCTTCCAAGTCTCCAAATACCTTTGTATATCCCGTCTAGTTGATTCAATGCATCACATACGATCTTTTCTACCTCACGACGTTCAGCACGTGTGCAACTAGGAGGTAGTGCCAGTCCTCTGATGCTTCGACCTGTTCTCACTCGACATGAGAGAACATATTCAGGATCAAGATTGCCATCTGTTATTTTTGTCCAATCCAGATCCGTCCTGTGCTTGTCCGTCTTTTTGTAACCAGCATGACGTTTTTCTATGACTTGATCAAATAAATCAGCAAATATCTTATAACACTCTTCGTCGCCTGCTACACATCTACATTGTGAAGAAACATGTTTCTGAAACTGACCGTCATTTTAACCAACTATTATTTATCTAAGTAAAATATTGTGCTTGTTTTCATTTCTTACCCTACAATCGTAATGAATGGATGTCCAGTGTTATCCACCCCTGTTTGTATGCATTGATCCAACGTGACTCCCCCTGGCGTCCTCTTGTTTCTTAAGTTACTGTAAATGGCTGGTGTTAGACATTTTGCCATCCAGTTGTTGTGCTTACTTAGGTCAGGAAAGTTTGGAACGTCCCTGTAAAGAGTAGTAATTTTAAGTACACTCATTAACTTATAATTTATAATAGCATCAATAGTGTTGGGAAATCTTACTGTCCATGACAATTTTTGGGTTTTTTACCACAACCTAAAATATAAATATAAATTTCTCACATTAATCACCATCTCTTTACAACAATAGTCAACGATTATTTCTTTAGAATTATTATTCAATCACCAATCCTTCTTAAATTTTGCGAAATAAAGCCACTATACTTGGCAAATCTCTAGTTGAAAAAGTACATTTTACAAGGTATCATGCTTTTGATAAATGTGTACATTACTTCAGGATGGGTGAATTCCATCATTGAGCTATAGCGTTAGGGTGTGTTCAAATTTAAGGACGTTTGTAGTTTTAATTTAGTTTGTAGTAAAACTGCAACTGCCAAGAAAACTTGTTGAAAATAATAGAAATTCGTCTTACATACGTGATTTATCTAGGTTTGCGACTCTTGAAGCTTTGTTACAACTGCAACCCATGATTTAGGTAATGTTCAATTCAAATCAATCGCAATTAGCTAATTTCGATGCGCGCAATCACTAATTGTGACGTGTTAATTTGCACATGGAACGCGTTTTTATCAGAGTTCTTATGTAGAATTTATTTATTTCTAATTTTGATAATATAACTGATAGTTATATTACACAGCAGTAATTGAGACCACTCAACGTTAATTAATTTTTCGTGTTTTTTTTCTGTTTTGAACAAATCATCGTGAATAAACTTCATACATGCCTGTTAATGTCTGGTTATGTTGGTTATTGTGATTTATAATGTAGAACTCTCTAATCATTTAGCGTTTAAGTGGCTTTATAGTTTTGACTCCCTAGTGACTAGCTCCTAGTGGCGTAGCTAACGGGTGTAGCAGTGGCGTAGCTAACGGGTGTAGCAATGGTGTAGCACTAGTCACCCCGGAGGTTTGCTCTTTCTATCAATACCATTTTCTATTTCTTCAGAAGTTTATTGTTTTTACATCAAATGAGCACCAAATATTTGCATAGCTTAGGCTGGCTATGCTACCTCTATCTCCCCTGTTTAGCTTTCATAGTCCTTATCGCGGTCTTTAGTGCTATACAAATAATATGGGTATGGTGATATTTATGACGAGCCTTTCGTGCTTATAGGTCAGCGTACTGGCTTAATGCGTAACTTTCATTTAATTATCAATGTTGTTATGCCGCTTTTAATGGAAACGTGAGTTTGTTTTTATTGTCGTTTGGCAAGTAATTTTCTGGAATATGGCTGCAAAAGAAGCTGAAGCGTCGACCAGGTATGTGAGTATGGTCTCATACAAATTGCATAAAAGATAGATGGTTCTATATAAATCTAAAAGTTTATATGACTGTTGTATTTGTATATCAGCTGTGTGTTTCATGTCAACTTGCCTGTTTAGTAAGAACGATTTCCCTGGCTTTGAAGAAGTTAATTTTGAACATTTAAATGCCGACACATTGACTCTAGAAGATCTGAATTCAAAAAAGAAGCAACTTTGGCTAATCAAAGTACCATACCATGTTAGTAAAATTTTGTTTATTGATAAACTTGTCTACATTATGTCACAAACCATTGCTACATTTTTCCTCTAGTTTGATGTCTCTAAATTATCAGGGACAAACGTTGCCCTTAATGAATACATTACTCTAAGTTTAAAAGATGATAATCAGGTTGGAAATATTTTTCACCTCTAATATTTTATTATTAGTTTTGTTGGCCATTATTATACATGGTTTTCATTCTTTTTTGCCTCTAGAATAGTGAAAAGAAGTTTGAAATTTTCCCATCAAAGTATAAAGATGACAATGTAATTGAAGGTCATAACAGACATTTTTGATGAAAAGATTTTAACATCGTATATCATTTATATCTTGTAGTCTTTTGGCTATAACATCTTTGTTCCATCAAAGGAGAAAAAGACGCTGAATGTTGGTAAATGCACAATTTTCTATGATATTTAAGTCCATTATCACCAAACGTCACTTATATGTCATGATTGGTTGTCTTAATCAAAAAAGTAGTGCCTTTTTGTCCACCATTATCTATTACCGTAGGTACCATAAACAATTGCTATAAATCTAAATCTATACCCACACTGTACATACATACTTCCCTAAGTAGGTATGGAAGGGATGCTCGTAAAAGGTCTAATCTATATAAAGCACTAATCTCAATGTTTATAGCCAAAGAATTTTATGGTCATTTGGATATCATTGAGAAAGTATCGGTTCCAAAGCTCAGTTATCCTTCTGCAGCTCCCCCAATGTATACAGAGATCCCTAATGGTTTGAAAGCAAGATGGAAACCATTTGGTTATAGTAAGTTGAGAATAAGAAACCTTTAGGCATTAATGCTAAATTTCCTTGTTTAATTAAAATCAAAATTTATAGAAACACCAAAAAAAATGTCGTCAAGTGATTGTTCAGAAACAAAAGCAATTGAGAAACAGAAGATGCTCAAAAGGAATGAAAATGATGCGTTAATGAATGGACAGAATAAAAGAGAAAGAGAAAAATATAAATTATGTGAGTCAAGTGATACTACAACTAATGATGAACTTTGTAATGATTTAAATGATGATGAAAATGGAGTAATGAAGAATGGGAAATACAAAAGAAAGAAAAGAAAACATGAATCTGGTTATGCAACAATAACTGACATTTTTTGTGATGGTTTAAGTGGAGGTGAAAAGGCACTATTGGAAAATGGGATATATAAAGTGAAGAAAAGAAAACTCGAGTCTGATTATACAACAACTACAGAAGTATTTTGTGATGGTTTGAATGGAGATGAAAATGGATTATTGAAAAATGATAAATATGAAGCAAAGAAAAGAAAGCATGAGTCTGCTTATGCATCATCATTCAGAGGTTGTGATGATGTTAATGGAAAGGAACATGGAGATTCACAGAATGGAAAATGTAAAGGAAAGAAAAATGTTTCTAATCATGCAACCACTAAAGCAATGACTGATGATGTTGTAAGTGAATATGTTTTTATGGCAATTGCTTCACAATTCTAATGAACACAAAAGAGTGTCTAACATTGCCCAGTATCTTTTATGATTATATCAAAATTTACTGTTTATATTCAAAGAATTACATTTTTCCACAATAAATTTTTCCATTATTTCGACATTTATCATAACGTTTGTAAAATCATTGGAAGTTCAAATTATGGGTTATCAATTGATTAAGATCACTTACTTTTCTTTATAGCACATGAGCACTTCAAAGACAAAGAAGAAGAAAAAGAGAGAATCATTATAGGTTAGTTCACAAGTAACATACTTGTTTCAAAATTATGTGTTTGTAAAATATTGTTTATTATTCTGTCTGAAGATAGCTTTGTTATAAAGTCAAAAATCTGTTGATAACCTAAATTTATCCTTTCTTTCACAAATTATTTTTTCATATCCATGTTGATTCTTGATGCATTATACATGTTGTAGTTGCTTAAGAAAATCAAAAATGATTCCTTTAATCATTTCAAGATTTCTTTCACAGTAATTGCTTTGCACTTCATTTTGCACCATTGCTTTTTTTAAACTCTTGTTCATTTTTGGCTCAACTTGTAACTCATCCAGTTCTTTCAATATCTCACGAGGACTCTCGCTCTCAAGTGCTGTGTCTAGTGCCAGCAAAACATCTTTTCCAAACTTACCATAATGAGCTGTACCTGAAACTATCACCTTTCTTAAAGATTCTCTTTTTATTGCTACATTCACAGCAACTGCAGTGTGTGGGTCAAGAAGGTAGTGTTTGTTTTCATAAAATGTTCTTATTGTTTTCTTACTTTCATCATCATTCACCCATCCTGACTCAACAATGCTTCCTATTTGTTCTAGTAAACTTTTGGGAATCTAAAGATGGATTGATTATCAATTAAATTTTTGTAATATACCCACAAACCTTTGATATAAAGGATAGGCATCTGCATTATTTTCAATCAAACCTGAAAAAATTTCTCTCTTGATAGCTGCTGAAACAAAGTTCTGATGTAGTCACTGTCTTTGGTCACATGAAACAGAAATCGCTCCAAGTTTGAAGATTTCAATATATCTATGGATGGAGAGATGGTCCTCTGGAGCTGTCGTTCACGCATGTCATACTTGCCAGTTGACAAAAATTCATGAAGGATATTGTTGCTGTTGGATGCACAAATTAAGGTTTGGAATGGAACACCCATTTCCTAAGGTATACGAAAATTTATGGCCATAGCAATGGATGATAAAGGATTAGCAAACTTGATATCTAAGCTACCTTGGCATAAAATGCTGCAAGAATATTTCCAAAATTTCCTGTTGGAACACAAATATCAATGGGTTCGCCAAATGAGATTTCTCCTTGTTTAACTAAGTCCAAATAAGCAGACATGTGATAGACTACCTGAGGTAATAGCCTACCCCAGTTGATTGAGTTTGCTGCAGACAATTTATATCCATAACTATTCAAGACTTTGGTTGCAAAATCTTTATCTTAATGTAAGAGCAATGTTAATGAAGAAGTAGGATACATTGTTTAGAGTATATAATTGTGTGCAGTGTGTACTTACCTGTGAATATTTGTTTGACTGTAGTTTGACAAAAGTCAAAATCTCCATCAATACCAATGACTTTGATGTTTTTTGCCCTCATGCTCGTCATTTGCCTCCGTTGTGTTTCACTGATACCTTTCTTGGGATAAAACACCATTACCGCAACATTATAACAATCTTTAAAACCGTGAAGTACAGCACTGCCAGTGTCCCCTGATGTTGCAACTAACATTAAGTATTTCACTTTCTCTGATGATCTGATTTATAAGAATAAAATAATGGTTATAATTTATAGCATGTATGGTGAGGCTTTTTACTTTTTGTTTCATCAAGTGCACAGACCCTTTTCTTCTTTCATTGGCAACAGCCTCGTCAAATATCAAAGGCATGAGTTGAAGTGCAAGATCTTTGAACGATGCTGTTGGGCCATGAAATAATTCTTGAATATAAATACGATCATCTATTTTTCTTACTGGTGCCACATGTTCATCTTCAAAACTAGAATATGCTTGTCTAATCATGTGATGTAAGTGAGATGGATGTAGTTCAGTTGGATCTATCCATGCCTCTAATATCATTGCAGCACGGTCTGTGTAGGACAATGGAATAAGTCGTTGCAACTGACCTGAAGTTGAAAAACCTTAAAATTTTGCATATGAAACACAAAAGTGACAATACATAATCATGCATGTAAAATAACCTGCAGTAAAATAGGGTATTCCTCCATATGGAATATATAATCCTCCATCCTGAGCTAGCCCCTCTATCACAACATCAAAAAATGACTTTTGTTTCTCTTCCAAAACCAAACTTCTTGTACTCTTATAGCCATTATTCCCTTCTAAATGTCTCCACAATTTCACCAACTTTGCAGCAATGGATGTTGGTGCTTCTTTGCTCACAAATTATCCTTGCATCATAGTTATGAACATAAAACTGCTGTCTGTATTCTATAATGTCAGCCCAAGTCATTCCTTACAAAAATAGGCAATACATACTTTAAATAATGAATAATTCTCAATGAATTTTATGTCTTTCGGTTAAAAATGAAATATTTACCCTCATATTTGCCTACAATGGCATTGGCACCATCTGTAGTTTTCTTGTTTAAATATTTAAGAATGTCTTCATGTGAAACATCAAGAAAGAAAATTCGTCCCAAAGATTGAGCATGAGATTTAAAGTGAGTATACATTGGAGTAGATCCACTTAGCGATATTACAGATTTGCTGGCCTCAAGCTGTAAAAATACTTCACCCTCTGTTTCTATAAATTGATCTGATCCCAATGCTTTCAACTAAAATCAACCAAATGTAATGAAATTTATGTATTGCAGTAGAATGCCTTTGCCAATGGTGCATGTTTTTCACTACAAACAATTTGTTGACTTAAAGAACATTTTGCAATAAAACATTGAAAAAGTCTTTGCATGCTTTAGGTTGATTTAACATAATCACAGTACACTCAATGAGATATTTTCCAAATACTGCACCTTGTCAGCAACTTTCATCCCCCAAACTTTTTCCAATATATCGGAATCAAAGTCGATAAATTTCATTTCTAATAACTTGGCAACTATCATTCCAACAGTTGTCTTGCCAGCTCCCGGGCAACCCATCAAAAGTATGTTGGAATTTGCCTAACAGGGAGAAAGAATGGTATCAAACATTGCAGCTGACCAATTGTAAATAGAGGAATAAAGTATCAAATTTAAAATTCTTACCATCTTTATTTAAAAAGTATCTACAAACAGCAAATAAAAGTCACGAGTAATTACTATTTTCAATTCTCGTAACAGTCGTGCGTATTTTGATATTAGAGAGCTTTAGCAAAGACTACGAGCACGAATTACGTCATTTTGGCGCGAAAACATTGTTGCGACAACAACACGTAGCCGTCATCAATTTGAGCACGATGTTTTGAAAAAATTCGTAGTCGCGACTACGATGTCTTTTTAAGCAAAGAAAGTAGGTATATTTTTCATTGTGTAAGAAATTAGTTTACAGTACTATTTTCGAGCATCCAGGCTTTACTTTAGAACCTTTTTTGAGCGCATATATACATTTAAAAGGAAAATATGACCTTGAAAACTTTCATGTATTTCGTACGCAAAGTAAACAAATATAATAGCATAAATATATCGTACATAAAATTTAAAATAGTGAAGAGTCCTGTGTTCTCGCAAAATCAGTATTACCGATTAGTTGATATCATTATTGACAAATGGAGCCGTAGCTTTCACAATAAAAAAGCTCGTTCTGTTTATAGCTAAAACTAAATTTTGACGAAGCGACAACGACAACAAACTTCCTTGTGCCATTCCCTTACACGGTCAAACTTTGTACTCGTTCTCGTACTCCTACTCTTGCTAAAGCTCCCCACTAAGTACTCAGGGCTACTAGTCCACTACACGCTTATGTTGCAAGTTTTCACAGCTAATATTTAAATTTCTATGAACTTGGGAGGTCAATGACGGTCATGATGACGTAATGTGATTATTTTGGAAAACGAAAGTATTTTAAAATTCGGCATATCTTTTAGAGACATTCATGTAATGCCCTAAACATAGGAAAGCTCGGTGCAATTTAGTTTTAATTGAGGAAATGGGTCGGCGAAAACGTGTATCACTGTCTCTCGCCAAAAACTCAAATTAGCGGAGTATTTTCTACGTTTCATGGAAAAAAATGAAATATGGCCTTCTACGAGAACAGATTTGCGCGAAGTGTTTAAGAGCAATTTTCTCCCGAAGGTCGACAGTGTTCTGGAGACCAAAAACCACCTTTGGAGAGGTGATGTATTGTTTCAGAAGCAAGCATATGAAAGTAATCCAGTGGACGGAAGCAAATGACCGGGAAAATATCGTGTATTTGAAAGGACCGAATAAGGAGCCGCCATCTACTAATGCTTCCTCTACAAACGAATCAAGTCGGCTCAATGAATTGAAGGAATTCTTCGCGTGAGTTGTGCATAATATATGAATTTATCGTATAAAACGATCATTAAATGTGTTCGTGATATGTGTTTAGAAATCGACTGCGATTCACAAAAAATAGAAAAGGAGTGATTGTGGAGCCTGAAGCTGATGATGATGGTATTGTGCTCATGAAAGATGTCTCCAAAAAACTTCAGTTGACTGTTGTGAATCAAAAAGGAAGTGAGATCATTATTCAATGCTCTGTTCTGGGAGAATGCAGGCCTTTTAAAGTGGATGACAAGTATCATATTGTTAGTGAGTCAAAGAAGGCAAAACTGTCCAATAATGAGAGAATTCATTTCTCAGTCACATTATCAGATTCCACTGCCCCTGGACTTTACAACGTACCCATAATGTTCACATTTATAAATGAAGATGACCCCAAGTTCCATATTATAAAATATGTCAGAGCTGTAATTGCAGACGATGTTGTGACACGGTTACAACCAAAACGTTATATCAGCCAAATGCTGTGTCCATGCATGGTGCTTATATGGAAATAGAACGTGTACAACCACCAAACTTGTACGTGTGTATGTTAAAAATTTCATCTTTCTATTAGAAAATTATAATTTTAGGTAGTTGATGAAGAATAGTCACATTTACATGTTTGTTGGTGTTTATTGTCCATGTTAGTTCGATCTTGAGTAGAATGTTTGGTTTTTGGATGACTGGACATTTTAATATAGGATTGGACTAACCTGGACATTCAAATATCTGCAAACTTGTAACAAAACTCACAAGATCAAACCATTTACTTTAACAGTCATATTTTCTAACAATCATTTAGGTTAACGATTCATTCTAGTTTCAAAGCTAGAGTATGCACACATGTCTTATATTTTTCATAATTGTCATGATACTATATCAACTTCAAAACATGTTTGTGTTAATTGACATTATCCTTTATTAGGTGATAATTAACCAATTTCATGATAAGATCTTTGCTTATGACACCAATCTTGGCCTTAGCATGTATGTGACATGCTTTGAAATGAATCAATTAAATATTTATATTCACTTATATGTTTCAGTGATTCACCAAACTATACCAATCATCTTCCACAATTTACTGTCCCACATCATTTAAAAAAGCTGAAAAATAAAAAGGCATTATGGAACTTATTTGATCATTTATCACCTGTCCATATTTCATCTTTTGCTCATCGCACTAAATTCTCCCAACTCCTTCATGTTGAGGAAATACAAATGGAAAGGGATATAAAGCAGTTTCAAATGGAGGAAGCGAATTAGTAAAAGAACATCAATATTTGTCACTTGAAGTGCCAGGTTTGGCTGAGAATCGTCCTTCTCTTGTACGAGGTGACCAATTATCAGTGCGAAAATTGAAAGTTGATGGTAAAACATATGAGGCTAAAGCTTATGAAGGATATGTACATGATGTTGAATTAAACAAAGTCAAACTTAAATTTAGCTACAAGTGAGTAATATGTTGGTATTATTTTTCCCTGTTTATGTGCAATCCCATTTTAACTGTTTATTTTACAGTACTTGGTGAATTTGTTGGAAACATGTTGATTGAAATTTCTTATTCTTTCCTGATCAAGTAAACTTTATTTCAGCTTTCACAACAACTTTATTCAAAATGCTTCATATCTGGTGGACTTCAAGATCAGTCGTTCATGCCTTCGTCTTATGCACCGTGCAGTCCATGAGGTTGGACCATATCTTGACATGATCAGGTTCAATGGAGTACCACATGGAAGTAATGACGGAAAGCCTTCACAATTCAAGTGAGCATTATGTAAAGCCGAATTCCTGAAATAAACAATGTGAATATAAGTTTTGTAATTTTTCTTATTTAGTTGTTTTGATAGAAAGATTGAAAAAAATGACAAACAAAAGCAAGCAGTTCAACATATTCTTGAAGGATGTTCAAAACCATACCCATACCTTGTGTTTGGTCCTCCAGGAACTGGAAAGACAGTCACTATTGTTGAAGCCATCAAGCAGGTAGGTACTTTTATTATCTTATTCAATTTATTGTTGTTTTGACAAACTTTTTCAATTTATTTTTTAGGTTTTGAGGAATAATCGAGGCAGCATAATATTGGCTTGTGCACCATCCAACAGCGCAGCTGACCTCATCTTGGAAAGAGTTGCTGAACATCAAGTTATTCCAAAAAAAGAAATGATTCGTATCAATGCATATGGACGTAGCCCATCTTCCATGAAAAAGGATCTTATGGAGGTCTGTAAGTATTGAATCTTTATTCATTCAATGATTTTGCTAAATGTTTTTTATCATTGTTTAGCAATTTTGCCATCTTGGTGTTGCTTTAATTGATGGTTATTTCAAGTTTCCTAACAAGGAAGCCATTGAACAATACAGATTTGTTGTCACTACACTAATGTCAGCGGGCAGGTATTTTGCATATATATCCACTTTATCATTTCACTGCATTATTGTTATATAACTATGATAATTGATTTAAGCTGGCAGGTATTGTTACTACCAACCTCTGTTCCTTGTGATGATAGGTTGGTGTCTCTAGGAGTACCCAAAGGACATTTTACTCATATATTTATTGATGAAGCTGGGCAAGGGATGGAACCAGAATGTTTGATTCCTATTGCTGGCCTACTGGACAGTGTTAATCCAGGACAGGTTGTCTTGGCAGGAGATCCAAAGCAACTTGGTCCTGTTGTTCGATCTCCAGTTTCCATTAAGGTGGCATTGTCTTCTAAAATCTATAAAACATAATCAATTGTTGCATCTCACTGACTTCCTTATATGAATGTATTTTTAATGTTTCAGTATGGGCTAGGTGTATCTTTTCTGGAACGTCTTATGGCACCTGAATTTTCTTGCTTTAATCGACAAAATGAAACCAAAGAGTACAATCCAAACGTTGTCACAAAACTTTTGAACAATTATCGTTCACATCCTGCTATCCTTAAGGTGATCAGCAGTTCTAGATTTGTTGTGAAAGTTTTTGGTCGTTGATAACTTTTGATGATTTTTGCAGCTTCCCAACGAAATGTTCTACGACAATGAATTACGTGCATGTGCAGATGAGTTGCAAAGAAACCGTTTATGTAGCTGGGAAGAACTTGTGAAACAGGGTTTTCCTGTCATATTTCATGCAGTTTGTGGAAAAGATCTGAGGGAAGAAAAGAGCCCTTCGTTCTTCAATGCGGAGGAAGTATCGATGGTTTTAAAATACGTAAAAAAACTGAAGGAACATAAACAATTGAAGACTTTTGAAATAGGGATCATATCACCTTATCATAGACAGGTTACTCCTTTATTTTCTCTTCCGCTTTTCATTTAGCTTTTGGTAAAGCAGTAAAGCTATACATGGTGTAATGATATCGATAGTTGGTGTGATGTCGTAAAATAGGAATTTTGAAGTGTGTTTTCCTCCTTTGTAGTATGCATGGCTACATAAATGATTTCAAAACAGTCTGGTATTTTTTTAATGCTGAAATATTTGAGAAAGTATGCTGTTTTTAATCTTAATTTAGGTTCAGAAGATTCGTCAAGAACTTCAGCGAAAGCCAGTAAATATCCGCGACATTAAAGTTGGTTCTGTCGAGGAGTTCCAGGGACAAGAAAGAACAGTGATCATTATTTCAACTGTTCGCAGCAGTGATGAATTTCTTCAGTTTGACGCTCAACATAAACTTGGTTTTTTGAGAAATCCAAAGGTTTTTTTTCAATAAATATTTTTTTGATCTCCTAGTGAGGACGGCATTACATGTATGTATGAAACTGATTACGATTTCCATTATTTTGTAGCGCTTCAATGTTGCCATAACTCGTGCTAAAGCTCTTCTGATTGTCATTGGTAATCCACATGTTCTTTGCTACGACGACCATTGGAGAAGGTGTGTTAAATATTAAATCAATATTCCTGGATTTTTCACATAACTTATAAATTAACATAACATGTAAACTCGATTCTTAATATTTTTTATTGTAAAAACCTCAATTGAATTTTTTACTCGGGAACTTTCACCATATTGCCTAGTTTCGGTATTTAAATTTGGAACATAATTTCTCGAAGAGGATTTTAAGTTTAGCTGGTCATCTTTAGTGTAGAACTTGTTTGAAATTTTTACATCTTTCTGTTGAGAGTTTCTTACTTCATTTCTCTTATTAGATATATTCAGTACTGTATCGAGAATGAAAGCTTTACAGGTGATTATTCGTCAAATGGAAAATCGTTTGTTATGCCTCAACAGACAGATGAAAAACTCAACGAAATGTTTGAGAAACTTTCATTGAATAAAAGCTCTATTTTACAACTTGAAGAGGGTATGAACGCAACCGATTATGAAGAAATGCCATGGCGACCTGACGATCAATGAATCAAGATAGGTTGTGCCTTTATGCTTTAAAATGTGGTATTTTAACATAGGTTTCATTTACCCATTATCTGACTTCTGCTTCACTGATGGCTGTGTTTATTTCATCTTTCGTTAACAAAAAGGATTTTAATTCAAGTGGTTTGTTTTTTTCTTTTGGGGTTTGCAGATATAGTTAGTGAAATGTTATAATATTAATATATTATCATTATTGTATACAGTTATGTGAGACTAACGATGAAAGACATTGAAATATATCATTTAATATATGGAACGTGTATAGCTAAATTTTCATTTGACATATTATTTTTGTATCATGGGAAACAAAATACGAATGTTTTCAATTTTCATCGATATTCATGAAAGGTGGAATTTTTTGAAAGACGTCATTTTTGAATTCGTTATTTTTTGGTTTCCTTCTAAAACTTAGAACCTTATTCTTTGACAGAACTTTCTGTTTATAGAGTTAAAATGTTGGAAATGAGTATATTAAAATTAATGAGTGCTGAGTTTATCTGTGTTTATTTTTCTATTCCACTTCTTACGTCATCATGCACAATACATCCATTGAAATGAATGTAAAGAATGTTACATATATCTGGAGATGAAGTATAGCAAATCTTGGCTTTATCAAGACCCTCTGTGGGTTGCGTTCAAGACTTTCAGTAATATTCATTCAAATTTTCAATGATTCGTTTTTCTTTGACGTCTGGGATTGTTCTGATCACAGAGACCACGCAAGCTCGATAGTTGAGGGGGCAAATATTCATATATGCATGCTCTACCTTTGTAGCTTCTCTTTCTTTCATTTCATTAGTTTCATTTCATTGAACTAAATACATGGAACGCTACCTCAAGCAAATAATTGAAGCCTTATCTTAGGGCAGACACGCGAGATTTTACCCCAGACACGCGTGTTTAGTGTTTCGAGATTCTCTCACAGGAATAATTGATCGACTACACATGCGTGTCTGGAGTAAAGTCTCGCGTGTCTCATGTAAAATCACGGCTTCAAAAGATAAGGGTTTTGTATCACAGGTCGCGTTCCATGTATTTTAGTCATAGATAAAGTAGTTCAACGAGAGAATTTCGCGGGCAAGTGCCATTTTGACTTTTTCAAAATAAAATATAAAAATTTTATATAATTAAAATATATTCCTTTCATGTAAAGCGTTTTTATAAAAGTTTTAAATGTTGAACTGATGATTACTTAAAATAAAGCCTACTGTACAATAATATGAGCATTTTTGCCGGAAAACTGAAGGAATATTCAGCTTTTTCTGTGGATTGTTTTGATGGAGATAACTTAGATTCAGAAGCCTATTTTCTTTCTCATTGCCACAAAGGTAAATTGGAATTTTTTATAAAATGGTAATTTCATTCACTCCATTACACTAGTTGCTTCAATCTCATTTTAATTTTTATTTCCTTAGATCACATGAAAGGACTTGGTTCGTCTAAATTTTATCGAAAACTTAAGGAAAGGTATAAATTAGCAAAATCTGGACCAGTGATTATATTAGGTTGGAAGGTATAAGTACTATTATGCTCTGTAGGGCTATTTCAAGATTAGGTTTGTTGTGCTTGAGGAAATTGTCTGGTTAATTAAACAATGAAAGTTAGTGCACAGTATAAAGAGTCAATAGGCTGTTTCATCATGCAACTTGTGGCTACAAATTCATTTAGATAACTGGTTGTGGTTATTTAGCTTAGCATTTGTATTGCTGGGCTGCCAATATAGTCTAGAGCACTGTTTGCATTAGCCTGTGCAAGACACATCTGAGCTCAACTAATCAAATCAATCAATACAATGAATCAGTCAAAGAGAATTTGCAAATCGATCATGAAAACATTTTAGAGGAAAAATTAAAAGTTGGTCACCAAGGTCTCCTTTGTTTGCATAAGCCTGGGCAAACACAGTAAACATCTTTTATTTCTTAATTGTAATATAGTAATCACATGCCTAATAAGACATGGCTTTTGGTAACTTTATAAATGCAATTGTCCAATGTTTGTTCTTAATAATGTAGTTGAGAATTTGGAAGTATGTAAAAGTGAACAAGATTTTGCAAGTTATATATGCATACGGCTAAAATTATTTTTGGTATAACTTTATTATGAAATTACTTACAATGAACAAATTTTAGTTCAAACATCTATGTGTATTGTTCCGAAACATCGCGGAATATTTTGGTGTGTGACAAACAATACAAACATTTAAAACCATTTCTTGTAAGTATTATCTTAAAAATCATTATCTTATACAGTAAATTATCTTATTGGTATCCAGGATATAACCAAGACATAGTCATCCTTAATTTATAGGTTGGCTTGCCCATTGAAAATCCAACAATAATTGCATTCAAGAACATAAAAACTGGAAAGGTAACTTTCAAATATACTAAACAAGCAATCAACAATGTTGCACTCCTTTATCCCTGTATTTCATTTCATATCACTTATGATGACTAATGACTACAGGGTACACAAGTTCATCACTTTCCCCCTAACATCAATTACTATGCTTAACTTGTTGCTATGAATTTGACATTATGGACATTTGCTCTATCCATACAAACCCCTCCTTATCCATATTTAGAAAGAGGTACACTCCAATACACATTCTTAAAAATGATACATGTAGTTTGGATAGCTTTGTCCATTGTCGCCATAAGATATTTATAAATACGGCAATCTTTGTCAGGATGAAAGTGTTACAGTAACTCTATTGTCTGCTGGTCATTGCATTGGCTCAGTTATGTAAGCTTTGTCTTTGAATAACATATTGCTCATTGTTGGTAGTCATTTGAATGGATTGACATTTCTTTTAATAATTCAAGTTTTTATTTGATGGAAGTGCAGGAACAGTTTTATACACAGGTGTTGTTGATTTAATTCAATTGAATTTCAGTATTGTCACATTGAAGCTTGTACAATAATATGATTATATGTTGACTTTTATCAGGAGATTTTCGTTGGAATGTTGGTGACTCCAAACGTATGAAATTTTTTCATTCCCAACACGGGTAGGTATATTGAAGTGGATGAATTTTTTTCTTTTAAAGCCACTTTGAGAATGTTTTAAGTTGCATGTCGTGGTTGTCACTAATTGTACGCAACGCGTACCTGTTTTCTTCCACGTCAATGACGTCATTTTAGTGACTTTCTAGTTAGACATCATTTTTTTCAATCAAAAGCATCAAGCTTAGTTCAAACAATGTTTTTCTCTTATTTACTCTCTTTGTTTGGACCATCTTAGGGGTGTTTACATGAATCCGGAATGAACTCATTCCACTTTAAAAGAAATCCTATTGCATGTTTACATGAATCCGGAATGAGTCACAACTCGATCCGGATCGAGTTCATTCCTAGTTTCATTCCGGATCGAAATTTACTTTTTATCTCATGTAAACGCGAATTGAGTTTCATTCTGGAATGATATTGTGATTAATGACGAAGCACGCATGTGCCATGGGTATTGTCTTCTGGCAAATTGAAGCTCGTAAGCAAATAAAGAGGCTAAATGGGTTAAAATGAGTGTGAAGAAAAACAACAATTAGTTTCATGTAAACACGGATTGACATCACGTTTCGATCGGGATTGAAAGTCATTCCGGATTCATGTAAACACCCCCTAAGTTCAAACAATGTTTTTTCTCTTATTTACTCTCTTTTGTTTGGACCATCTACCTAACCCAGATAAAGCGTTTCTCACCTTGCTTCTTCATTCCAAGGTTAAACAAAAAATTCCCAAGCTCTTGAGCCTTTCTCTTTTGCTTGATCCGTCTACGTGTACCTTCTCGCTCGTATAATGTTTTTTTTTATCTTGGCGCTGATTTTTTTATGCCTTTGTTTTTGTCGTTTAGTGTTCGAGACGTAAAAAGTATTTATATCGATACAACATTTTATTTACCACAAATGAAACACATACCTAGCAGAGTAAGTTTGTATAAGACATCTGGGGTTCTTTTCATGAAGGCCGGATAGCGCTTTGTGCGGATAGAAACTGTATTATATGTGGCAACAACCTTATAAATGAAAGTGTCTTATTAATAGATATCTTTATTCATAAGAGCGTCTCCTTACTAACAGGAATCTTCAAGAGATGCGGTTGTCGAACTTATCAAAGGTAGATTCAACAGAACCATTATAAAATTATATTTATAAAAAATTCATTTTATTCTTGTATTTATGATAGATGGTTATCAAATGGGTTTGAATTATTATGTAAGTCTGTTATGTCAGGGAATGTATGGGTACGAGTACTTACTGAAAGAAATCTCTCGCGCTTTTAAAACTAAGGTTCGTATTTATAAATAAAATATAATTTCACCCTAAATGTCTCTCTTTGTATGTAATGAATTGCACCCTCAATGTTCTACTTTGTATGTAAAGATCCATGTGAGTCCAGAGAGGATGGCACTTTACGAAAACCTTTGTTTTATGAAGAGCATTTTACGACAGAGGGTCAAACCACAAGGATACATTGTTGTCAATGGGAGGTATCAGACTTTATCCTTATTATTCGTTAATATCTCAGTATATGGTATAGATTCCTTTGTGTGTTTTGTAGAAAATAAGACCGGTGAATTCAGAAATTCCTTGTGGTTATTCTCTCTCTTCCTCACGGGAAATGAAAGTTCTCAAGATAAAAGCAACTAGTTTATGGTTTGCTCAAGATGATAAACCGTTACCTAAAGCTGTTTGGTGTACGAACGTTATTTTTCATATTTTATCGTATTCAACTTTATTTAAGCATATCGTAATGAACTTCTCTCTTGCATTGAAAAATTTATTGAAGTTCAGAGTTTGAGAATGATTTAATATGTTTTGATACAATAAAATTTGCTGTTTGGTATTAATCAAGATTTCTAAAAACTTCATATAATCAAAATCGGGTTTAAGATTTAATTCGAAAAATTTATTTCTCACCAAAATTGTTGATTGAGATTTTAGAAAATGAATTTTTGTCAATAACTAGTTATCCTTTCTGGACTCTAAAAATCCCCGGACTTCTCAATAATGACTTTTTTCCAAAAAAAGCATTCGTTGAATGAATACTCCTTTCTTTTTACAGGGAGATAAAGCAAGACTTTTATCGAGTCGTCCATTCAATGCATTCTTCAATGGAGGAGGTTGTCGCCGCGTTTAATTATTTTTAGGATAATTGTTAAAATAGTCATCAATAATCGACAATCAAATCAATCTTTTTCTTTTTTGTAGATTGTAGATCTTGTAAGTTATATTCGACCAATGAATATTTACCCAACTGTTGAACCTGCGGCTTTCTTTTCACTTCGTGAAACTCAACGTAGGTATGAAAGAAAATTGTCCCTGATATACTAAAATTATACTTTAGAATTAGTACATGTAACGCCATATTTTCGAGTGCAATTAAAAATAAACTGCACTGCAATCGACCAATCACAGTCGAGAAATATCTCAAATTATGTTATTATTTTGAGAAATGATCTTGTATATTGTGCTTGATATTCGTACAACTTATAATGAGTATTTTCAAGATACAGATTTGTATCTTGTGTAATGAATTCATTTATTAAACATCGACAAGAAAATATATTTATGAACTTTCAGTCTTCAGCAATACACTCGGTTAAAGGAGGACAATATCGATGAAGTTAAAAACAATAGGGATGATTTAACTGGCAAAGAACTAAAGTATTGAAAGAGGAAATCCTTATTTTCGGAGAACAGCCAAGATGAAGAAGGTTGGTTGGTATAACAATGTTACCAACAAGAATCGAATCTGAGTTGATGCGTTCTGATGCTTTGTGCTCATTTTGCAAAATTTGATTATTTTCATGGACGTACGTGTTATTCTCCATATTCTGCGATTATATTCCTAACATTGATTGCTTTATTCACGATGTTGACAATGCACGTATTTTAGACTTATTTTTGGTGCATTTTGTTTATTCATAATATTTTGCCTAAATTCTCAGTCATTTCAGAATGCCAAAGCTTAGGTCTTGTGGAAGAAGTTGTAACAGCGAGACCACGTCGAAGAAAAAATGATACAGCAGTTATTTTTACTGAAGATAACGAATCACTGTGATGTAAAAATTGATAACTAACAATTTTAAGAAATGTATTGATGTATATTTCAAGATATCAACAGGTGACTCAGAAATTGTGATTTACGATTTTTGTCTCATGTTATGACGTAATAGCGTGGATGAGAAAGTTATGTTGCAAAGTCGGTTGGACATTTTCCTAAATAACTGTTTGCAAATCAGGAGCCTCGAAGGCTTTTAAAAAATAAGATTACTCCTCTATTTTTTTTATCTATTTAATTTCTTATTGTAAATTAATTTTAAATAATAGCTTTTTAATCTTTATTAAATGTAGGTAGTTAACTTAATGTCATTTTAAAGCACTTGCTATTTATTTATATAAATTTAAGCCATCTCAATCTCTCATCTTAAAATATCTCCCTCTGTTTTATATCCTTTATTAGTTTCCCAGCTAGATTCGTTGAAAATTTTGATTATATCCTATTTGTGTTCTATAATTGACAACATTTACTTTCATCAATGGAAACGTCACAAGACAACGTCAACAACTAACGAAACCAATATTATTTAATGCTCTGCGTAAGTTTGCTTTAACTAACAAGAAGCCGCAAACATTAAGTAAATAATTTTGTATTTTGTACTGTTGCTAAATTTAATCATAGAAATTTCCTTCAAACATTAGTTTGACATAGTTTACACTAGATATGGTGAAAAAGGAACGAATACTTGTAAAATTGGTGAAGCTGCAATGTTTAAACTGGAGATGGGTAACTAATTTTACTGCTGCATTATTTCAACTATTTTCAGGTTTTGCAATATTTCCTTTGGCCAAAATAAAAGATAGCTTTCGATAAATCATTTATGGAAAAGCCAAGCACCTCGTGTTTTAGTTTTTATTCAACAGTGAAGGAAATTAATTTAAGACATAAATAAAAATTTTGCTGAACAATATCTATGAGTAAAAAATCAACCTGACTCTTTGGCCACTAATTATAAACCTATCATCTTTAGGCTTTGGAGGCGATTTGATTCGATGACACGAAAACTTTTCAAATCACTTCAACTTTCAAACGAACCTCGTAAAATTCGTGAAAAGTAAGGTAAAATTAAAGGTAATTGTAATACAGACACTCATTCACTCGTAATTGCTACTTTAATGTGCTTAATTTGGTGCTTATTACATTATATCGTGGCGCATGCGTAAAAATAGTCAATATTGATCTTTTGATTGTTTCCCCTCTTCAAAATTATGTAACTTATTATGCGTCTTGTTGAACTGCGAATATCGCCTTAAGTATTTACTGATGATGTCTTCATAGTCAAGAAAATTGTACCATTTGAAATTGATATAAACTGCATTTGTTTGATCTTCGTTGAGGAACAAGTTCAGATAACACGCTTGTTGCTATGACTACATGATGTTTTCGTATAGCAACCAGTGATAGTAACAGGTTTTTAAAATGGCCGCGCGGAGAAATTTATTTAATTAGAACATTTCCAATTTAGTAATGTGACAAATACCATGCAAGAAGTATATAATTTATCAAGTAGTGACCGGGTAAAAAGACTGGAAAATGATCTTGCAAAAGATCTTCAAGAATTACAAATTGCGATCGAAGAAAATGATTTTCTAAGCAACTCAACTGTTGCAAGCAAAACTTTCAGGTTGATGTTACAATGCTCTAGTAAATAACTATAGTTTTATCTTTATTTTATTTATATTTCTTTAGCTCTCTACCTTTACCAAAAGATGTGGGACATTTTCAACGAGAAAGAAAGATTGCATTAACAAAGGCCTTACAGGTACAGTACGTACTACAATCATTTCATTTTTAGGGACACATTTCATACATTGCTCTATGCAATTACAGGTGCGTGAGGCCAGAGGCCTTAAATGTCAGGCAGATCTAATGAATCAAGAATTGATGATATCACAGCAACTGGAATACACCAATAAAAGTCTTCCTCTCATATTACACCAGGTAAATTTACTTATCATACATTGTAATATATGGTTTATTTTACAGTATCCAGTTTAAAGGCCATAAAGACCTTTTTTATCAGCAATAACCTGGATTGGCAACCTCTCTCGAGATCAATAAAGGGTCTATATCATTTTAACCCTAGTTTTAACAGAGGGCATCAGAAATGCTCCTATTGAGTAGTAGCCCCCTAGCCACCCTTTCAAAGGTGATTTTTTATTATTTTGATTTTTTCAGTTTTTTGTGGAAAAGGTGTCAGAATTGGTGCAATGTAAACACATGTACATGTTACGATGGGCAAGATTTTGTGAACATAGCAAGACTATTGAGGAACTTTATCCAGTGTACCAGGATAGGCTATGGTACGTAGGAGAGTTATGTGGATTAACTTCAAGATTACTGGAAACTTTCTGGCCATGAGCTCTTCAATAAAAACTCTTTACTGTCTCTTTCTTATCGGACGTAACTGTCACGGATGACTCTTCTCATTTTTGTAATCGTTCTTTTCTGCCTATGTATCTATAATTACTGAGCAATTTTACTCTTCTTTACATAGTTCAATCATGAATGAATACCAAGATAGCTTAGAGCGAGCTCGTAGACTATCTATTGCTCGGGAAGCAGTCCTTGCTGGCAATGAAACGGCAATGAATGTCGTCACGTTGAATGACTTGCTGATCTACACAAGATCTTTTGTTTGTCAACGACATGCAGTAAAGAGAATCCACACTTTTCTAAAGGTGTGAAGACGTTGTTTTTGTGTTTTTCAGCAAGAATTTGTGCAAGTACTTAATCTTAAAAACGCACCATTTTCAGTTTTCTCTACAAAAAAAATTTCAAGCAACTTCAAATATATAAGTAACAAGTTTTTAAGAACAATTTGGAAACGACTAAAAGGAATATTTAAGCTGTCGCATACCCCTCTAACGTGACGCAAGGTCAGCAAATGACGTCAAAATTATTGTATTGTTTCCACACATCATCCTTTTACATTCACTTGTCTTGAAATTAAATATATCTTTTTAATTGTTCAGTTGATAGAATGGCTGCCTTACTCTCATGCTAATGCAGTTAGGCTGGAAAAGACAGATATATTGACAGATGGCCATAAAAAACCTAAAGAGATCAATTTGAAAGCAAAGAAAAGGTTTGCAAGATGTTATATAGACTTTGCTTCTGTATTACAAAAATCGCATTTCGTCGAGTTATTTGTTTGCAAAGTTGCCAAAAGCATTGTTTCAACTTCAGGTTTTCAAAAGTGATGAACCAAGTCTCTGTTGTGATGCAGCTAAACCTACTCAAACAAACAAGCGATGGCTCTCCTTCCCCTTCACCTTTAAGTCTGTCATCCTTCCAGTTGGTTGCCCCCAAGAGTTCTTCAATTGCCGTTGGATTAGCTGCATCTGGTGGGGGACTGGGCACGGATGAACTTAACGTAGAAATGCCGTTTCATGAGACGTCACTGAACAAATTAAAACCAACGTTGAACTTCCTTCTCGGTTGCTACGCTATTGATATGGTAAGGGTGTATTTTCTAGCCCCAAATGGATGAAATAGTCCTTAGTGGACCAGTGGTTACCTTTCAATAAATGTTTACTCAAAGTTAATCTAACGGTACTCATACGACTATGGTACGACTATTCATACGATTATGCCACGACTATGGTACGACTATTCATACGACTATGCCACGACTATTCATACGATTATGGTTCTACTATTCATACAACTATGCCACGACTATTCATACGACTATGCCACGACTATTCATACGATTATGCCACGACTATTCATACGATTATGCCACGACTATTCATACGATTATGCCACGACTATTCATACGACTATGCCACGACTATTCATACGATTATGCCACGACTATTCATACGACTATGCCACGACTATTCATACGATTATGCCACGACTATTCATACGATTATGCCACGACTATTCATACGACTATGCACGACTATTCATACGATTATGCCACGACTATTCATACGATTATGCCTCGACTATTCATACGATTATGCAACGACTATTCATACGATTATGCCACGACTATTCATACGATTATGCCACGACTATTCATACGATTATGCAACGACTATTCATACGATTATGCCACGACTATTAGCTCATACTCGCGATGACCCGTATAAAGATATAACTCTGCCTTTTGATGATGAAAAGAGTGTAAAAATGGTGTTTCTTTTCAGGACGTTCATCAAATAAATACCTTTGCCGATGAAATGGAGCTCTTTACGTTAGTCTTACAGAAATTCAACAAGATATTTTCAAAGCAAGAACAACTTCGAACTTTTCACGTATATGATGCCTTTGTTGAGGTTTGAAGTCACGTGATGTAACTCAATAACTACAGATCTTTATCAGTAGTTGATATCGTTAAAAATTATCCAAAAATATCTTTGATCTTTCAGGATTTCAAAAACATGAAAGGTGAAGGTAGCTCCTTTACGTACAAGAAAGAATGCAACTGGGTTAACTTTCTTTACATCAAGTATAAAAAATGTTATTTTATATATATATATTTCAACGAAACAACTATTTGATGTATCGTTAATTGATTCCAGGCCCGAACTAAACGGTGATCAAGTACGTTGCATGACGGAACTTCGACAAGGAAATAACATTGATGAGGTATCTCTTATATAATGTCTAAAATGCTCTATTGTACACAGGTTATACATATATATATATATATATATATATTATTATGGATAATATTCCTGGATAAAAGAGCGCTCAAAACACCTTTTAGTCGATGTATATAGTCAGCAAATAAAATATTATCTGTCAGTTGCCTGAAGATCGCCCTACGGCGTGAAACTCTGAGTAGCGACAGCAAACAATTGTCCATTTTATTTTATTTTAGTTCATTTTATATATATATATATATATATATATGATAATGATAAGGATTCTCTGGATTTGTTTTAAATTTTAATATGCCTGGGTTACCAATTTTCAAATATATATATATATATATATATATATATATATATATAGGAAGTTTATATTTGATGATTTTCCGTATAAAACAGTGCTCGATGCCCGAGAGCAGAGCGTAAATATGTGTAGTGGTGTTGAGAAAAATCACAAAACTACAGATTCATCCTGACAAGCCTGTTTCGTGATTGCTCACTCTTCAGGGGATTTAATATATATATATACATAAAAGATAAAAGTTTTTATTAGTTTTTGTACTGTCTTCTCAGTTGTTGAAGATTTATTCCAGTTTTTTGCGAGTCAAGCATCCTCAGGTAAATTCAAAAATACCAAATGTACGCTTTGTACTTTAGACACTATCGCTATTCACGTATTTTCCCATTTTTGCAGCGTGTTGTTGAAATTTTGCGTGAGCACGCGAGGAAGGTGGTGGAGCCAACAGAACTGCCAGGCATATCCGTGACAACGCACAAAACAAAAGGAGATACCTTAGCAGTTTGGAAGAAAATTTTTGAACAAACGTTTACACAGAGGTAAAGGTGTTGATAGTGACAATGTCAACGTGTAACGTGTATTCATACGATAAACTTTGGTAAACACCAATGTGTCAGCATGATGGACATGAGTTTGTATTTATAATTCATTAAACGTATCAAAACCTTACAAAATGTTCAATGCAATATTGGTGAAGATATCGTGAAGGCTGGTATCTAGAACCTCATTAACAATAGTTACTCATATACCTATTGAGTTCTACAACGCCTGGATGGAGCAAGTCATCCATTGAGTTCTATAACGCCTGGATAGAGCAAGTCATCCATTGAGTTCTATAGCACCTGGATGGAGCAAGTCATCCATCGAGTTCTATAACGCCTGGATGGAGCAAGTCATCCATCGAGTTCTATAATGCCTGGATGGAGCAAGTCATCCATTGAGTTCTATAACGCCTGGATGGAGCAAGTCATCCATTGAGTTCTATAACACCTGGATGGAGCAAGTCATCCATTGAGTTATATAATACTGGATGGAGCAAGTCATCCAAATTACTACAGCTTATTAGCGTGCAGTTTGATGGCAAAAATAGACAGTTGCGATCCTTCTTAATTCTTAGGTGTAATAAAACTCACTGCTTTTACCGATGCTGTGACTGCCGTTATTTAGGTATCCCAAGGATGAAAATTATGAGTTCAATTTTCAACAACACAAACCAAAACTCGTGATATTTAAAATAGCCTGTTCAACAATGGACTTTTATATTTTTGTGTTTACCAGATTTACCAGAAATAGTTTACATAAAAGTACATGAGAAAATTTTCATGTTTTGCGCGAATGAAAAATGTCATTGATCAAGTAAAATTTGTCCTTTCCATAATTTCTGTTATAATTTTAGTATGACGTCACGTGAGGTTATTCTGGATTTTGATACCAAACTTGGTGAGGATATGCGGTTGAAAACAGACCCTGACTTATCCCTTGGGACAGCTGCAGATATGTTAGGACTTGAGGACAGGGATTCTTTGTCTTGCCGGGCGACACAGGAGCATATATGTCTTACTTGCTTTTGAGGCATTTAAGAATACGAGACCTACAGCGGACTGTAAGTTTTAGCATGTAAAGGTTACTTCATGTAAAATTATTGATAGTGATGTTATGTCAATTTATGCTGTGTATATTCTATAGTGTCTAGCATTTCTCAATTATTTTCGATCCATTGAGAGGACGCTGACTATTAATGATAGTGGGCTATCGTTGGAGAACGAGCGACAACATGCGACTGGGTAAGAAAACATTGATTTTAGATATCTCAACTGGCAGTTTATAACGACTAACCAACTTTGTACAATCATCCATATTTCTCTTGTTTATACTTTAGTCGTGAAGTATTTCATGGTGGAGGATTACAGGGTCTTTCATCACATCAATATCTTCATCACACTCCAGCTGACTTTGTGTAAGTATCATGTTTGTGTGTTTGTAAATGATGATCGTCCAGGTTAATAAAGTCCTGAGAAGGACTGTTTTTGTTGTTGTTGACTACAACTATAACGATACTCCCGGGTTCAAACCATTTACTATCATGTTTGTGATTGGATGTTGCAAATGCACCTATTTTTTGAATTTTGCAAATTTTATCTATATCTTTATCAAATTTTATCTATATCTTTATCAAACTTTATTTTATCAAATTTTATCTATACCACGCAAAATTTAACGATCTTTTTGTCTGTTGAAATTAGGCATTTTTTTCTGCTGTAAAATTATATTATATAATGTAACCGTTTCCTCTCTAAATGTGTTAAATCTTAAGAATGTAAAATTTCTTATATGAGCATAAATATTTTGTCCCATCCTTTTGCTTTTTTATAGTGTTGATTCTACTGATTTTATGAAATATTCTGAGGTATAACGATCGTTTAGCATCTATCGTGCATTGATTAACATCTCACATTAATTTACATTACACATTAATTAACATCACACATTAATTAAAATCACACATTAATTAACATCACGTGTTGATTTTCTTTTAAGGGGGAAATTATATATTATGCCACCTCGTTACAAACCTGTATATTTTATGTTATATTACAAAAGTTTATTTTATCCTTCTGTTTTCATTGAAAGGTGTGCTAAAACTTTATTTCCTTATGAAACAGTCCAATTTGGTTGTTGTCAGGTTGAAAACCACGATGATTTTTATAAAATTGACGAAGGTCGTGTTCACGTTCAAGATCAAAGAGGTGTATACATTATGTATGAAGAATCTTTAAAGGATTTTAGGTTAGTTCCCCCACAGACTTGCTTGATGAAAAATACGATAAACTTTATTTAAACGCATTAGTCTTTTCATAAATGCTGATTTCCACAAGTGATGTGTTGCAGTAAATATTTGCAATTTGAAGACTACTAATTATTAATTAATAAGTATTTTAGTCACATATACGTAAAAGAATTGCAAATACGATACTAATTACAAATTAGATTATGGTTTACGAGGAAAGCTTACGGCAAATTGATTTGTTACATGTTGAGATTTGTCTTTCACTTTCATAATTTGATTTTGTTTTTAATAGAAATCTCGAGAAAGATTTACTTCTTGTTGCGTCGCGATTCATTGAAAATACAAACGATCTTCAAAATGCCCGGATGTGTGTTTTTATGTTTTTTGGATTTGTGACCGGAATATTTCTATTGTCTTTAGCACGTTGACATTGAAGAGTATGGTCATGCCTATATCGACCGTTTTGGTATTATTCTTGATATTTGGTCAAACGAAGCCTCTTATCTTGAAAATAAAAGACAAGTAATGCCTTAATTTAACTCAACACGATGTTTTTTTCGTTGGCAAGTTTTTTAATGAATTTTTGTTGTGTTTTCTAGCTGTTAGATACCTATTATGAAGCTTATCAGCACACCTATGATCGTGAACAAAAACGACAACTTTCTCAGGTCATTGTAGTTTCGTCATTAATTACTTTTTAGTAGATGATCATAATAGAGATGTTGTCAATAGAGATGTTGTCAATAGAGATGTTGTCAATAGAGATGTTGTCTATAGAGATGTTGTCTAGAGAGATGTTGTCTAGAGAGATGTTGTCTATAGAGATGTTGTCAATAGAGATGTTGTCAATAGAGATGTTGTCAATAGAGATGTTGTCAATAGAGATATTGTCAATGGAGATGTTGTCAATGGAGATGTTGTCAATAGAGATATTGTCAATGGATGTTGTCAATAGAGATGTTGTCAATAGAGATGTTGTCAATAGAGATGTTGTCAGTAGAGATGTTGTCTATAGAAATGTTGTCATTTGAGATGTTGTCAATAGAGATGTTGTCAATAGAAATATTGTCATTTGAGATTTTGTCTATAGGGATGTTGTCTATGGAGATGTTGTCTATAGCGATGTTGTCAATAGCGATGTGTTTGATTGTGTCCATGTCAGACGAGTATAACATTTTACAAACCGTTGTATTTTTCTAGGTGATTGTAAATATTCTTCATCAAAGACCAAGGTTCGATTTACGCGAATCATATTTCGTGAAGTTGTATCGAGCTGAAAGTGTTTGTCTACGGCTGCAATGTGATATCATCAAGAATGTGTTGGATGACCAGGTGCGATGATGAAACAGAATTCTATCAATGACAATGAGATGCATTTCAAGACATTTATTTTGTTTCAGATATCTGAGCAACGTGAATACGTACAAAAGGTGACCAGAGATGGTAACCATGGTAAATACGATATCTTTTATATTTTTATTAATGTACACAACTTCCAGTCTTTTTTATTTTGAAGAATTTGGTCTACCACATCGTATCATTCCAAAGCAGAAGATTGCAGTTAATCTGAGCAGGTAAACCTCTCAACATCACTTTTCTTTATACCCTTAGACTTTATCATTCATTATTGCTGTCAATATTCGAACACCTCGTCACCAACAGCTGATCTTTTACTATCCGTCATTGCTGTCAATATTCGAACACTTCGTCATCAACAGCAGATCCTTTACTATCCATCATTGCTGTCAATATTCGAACACCTCGTCACCAACAGCTGATCCTTTACTATCCATCATTGCTGTCAATATTCGAACACTTCGTCATCAACAGCAGATCCTTTACTATCCATCATTGCTGTCAATATTCGAACACTTCGTCACCAACATCTGATCTTTTACTATCCACTACTGCTGTCAATATGCGAACTCCTCATCATCAACACCTGATTCTCTATTATACATCGAATTACCTTATTACTGTTGTCAATAGTTACCGTCCTTTTACTCGTTAGCCATTCTCTAATATTTTCAGTACTGAAAATTTTGTCGTTTTATTTTTGTTTAGGCCTTGTTTGAAATACGTGTACATGTTAGAGTATCATCCTTCTCTTGGACTTGCTTCTCTTTTACCACAAGCCATCCAGCATACTTTAAAGGTAATTTCAAAAATATTAAGAAAACTTTACACCAAGTGGATAATTGCAACATAAAATTCTATATACTATGTAGATATCAGTATATCGTATTAAGAGATACGATAATATCGTAAAGTTTACAAAAGCTTAGACCGTATAGTTATCGTGTGTTGGGAGTTTTTAAAGGATAAACCTCTAAGGAATTAATTAAATTGTTTTTCCTCAGGTATTTGTCAATGTGAATAAGCCTTCAGGTTCCATGGAATTAATCAAGATTGAAAGGTGTCTCCTGGAGATCGTTCAAAAGGAATGGGACCAAACAAAGATTGTTGGGAGTACCTACTCTCAACAAGTGCAAAAAGATGTATGTTGAGTGAAATGCTTTCCTTGCATGCGTGAGGCTGTCTTGTGTTTTTTTCTATTCAATTTATCATTTTAATGTTTCTTTTCTTATGCACTATTCTCTATTTTGCATCGTGTTTTTTACAGTTTTTCTCTGATGTATTCATTGAAGATCCAATATTTGTCTGCGAGGTTGGTCAGTCTAAGCTCAACGCTTTCGATACAAACTCTACTGGACGTAAATCAGTAAAGGAAAGACAACAGGCTCTCGTCAAGGCTTGGTGTGATTTACTAGAGGTAAGAAAGTTCAACCAAGAAAAATGAAAAACTTTTTAAAAGTCTAATGATTATTCTTTCTTTTAATACCCAGGTGTTGAGTCTTCGCCATCGATTTGTTACTTCGGCCTACGAAAGTGAAGTTCTAATGAAGGTGAAATTCATGATTATAATTTTACTGTTGTAACACGCCGCATGCGTCCTCTTTTACATTTGTTGTAAGTTCGTTTCTTTATGTTTTCTTCTTATCTTAAATCTTCCCTTTTCTTCATGAACAAAGCTTATTAACATCTCCCGTTTACTACACGGCTGATGCAAGGGCTTTCCCTTCACAAATATGGCCAGTGCTCTGTTTTAACTTCCTGCCATCATAAATGGGGCTTACCTATTGGTCGTCCTATAACAACAATGTTGTAGATTTACAAAAATCGATGCAAAGATTTTGCTTGGGAAGATCATCACAGCTATCTTCGGGCCGTTTCTTTTGATTTTGCGCAACTCAAACCGGAGGCCGAACTTCATCGTATCTCAATCGACTCATTACTTCAGGATGACGGGAGGATTGACAGGTACATTTGTTCTCCACTTATTCTGTTCTGGCGGTAAATATTTTCTAAGAATATATTGTTGCAAAGGTACACGCCTGGTTCACTTCCCCTTGCTATTCAAGAAATTGATGAAAAACATATTGGATCTATGAACTTCAGAACGCGAGAAGGTGTTTTGCAGGTACCTTATGGTGAACACTGTTAAATGTTGTAAAAATACTTACAATTGTCTCATAATTTACTTTGTATTTAGATTATCGGTCGCCAAGGGATTGAAAGGATGAAAGTGATGTTGTCCAGTCAGGTTTGTATGAGTGAAATAAATATCCATACTGCGATGATTTTTATGATTGTTTTTTTAATTGAAGCTGTTATTGCTTGTGGTCGTGATAATTTTCAATTGTTTTCCATCACATTTTCACCTAATGCTATTTTCCACGTACTTCATCCCTTCCTCTGATCATTTAGGTTGTTCACAAAAATCTTTTAGCGTCGGCTGTGATACTTGGTATTGAATGCGAAAATGCTATATATAGAGAAAGACGTTTGGGAACAACTATGAACAAAAGGTAATATCAAGTTAATGCACATTTAATCATTTTTTTACTTAATTTTTCACCTGGTGTATTGACAATTGTTTGTCTTGAAGTGTCCAGTCAAAATCCCCAGCAATGATGTCAGCGGATTTTCGTGATCTGAGCAGTCAAGAGACATCTGGCACAACCACTCCCACGCAAATGACATTCACTAGTCACGTGAGACGGGAGCACAGTCGTGTTCCTAAATTAGCATTCGTCTCATTGCAACTAGAGAAGGTAATGTTGTTTGGAGTTGAACTAAATATATAACTTGAATGCTACCTTGAGTAAACATACCTGTACTAGCAGGCACCCGTGACTAGTTGACCAGTTGAATTACTGGCTTATAATTTTGGCGGGAGGTAGCTTTCCAGTTATATTTGTTTCAATGGTTGGTAATAGATGTATGGCTGTGCAGTAAGACCAAATTTCGTTGTAGGTGTGGCTTCGTGACGTCATGCTTAATGATTACGTCAGAAAGAAGAACACCATGAGTATTACATCAAAAAACGTGGAGGAAACGATGAAAGTAAAAAGGCAAGTTATAAATGTTCTTTTTGGCGGTGTTAAAATTTTGTATTCTTCTTTGGTTTAATAGTCGGGCTTTTTTGTAGAAATCTTATCCACAGCTTTTGTCAATCTCTTCAAAAAACGGTGTCTGAGTATTCAATGAGAGCTCAGGTGGTATTTGGTTGATAATTAGTACACTGAACGATATAACAACCTGGATTTATTATGTTCATTTGTCACCCTTATTTCTGTAGATCATCTCTTACTATGGCAGTCTTCTTGATCTCTTAGCGGAGTTTCCTTCCACGAGGTAATAAAAGATGTTGAGGGACGTTGAAGGATATTAAAGCTACATCTTACCTAATGTAATTTTTGGAAATCTTGTAATGGTGTTTAGAGATTCGCATTTTATGCTTGGAATGGAGTTTGCGGGGAAAGTTGAAGAAACAGAAGTGTCATTTGACGACAACATTTCGTGAGTGAATGCAGAATTATAGTTACTTCTACATCTAATTCATTCAAGATTTTTTAATTATTTGACAGCCGTCTCACTCCTCGAAGTCCAAACTTGTTGTCAATCGACGGTTTGGAGCTAATTAATCTTTGGTATATTCCGCATTTTTCTGAGGTTCGATTTTTTATGAATACACGTCTCTGTTTTATGTTCATGTTCTCATGTTAACTTTTCTATTTTTTACTTTCAGATTCTTGCGATGTTTGCAAAATTATCTCCGTTAAAGAGGATTGAACGTCTTAAGACAATTCTTGTAAGAAAGTACACCTGATACGGCCAAATTTTAAATCCTGATATAATGCGAACAATTATGACCGTGATGAGACTGGGAATATTTATTTCAGCAAATTGTCTCCTCGCTGCACGACATTTGTCATTACCTCTGTGCGCATGCTCGTTTGGGCAGTTCTCACGCTCGCCTTGGGTCACAAAAACTACAATTCTCTGGTGTTACTGCAGACTGGGGAGGAACAGAGGGTATAGGTAGGTATATAAGTGATCAAACATAGTGAAATAGTGACAAGTCCGTATAAAATAGAACATTAAACCGATTACAGTCACGAAAGTTGTCCACCAATGAACAGTATCTCCTCAGGAAAAGAATGGATTTTATGTACTATATATGACCATTGTACTTTCCTCATGTAGGAGCTGAACTTCGGGAAATCCAAAAACACATAAATCATCTTACGGAACCATGTGACCCTACAAAGGTATGTTGTTGTTGTTGTTGTTGTTGTTGTTGTCGTCGTCGTCATCGTTGTTGTTGTTGTTGTTGTAGTAGTTGTTATTGTTGTCGTTGTTGTTGTTGTGTTGTCGTCGTTGTTGTTGTTGTTGTTGTCGTCGTTGTAATTGTTGTTGTCGTTGTTGTAGTTATGGTCAGATTTTTCCGTTAGAAACTATATCAAAAGGCGAAAAATCATGTCTCAAGTTTATTTGTTGTTTTATCAAGTTATAAAATGTGGGTCTACTGCGGTATTACTTTGCCTCCAAAATATGACCTGAGAAACATTTTGAACATCACTAAAGAACAATTTTGAAAATTTTAAAGCAACACGTATTTTTAATAACCTTTGGAGCATGATCACCTAAGTACAAAATGACTGACAGTTTCGTCTGTGTTTGTCTTAATTTAAAATAAATTCATTACGTTAACGTACATTTTCAAACTTTAATGCGCTAAACGTAATGCTTGATTTGTTTATTCATGTGCACTTTATTAATTGACCACAAGACTTTCCGTTTTAACTGTTTATCGGGCGAATTTATTTTTAATTGCGTCAGCTTTTCTTTCCTTTTCGTTGGCCTTTATTAACGCATAAATCGAACTTAACTCTCTCACATCTGCTTCTGAAGAGAATGAAATTTTTCACCACAGGGTTTCCCATTTGTAATATACATATATATGTTCTGCCTCTTTGCTGACTGTCCATGTTTTGGAACTTCATTTGCTATTGATAGCCCTTGTGATGTTGTGTTGTATTAAATTAAACCTTTACCGGGCGATTTTTTTTTTAATTAGGTTTGCTTTTGTTACGTCTTGTGTGCCATATGGCAACACTGCCCATTACTTAGTTGACATTTTTATCAATGTTTAACATCAATATAGATAGCGTAACAGCCCAATACATTGAACAGCGATCATCGAAAGATAGTATTTTTAACAAAATGGACGTTGTTAATTTTTTTTAATAGGTCGCTGAATTTTTACAATATCGTCGTGACGTCATGTACCTGGAGTTTGACATATCCGTCAGTTGTTGCGTCCCAGGTACTTTTCTACAGACTGGAAACGGAGCTTCTTGTGCGGTTAGTAAAATACAATTCTTGATTCTTGTTGCAAAAAGTTTGCTTTTCTTGTTTGTATAGTGTTCAATGAAAGTTATGTATAAAAATTGTAAAATAATATAATTATATATATGCATGAATTGTGAATCGACTGCTGTTATTTAATGATACTGTAAAGCTTCCCCGATGCGATTTTACGTCAATAAGCCTTATAAAAAAACTTTATTTGTTTGTCTCTTTACTTTTATACAAACATGAAAATCGCAATCTTGTTTATCAGCTCGGTTGAGGGATGGAATTCATAAACTTGTAAAACAATCTTGAATCATTTCGGCTAACTATTAAAAACACTTGTCAAGGTTGAATTCAAAAAGTTTTTTTGTGAGCAGTGTTTACGGATTGTATAATTTCGACACATTTGTTTGTTGAAGAACACTCGTATACGATTTTGTATCGCCTCTTTTTGGTCGAAAAGAATATTTTTTAATGCGGTATTACCACGAGATAATGCAGGAGATTGTGAGAAAAGATCATGTAAATGCCATTAAGAGTCGGAGATAATTTTGTGTACACATGCCAGCTGATGAAAGATAGCTTAAACAACACTTCTGACATCATTCGCTGCTTTATACAGATTTATACTGAAAGAGGTCTTTTTTACTGTAATGGATGTTAGTAATTGGATCCACATGTTATTGCTGTGTATTGTCAACGGTTGCTTTGCCGTTGCCGGAATTTTCCTTAATCTATTGGTTGTGTTGAGTTTTTGGAAGTCAAAACAATTACGGCGAAAGATTTGTTATTTTCTCATTCTTGTTTTGTCCTGTTCCGATCTTTTAGTCGTTTTAATTGTACAACCTATGTTGGCCATATTCTCAGCGTTGTGGTTCTCACGGCATTCTTTGATTCCTTTCATATTTGATCCTTTTTTTGGTTTTTCCATGTTCACGCTTCTTACGATGAATCTAGAACGGTACTGGGCAGTGAAACATCCTTATTTTCATCACAGATCAATCACTAAGCGAAGACTTATTCTTCTGCTTGTTTTATTGTGGAGCTTTGTGTTGATTATTTCCATACTTTCTCATGAAAAGCTGATGCCACGCGTCATTCCTGGTTTCATTATACTCGCTAGTGTATTCCTGGTTATTCTCTACATAAACTATCAAATGTTGGTAACTGTTCGAGCCAAAAGACGAAACGATTTATCAGTAATACGATATCAACATTGCAACGATGCTTTGACTATCAATTTAAATAGAAAAGAAAACACCAAATCACAATCTAAGAGTATTTCTACCAGTTTTCTGGCCATTTTATGTTTTTTCGTTTGCTCGTCTCCGATCCTCATCCATAATGCTCTGTGTTATTCTCTGAAGAAGTTTTCCAATCCAGAAATCCGCATGCCATTCCAACTATGGGCGCAGACTTTTCTTTCTATGAACTCGACGTTCAATTGTGTGATATTTTACTATAAGACGACTTTGTTGCGTCGTGAAGGGAAAAAAATACTGCGCAAAGTCGGTCTAATGACGAATACAATTGATTCAATAACAAATACTTAGTATTAGGAACTTCTAGAAGTGTGAAACACGATTGTTTAATGTACATGATTGTGTGTCTTAACTAAATAAAAATTGTAATGACAGTGGTATTATTTCAATTGCTGTTTTCTCCGCTCTTTATCAACTTAACACGACTTTAGAAACTCTGTTTTTTACGGTTTCAGTCTGTTATTAACAATATGGAGTATCCGCTACAGAATCTAAGCAATATCCCCAGGTATTTATATGTGTTTCCTGTTTTGCTTGAACTGCGTGTACTGAAAACCTAAGCCGTCTACTTGCGCATTGTTACAGATGCAGTCTATACAATACTTGGTTACCAGTCCCGAGCCATTTCAGTCACTTCACGTTATGTCTTCGGACTTAGTCCCTGGCGATCGTTCTTGGCTCGGTATGTTACAGTACATTTTACATGGTGTTTTCTCTTTTCTCATTCACCTTTGCACGTGTTTTTAGTTTGTGAGAAAAAATTCCTTGGAGCAGAAGTGAATGCACTTGCCTATATAATCTTAAGTCTTCAAATAGTCTTAGTTCATGATCTTTTTTGTACTATTACCGTCATACCAATTGTCATACCAATGTAATGATTATAACATGGTGTTGTTTTCTCATTAAAATTTTTATTCATCTTAACAGGAATGGACCATTTCCACTCCAGTATTCACCGTGGTTTGATATTGGCAAGAACATGCAGCATTGTTTAGCAGGACTAAGGGATGTGGATAGGTAGGTACTCACAAGATGAATATTGATCTCTGTGTTTAGCAGAACTAAGGGATGTGGATAGGTAGGTACTCGCAAGATGAATATTGATCTCTGTGTTTAGCAGGACTAAGGGATGTAGATAGGTAGGCACTCACAAGATGAATATTGATCTCTGTGTTTAGCAGGACTAAGGGATGTGGATAGATAGGTACTCACAAGATAAATATTGATCTCTGTGTTTAGTAGGACTAAGGAATGTGGATAGGTAGGTACTCACAACATAATATTGATCTCTGTGTCGGTATCCGTAAATAGTGAGACTAAGAATGATTTTATTAACAACTATGTATTTAGAGGTCTTAAATGTACATGGCAATTTAATTTTGTTGGCAATACATGAACAACAAACTACACATGTGTTGATTGAGATCGCAGCGGTAATTTTCGTCCATTCATGACGTAATCTTTATTTAGACACGTGGTTAACGGTGAGATCCTCGGGGTGTCTTTACAACTTGAAGATATTTTACAGAATGGTGCATCTCATGAGCTTCTTTCCCATCCTTACGTATCTGGAGGTATTGCTTATGAATGCATGAAGTTTTCATCATGATGTTATTTCAGCACTGATCCATTTTCATATTTTTTTATTTTGATATGGTTTGGCATATTCTGAAAACAATTCTACCACTGTAGTTCACCCGCTAGATATCCAAGCAGGACCTCTCTCATTCACAAAGGATCCTCTATCATCTATCAAGTTGCTTCAACGGTTTTTAATATGTTGGTCAAGAGTAGAACTGTTGAAGAAAGAATGGTGTTGTAGAAAATTAAAAGTCAATTCTTTAATGTCAGCCGAGACTTACCACGCTTCTGGGTAAGAAATACGTCAATAGATCGATAAATAAGGTTACAATGTGATTATCATTGTTTATGGTACGACCCAGAGATTGATCTACGTTGCTTTTGTTGTAGAGATGCTTTAATTTGATTTAGATTAAAGTGGCTACTTGTTCCCGTAACACAATACATAATCGCAATTGCTTTTGCTTGATTGTTTGATATATTACAATTTTATAGGAAAATTAACACGTCTCACTTAAATTCATCCATTGTACTACTATTCTTCATCTTTTACAGGAAAGTTTTCAGAGTCGACGTTCTTGAGCCAGTATACCAACAAATATCTTTAAAGAAAGGCATAGTAAGTAAGTTGCTTCAGTAAGTTGATGCTAATTCGAGTCTTGTAACAATTGTTCAATGCTGTAGACGTCAAATTATGCAGCAACAGTAAGCGATGACGATCCTATTTTCACTCCCCCCGGAACTAATGATGTGGAGTTAAAAGTGAAAGTGGTAAGAGGACAGATGTTTTGATCATCCCAATTTTACTTATCCTAAAAGTCTGTTGCTATTTTTTCATGTCAAGCTCAATCGCCTACTGGAAAATTTTGAATGCATCATGATTGCTGACGTTATGAAGAAGATAGCACGTGAACATACTTTGGTTCTCGCAGAAAGATCACGTGAAGATACCACTTTGCCCACCGATTTGTGGAAAAAACCCGTAAGTTTTTTCTTTTCCATTTTATTGTTGAAGGTCTTTATAAAAAATATCGTATTTGTACCATATGCTTTTTATATCTAACGTCCATGTAATAATACTTTATCTTTCCCACTAACCTGTGACCGGATTACGGATTTGATTTAGTACATTCAATCATGACCTTTTTCTGAAGATACTCAAAGGACTATTTGTGTTTCTAACAGCAACAAAACCTTATTAAAATAACGTTCTTGTACTAGATAACATTATCGTATCGATTTCAAACTGATCTTGCTAGAGATGCGGAATGGACTGTCATTCAGGTTTTACTTTACGGGGAAAATTGAAAATATTTAGATTATGAAAGAATCAACGACAATCGAGAAACCTCAACTTGTAGAGAATTTCGTCCAAAATTTGATGTTTGATGGATTTGAAAATAATGATACGATATGTTTTGATAAAGTAAGCAACTTTCGTCTTAGTTTTCAATCAATATTTTATATGTTATGCATTGATAAACGTATTTTCCTTAAAATTCAGACTCATTTCCAACATTGCTTGGTAAAATTAGCCTCGGAGGCAATGGCCAGGAGCAGAGTTGCTTCACTGGGTACGAAATTTTTGCTTTAAAAATATTGAAAAGTTAAATGATATTAATGTAAAATTTTTATTTCTATATTTCATATAAAGCTACGCCATGTTTTATGAAAATCTCCTTCGCCATCAACATCAATTATTATACTCGAGAGAACAGGTACTTTGGGGAGGGTGGCTTTGCATATAACAGTAAAGATAATATCTCTATACTTGTATACTTCTTAGGAAATCAAGCAATTGCGGGACGCTCAAATGGAGTTTGCTTCACGATCTCGAGTGAACATTGATTGTCAACTCGCTGAAAAAACGCACGAACTTTTGTTAGGTGAGATTTTGTATAGAATTTTCTGTATTTACCGTTTTTTATTGTTTGTTTCTTCCACTTAGAAATCACAGCATTGAGAGCTAAAATAGCTGAACTTTATGATGAAATTAATGTCAAGGTATAAATGTTTTTTACGCTCTGATAATAAAAAGTTACGTTGTACGTTTAGGCAGCTCATGGAACGAGGGGAAGGAAAGGGTCGTTTCTAAAACATGAAAATTCTTTACACAATTACATAAGTAATTTTTATCAGGCACGATTGATATTTGACGGTCGCCATAGTAATAGTTTGGTTTGCCTTCTACTTTATTGTCAATTTTTTTCGATCTTTGTTTTAGGAAAGTGAAGTTAACGATCGTCTTAAAAAAAACTACAACACTTTAGTGCGAGATTTGTTCGCTCGATGTTTCTCGATGAAAAACAAATTTGAAGAGTTCAGGTGGGTGTACTATTTTGTTGGTATTTAGAATTGTCATCTCAAAACATGACATATCTTTTCCCAGACTCTCTTTACATGATGACGTACTTGACAGCCTTGGTGACGTCAGGCGGCAAGCTATGGAGAACATGCGCAAGATCAGGGAGAGGTCTGGAACGTTCAAAGGTCAGTGGAGTAATAGATATGAGGGAACAGAACGATAGAACTTTTATGGTGTGAAAGTAAGATATCAGTTTGTGTTATGTTTTATCTTTAGAAGATGCGGACAATTTATCAAAGTTTCGCATGGAAAATGTGGAAAGAATAAGACGATATCAAGAAGAAAATAAAAATTTAGGAGCTTTGGTAAATACAAGAACACATTGTTGTTGTGTAAAGATATCATCTGCCTGCTTTTTCTAACGTTTTCTAAAACGTTTTTTATTTTAGTTTTACAAGATAAAGATAATGAATTTTTGGAAAAATACCCGTATGAGTTCGCATTATTTTCAAACTGTATGTTCTCATTTTTACCTTTTTTATGAAATAAGCAAACTGTTATAATTTCGTTCAACTTATAATCTTACTCGTGGTCAGGTTTCAACACTTCGCGATGAAGCGGACAGAGCCAAGAAAGAATGTTTGGATACGAAGAGACTTTCAGAAGAAAGAGAAATATTACTAAAGCAAGAACAGATTGCTTTACGAGAGGTTTAGTAGTCATCCTTGCAATTTTGAGTGTTCTTTTGCCAGCATATTTTTTTCTGCATATTTTTGAACATTGAAAAGCATGCGTTGCACTTTGATTTCATCTTCACCGTTATTTATCGCGAGTTATGCATGTTATTCAGGCTTTAGAGACGATTGAAAAGGAGTCTGAAATCTTAAGGAAGAAACTTTCTCATCAGGAGAAGACAAAATTTCAAAAAACTCACGCTCGCATCCAGGAAAAAAGAAGTTTGAAAAGTATGGAATTGGCTAGGTCGACGAATATCGACAAACTGGTAGAATATATTTTTCGTTTAACACATGCATACTCTGTTTTTATTGTCAATTTTTCGTGCGTTATTGTTCGTTTTGTAGATCTCAGATTTGGACGAAAGAGAGAGTCAACTTCGAGAAATGACATGTAAGAATTTTAATATTTCGTAGAGTATTTTAGGACAAGACAATCTTGTATGGATTGTCGTTGGATTTGTTTATATAGCTAACCTCCTACGTGATCAGAAAAAAAATATGCTGGCAAAAGAACACTCAAAGAAGGTAAAAAAAAGTATTGGGATATATCTATTTATTGCATTTTCTTTGTATATTTTATCTTTGATGGTTTAGAAACAGAAGCAATTGTTGCATCAACTTGAGCTTGAACGGAATCTGAAATTAGGAGCATTTGAAAGAGTTGACGAACTCCAGCGGCAGGTGAGTGAAAACGAACAACAATGCTAACTATAAATGGATACAAGATAAGAAATCTTGAATGACATTGATTGGATATGTAGAGAAAATGGTAGTTACTCTATCTTGACCCTTCATGAAGTGTATCATGCTGAAAAGTGATATTCACTTCGTAATAAAATTGGGCTTAATTCATCTTCTCCTGATACTGAACTGAAACATAAGATAATTTTTGCTGGATCATGGAAAGATCATTTATTTATTGCACAGGTTTATGAACAAGTGTATGAACTACCAACGACCATTCGTCCTCAGACCACGCCACGTAAGTAAGAAGATTGTAGGTTTATGAATAATTGTAGGAACTGACCTCAAACATTCGGCCTCAGACCACCCCATGTAAGTAAGAAGATTGTAGGTTTATGAATAATTGCAGGAACTAACCTCAAACATTCGGCCTCAGACGACCCCATGTAAGTAAGATAAATTTGATCAATGTGAACAATCATTCTGACAGTCAAAACAAAATAATTAAGTAAGAAATACATTTTAAATCCTAATTGGCGAGTTGCCCCCGTGTTGTTGCTCATTGCCCAAACTTTTGTTTTGTTTTTGTATAGCGTCTTTACTTCCACCAACGTCCAGCAACAACCACAGACGCAGAGCTTACTCAAGCAAAGTGTACTCGCAGCATTCGAAGAATATCAATGTACTCCCACCCAACCCCTGACTATACACTTCCATAGCTTTATATTCATTAATCATTATACTTGTATACATTTAAATAGATGAATTCGTTTTTCTCTATATACACTCATTTGCATGAAAGGTGAACTTCTTGGGGATCTAAACTCATCCAAACCATAGAATTCAACAATAAAAATTAACAAATGCTCTTTATACGGAATGAGCAGTCAACAGTTGTTCCAACAACTAGGTAAAATTCTCTGGGGGTGGGCAATCCTCTTATATCAAGTCCTACTCTATGTTGAATTTTTCTATGTTCATTTACTGTGTAAACAAAAGATTTCTAAACAATGAATAATCATAAGATTATGAAATTTACATATACCTAAAACTTGCGGGATGGCTACGCCGCTGTACAAGCTGTTCACGTTGTTCCAGCAACAAGTTTACAGGTCTACAAACCTGTAACTTTTAACATGTTGTTTTCAAGAATTTGTTCTCTTTACAAGCTTGTTACAATTAGTTGAACAAATTGTTACTGGCTTGGTGGCCAGCTATCAAGTGACAAGCTCTGCGTTGTATCGTGTGTATATGGTTATTTCACTCACCTGGTTAGTTCGTTAAAATATGATCACGTGAACCGAGTTCTTTTCCACATTGTCGACATTGTTTTAAACTTCGAAGGTAACTGCTGGCAAGTGGAACTTTAAGTGATTGACTACCAGTCGTGTAGTACTGGTAAATAAATAACCGAACGCAGTTGGAATGTAGTCCATTGCTTTCATTGCTTGCCATTAACGCAAGCTTTGGTCGCTTACATTGCTAGCTCATAAAATACGTCTTCTGAAATGGCATCTTGGTGTGCTACGTATTGAGCAAAATTGTGTAAGTTTGTTATTAATATTCTACTCCTGTGCACTGTGTAATTTTTTGATACAAGCACCTCCCACTTATTTCTGCGAACAATTAAAATTTTGTGTATAATTTCATAGGCTAGTATGAAAATGTTTTCGTTTTGGCGTAACACATGGATTGATAAGCCAGGAAAGGGTATGTAACTTCATTATTCTTATAGTGAACAATTAGTTTCAGTACTGTAGTTTGACCTTGCTACAAATATTGATAAGAGTTGAAAAAGCTGAAGGCAAGCACAGTAAATTTCAGCAATATGTATCTTTAAAGGATAAAAAGGACCCATTGCCACTAAAATTTCGAAAATTTGGTTACATCACCTCAAAAAATTTACATTGTGGGAAGAAAAATTAATTTCAATCCAAAATTGATTTTTACTATGAAATTGATGTTTGCTAACAATATTTCTTACAAATTTATGGCTCCAACTTTTCTTTATGGCTGTTCTTCCTTATAACTAATCCTACTTCTCAAACAAGTGTTCTTCCCAATCGATTTTCATGAAAGCAATTTCTATGACAATTTCAAATTGACAGGTGTAAAAGTTGCCTATTTGCATGTGTTGAATGACTTGCCTCTATATTCATAAACATTGTCTTCATCTTGCAAATAATTGAAACCCATTTGTCGTAGCAACTGTTCTTCCAAATTTGTGACCTGTTCCTTGATAACTGTTTTCATTCAACTAAGTGCGCCATTTTTTCTTAACATATCACAAATTTGTGGGTCACATTTTGCTTATGAACACTACCAAGTACTGGATTTCTTTTCCTCAAACATTTGTTTTTCCCTTTTTATCATTTGCCTCTTCCCTCACAACTTTTTGTATAATTATTAGACACCTCCCCTTACAACTGTTCAACCCAACTACTGATTTGCAAGTCCTGCATTCTTTTGCAACATTTTTTCCAAAGTTGAGTCACAGTTTCCTTTTATGACTGGATATTTATTTAGAAGAAACATTTAGTGATGGTATGTGATGGTAGTATTGCTTTCTATAAAACTTGTTAAGACTAACACAAAGGACAGCCAAGAACACATTCAAGTCTTAAAGAGAGTATTACTTCTCCTACAATGCTGTTTACTTAGCATCACTTTTTCCTACCTAAATACCATTTCATTTTTTCATTAAATCATCTGTGATAATATGGTATAGTCTGAAGTAAAGTTGGTAGAGTGTTTAGAAAATAAGTCTCAATTCACAATATACTTTCAAGGACAAATGGTGTATTTGACCACACCGAACATTTCTATCTTTGAAACTAGATTGGATAAGGTGCAACAATTTCCAGAAATTGAGGGGTAAGCTGAGGATGCTTGCAGTATATGTAAATTGATGGGACTGTGTTGAAATGAATGGTTTGACTAAGGTCAGATAACATATTGTACCAGACCCAACACTTAATGACTTTCACTTCACCTATCATAACTAGCTATTATTATAAATCATTTGACATGCATGTGAAGGTATCTGCTTTTAGGAACTGATTACAGTCATAACATTTCCGTAAGTCTTATTCTAGAGCTCTGATAAATGCAATGCAGTAATAAATCGTGAAAAAATTGCATATGAAAACTAGTTCATCGTATTTTGGGTGTCTGACTATAAACAGTATAATTGCAACGAAATTGCTTATTCTTTCTAATACTTGGTGGTTCTTAAAAGAACCGTTGTTTTTTTTTAAGAGTTTATCTTTTTACTTGCTGCTAGTGTATTTGGTCACAGCCTTTGTTCCTTCACTGACTGCATGTTTTGCCAATTCTCCGGGCAAAAGCAAACGAACTGCGGTTTGAATTTCCCGTGACGAGATGGTAGATTTCTTGTTATAGTGAGCAAGACGTGAAGCTTCTCCGGCTATTCTCTCGAAAATGTCGTTCACAAAGGAGTTCATGATTCCCATAGCTTTACTAGAAATACCAGTGTCAGGATGAACTTGCTTCAAAACTTTATAAATGTAGATAGCATAACTTTCTTTACGTTTGGGTCTTCGCTTCTTGTCTCCACCGATTCCAGCCTTTTTACCAGCTTTCTTACCTCCTTTTGACGCGACACCGGGTTTGACAGGCATTTTACTGATTATAGATCACCTATTAAGGACAACACTTTCTATATCTTTGAGTTTGAGCTTGCGAGTTGAATAGAGAAAATTGAACTGCGCTTGTATTTATAATAAAACCGTTTTGGATCAATTATCGTCAGGATCAAAAAATTCGCATCACCATTGGCTGCTTACATGTCGGACGTCGGAGAAGACAGTACGAGAATCATTTATTCGTGATTTTGATCCGTTGCAAATTTGTTTTGTCATTTTTGTGAATAATTCAATAGCAACTCAAGTAATAAATAATATAAACTACAAATATAAATATTTTTACGACGAAGAGAGAAAACACAAAATCATGGAGTGCTGATCCTACTATCGATATATACTTTAAAATAAATTTATAACTTGGTCACGGGATTGCATAGATGACCAAGCTCTCATTCTCGGGTATACTGAAAATCATGCGTGGAAATATCAGCAACATAATACAAGGCATTTGCACTATTTTTTCTAACCATCTTTTATACTTTGTTATCGTTTATCGACTATTTGAAATGATTGCGGAACAAAAAAAAACAAAACATCAAGCTAATTCATAGTATTTATGAGTCCTAGGGTCAAAGTAGCAGTTTAAACACGGATCGTACAAAAGATCTAGCTCTTCTTCTTGATCTGAACCTGTAATATTAAGTGGTGACTTCTGAAGCATTTCGATTGGCGAAGCCAATGTATCAGAGTCTCTTGGTGCCATGTCAATGGTTGCTGTAAGGTCTGGTTCTTTCCCTGGTGGCTAAAGATTTTATGATAATCAAATGAGAACAGTTAACCATAGCATGAGTGCATTATGGGTTACATTACCACATGCAAAGCAAGTAAAGTACCAACTTCACCTACCTTCATTTCATTTCGATATTTGTTGCCTTTAAGTTCTTGAGGTGGTGCACGCCATGTACTGCATGTTGTATCATCACTGCTATCTGATTGAACTTCGTCTATTTGAGGAATGTCTGCGATTGCAACAAGATGCTTCGGCATTGCATCCCCATTCAAGGAGTTCTCCCAATCACATGTCTGATTAACACTGTCATTGCTGCTGGATAGGTCAAATCTCCATGAACTAGCTGTTGATTGGTTCAGTTGTTGCTTACAGGCAACTGATGATTGGTAGTTCTCAGCATCATAACTTAAATCTTTATGTACAGGTGAAGCAATCTAAATGAAGGCTGAGCTGATAAATTATTGAAATGGATTTTTTCAATAGTAGAAAAATCTGTGACTGACCTCCTTTAGCATACTACTACGAATACTTTGCCGCAAATGATGATGGGATGGTAAAGGAGAGTATCGTGGGCTAAAACTAGACTCTAACAGTTTTTGGATTGAAAGGCTATCGTCTTTTTCTTCCTCTGCTTTGTAAAAGAGAACAATTCTTTCAAATTCATTTTAAATATAGAATATAAATTAGATGGAGATTATGTGTCACCATAGCATACTTAAATATGTTACCTGACAGACAACAAAAGTCATCCTCAAGTGAAACTCCACGCTCATTTGAATAAGCCTTTTCTTCACCTTCAGGCTCAATGAGACTCACAGTAACTTCTGGTGGCATATCCATGAATTTCTTCATACCTGACCGTGGTGACCGCGGTATTGAAGCAAATGTGAATACAGGATTATTGTTAGCCAATTGCAGTTGGCATGGTCGATTAGGCTTTGCATCCTTTGATACTCCATCATTATTGTTGAAATCGATTTGCACTTGAATGCTCTGGGTATAATTGCCTGTCGCTAAATTCTTGTGTGAACTGGTCAATGTACCATTTTCAACAAAGTTTGGCTTTTTCTCTTCATTAGATGAATCAAACTCAATAAGTGGTTTTTCTTCGGGTGATTTCTTATTTAAAGTGGAATCACTAACTTTGGTTTTGAAGGAAATGTTTTCTTCTCCAGTCATAACATTTTCATGCTGTAAACCTTGGCATAGTAAGTTTTGCTCCACATTGAAAGGAATGTGAGGAGTTTTATTTGACATAGAATTTTCATATTGCTGCATATTATTGCTCATTTTTCGCAACACGATTGATACAGCACTTGATTCATCATTAAATAATTCGTTAGAAGATGTTGACTTTTTTACTGAATTCTTTATCACTGCCAATTTCTCTTTATCCAAAAACTTTTTATCAATTATTCCTATATCCTGGCCACTTTCAGAAGTTGTACAATCTGGAAAAATATTTTTCTCGAGTGTTTTGTGCCAGGGTTCATTTTTTGAAACAGTTTTAGTAGAAACATGATCCTTATTATTCTTTTCTTCTTCAACATCTTTTACTGTATCACTTGATTTAACTCTTAATGGTCGACGACGCACCTTTCCAGCACTACTTGTTTTTGGTGGTCTTGGTTTGATTGCAACATCAACACCAAGAACAATACCATTTTTCATATCCCAGTCTGAACTTGCAAGTGTTTTAGAACTTTCATTAAACTCAGTCGTGTTGATTGTGTCAGTATTACATGACGATTGACATGGTTCTTTGTTTTCTTTTAATGAGTTTAATCGTGCATGAGAAGGAATAACTACTTTACTGCCGAAGGCTATATGTGTCAGCTGTTGTGATGTTTCATGGTCTTTTCTTGGTGTGGTCATGATGTGCTTGCCTTGCAGTGTCGTGTATGAGAGGATCTAGATTAAAACAAACTGCTTGTTAAGACTCTTACAGAAAGATTCTTTGAAATCACAATATTTTACCTGAGTCATGGTTGGTATACTACCACTTGTTATCAACTGTACATTCCTTGGCAACGATTCATAATGATCATATTGTGTTTCTCCTAACTCAGAATTGTCCATTGGTGGAGATCTTAAAGTAAAAACTCTCTTTAATCGGCAGTTGGCTGTCACTGTGAAACCTTCCAGTGAACGACATGTTGACCCATGAAATGTATTCTTTACCAGTGACTCAAGGTCCAAACACATATTCAACCAAAAGCCATGTTTTATACAATTAAGTGGAAATTTAGCATGCAAAGGTGTCACTGATGCATCTTTCAGATTGGAGGAAAAAAATATCCGCCTCTTATTTTGAGTATGGTCTGTGATTGTGACCTCAAAAGAAAATGGTTGACCCAAAGGAGTAAATAGCTGGAATACAATAAATCTTTGAGTAAGAAACAACCCAAGTTTATCATCTTTTGGAAAATGTAACTTTGTTGTTGTTGGCTCTCCTTTAAGGATATATACAGAGCTTTTTACATCTTTGTCATATTCTTTAGAAATACTACTTGAGCTTCCTATTACTTTGCATTTTTTTGTCAGCTTTTCCCTTCCTTGTGCGCTGAACACATCAACATAGGGTCCCCCCTATATAAAGGAATGTTCAAAAAACTACTGGTAAACACATTAAAAGACCTAACTACTACAGGTAGTAGTAGAGTAGCAGAACTAACCATGCAATCATAAAATTTAGTAAAATAAAATATTGGATGTACTAAACTCAAGATTTAAAATATCTAATTTCAACAAGTTAGCTTATTGCTGCTTGGCAACAACGATTAACAAGGGACGCCGACTACCACTGGTGACAACATTAAAGGCAAGACTAAACGCTTTGACCAAATTCTTCAGCTATGAGTGATAAACGATATAAATTCACTTGTGTTTAGGGCAAATATTGAGAGAAAAAAACAACTAATCTTTCGCGTTCAAACATTAACAACACTCGATAATAGTAATACGGCGGCTAACGGCTTAGGTTTAGTTTGGGCTAAGAAAATTATAACTCTTTGAAAATGAGATAAAATTTATATTCACCTGGTATTGGATTTTGAACATCACTGATTATCCTCGAATGATATAATGAATGAAGCTTTAGGTCTTAAAATTTGAATTACTGCAATACCAATGCGTTGCTAAAATTTTACATTTTCGTGGGGAAAAAAGTACTGACCGGAGCTTGTAACCAACAAATATACGAGAAACAACACCACGGCGGCACGGCCGGCAGATTACCGATAACGCCAGTGTTTATAATACTTTAGTTACATTGAGATTGAGATACTGTCGACATACTTCATATTTCATTTACAAACTCCTCAATTTTAAGTAATGCAAAGGCTATTATCAAAAAACAATGAATTATTGTTCAATAAATTAGTAAATCGTGTAACCTACTTATAACCCAATCATTTCATGGCTGTCAGACAAGAACATGAAACCTTATTCAGTAAAATACCTATGACCTATTTCACAAAATGAGTTTATTAGCCTTTTGACTGAAGACGTAAGGAATCGCATCGTAAAAGATATCGTTTCATCTGAAATATACTTAGTCATGGCCGTCACGTCTCCTGACACTTCAAATACGGACCGCCTCGTAGTGGCAGTGCGCTACGTTGACGAAAACAACGTGCCAAACGAGAGAATACTGGAGATGAAAGAAACAAGGAATAAGACAGGTGAAGGCCAAGCAAAAGAGATTCTTGATTCCCTTAAATCACGATTACCTATTTGTCACGATGGGTTAGTGTATCAGTCTTACGACTACACAGCTTCAATGTCTGGGACTTTTAATGGAGTTGAACAACATTTGCAGGAAATAGTTGGACGCAACATTCCATACATCCCTTGTCAAGGCCATAGGTATTTGTCAAATGCACTGTATTAAACATTGCCGTACAAATTACTTAGGCATTAACTATATCTTTTTATGTATTTTTAAGACTAGTCTCTGCGTTGAATAATTTTTCAATTATATGTTTTTAGATCAAACACTTTCAATGAGCATTGCTCAAAGGCCTCTACATTTGTTGAGATGTATAGCTTGCTCGAAGAGCTGTATGTTTTTTTCAGCAGAAGTTGTAAACGAGATTCTATGTTGCAAGAACATATGGAAAAAATTGAAAATGCTCTTAAATTGCGCAATCTCTCAAAGACGAGATGGGTGTATAGAAGTGAATCAATTGAAGCGCTATGGAGATTATTTGAAGCCATACGAAATGCCTTAGCGGACATAGCAAAAATTGACAACAACTCATTAACCAGAACCAAAGCAACCTCGCTCTGTAAGAAAATGGTCAAATTTGAGTTTGTTTTTGCAGTTGTTTATGAGTTTTATCATGAGAAAGACCAAGATCCTGACAGTACAGATGCAGAAGCCAGAGCTCAATATCTATGATGGTCTTCAACTGATTGATGAAACTGTTAGATCACTGGAAAGAAACACGGAATAGAATGATCAAATAGATGCGAGTGTTGAGTTTGCGAAGAGGCTCCAATCCCGAGGAAGAGTTTGCTAGAAAGAGTAATAAAAGATCAAGTAGACGTTTGGATGACAACCCTGAGACTTTGGCAATTATGTCACTAAAAACTAACTATCAAAAATGCATGATTGAGGTCCTCGATTCATTCATCAGAGAACATAGAGATAACATAAAAAGTTGTTTGCAAAAAATAAAACCCTTAGCTGTTATCCTTCAGCCTCCACTGACTAAACCAAATTTTGAACAAGTTGAAAAGGTCACCGAACTTTTTCCTCCATCAATTAGCGTGTATGTCACTGTATGCAGAACTTGAGATTTTTGTTACCTTGTTAATGAGACAGAGGAAGAATGTAAGACAGTCCACGACGCCAGAAACACTGCTTTCAAAAATAAAGAAATTTTCCCAAACTTTTATAAATGTTACAAACTTCTGTTTACTGCTCCAGTAAGTGTGGCTGATATTGAAAGATCATTCAGCAAAATGAAAATTGTCAAGAACAATTTGCACTCAACAATAAAAGGCTGGAAGAACTCATTGTCCTCTCAACCGAGAAGGATTTAACAGATACAATTCATCTGGATGTAGTACTAAAATCTTGGGCAGCCAGAAAAAACCGTAAACTCAGAATAAAATTTAAGTAAAAAGCAACACCTCAAGAGTACGTTGAGATGATTCTTACTTAAGACTTTTGATATGAGAACAAATATACATTGTTTTACTGTTTTGTCCAAAACGGTTAAGGTTTATATTTCAAAAGCAGGTTTTGTAATAATGTACGTGTTAGAAATCTAGTCTTCAATAAGGTTTACTAATAAACCACGTATGCAATAATAGAAATGATTACAATTTGCTAGCCATAATGATTTAAGGGGTTTTTGTGGGCAACGCCCTTGTGCAGGGCAAATTTTCTCCACTCCCCCCCCCATTACTTCAACTCTAGCTACGCCCCTGTGTGTAGTACAGTACGATGTTGATGAATGATATGAGTCTCGGCAAGGACTGCTTTATTTCATGTACCAATTATATATAATGGACTTGGGCAAACGAAACGATGAACTCTTCTCAAATTGATTCATATTGTGTTCTATGTGCAAGGATTCAAATATTTAAATGGCCTTGCTTTAACAGAATTTAAAACTGAGAGATTGAGGGTGGCAAAGGAAAAGGTCGTTTCGTCTTTCTTTATATCAGCTGAGTAAAATGCTTGAAAGAAATGTGTTTGTACAGACATAAGTCACACATATTTGTAAAAGATGACAGTGATGGACTTTTTTATTATTAGAAAACATTTCTTTGACTCATCATAGTTAGTAGCCATGTAATCCAGCAACTGTCTTTTCTCTGCTTGTGACATGTTATATTCATAGCTATACACAAAATACTTATTTGTTCTAAATTCTGCCTTGCAAAAACTGAGTTATAAAAACTATTGGGTATATTTGTTAATGAGCCTTTGAAAGCTATGAAACTATTATTTATGCCTTTGTGATTTATTAACCTATTTTTGTCTAAAGCTTGGGAGTTTTATTTTTTCCCTACTTTTTAAATCATCAAACAGTAGCTAGAGTTTTCTGCTTCTTAGAAAAATATTGGCAGGCAAGATTGTATGTACATTAAAAATAAACATTTTTACATAGGAAATATATGATGAATTATCAATAAAACCCACTAATTGACTGTCATTTATATTTTCTGCTTGTGTTATAAGCCATGTGCAGTGGGTAATGTATATATATATCAAGTAACATGGACCTTCACCATGCATGCTAATGAATGTTTTATGTATTAAAAAAACTAACATCATTGTATCTCATGCAGCTGATACACAAAAGAGTAATCATGAAGAATAAACACTGTTGTAAAACTCATGTATCTATATGCATTATCATTGGTATATTTAGCACAACATTTATACTGTAGTACCTCTTATTTTCCTTGGAGCAATGAGTTTATATGATGCATATAATATTCAATCAAGCAAAATGCATAGGGAAAAACCCGCAATTTGAATATTTGATACATCCAAGGCTATAGGATTCATTGCTCGAATAACATTCTTTCTTTTTTGTCCTTGAACGAATTGTACGTGGTTATAAGACAATGTCAGCGAGTTATGTGCACTAATCTTAAAGAAGTGGCTCTATCTCAATTGAGAGTCTCGCTTATGAGTTGAAAGAGCTACCGGACGCAAAATAAGACAATACAAAATGCAATTGCTCTTGTGTAAAATGGATTTGTTACACGGCTAAGTTGTTGGCTGTTTTCGTCAGCAAAACTTGGGATGTTTACAACACTGACGAATGTAGTCCATAAAGCTTTTATTTTAAAAGCCTTTGCCATAGAAGATACATATGTGATTAAAAACACAAGGTAAAATTTTGTTGATCAACAACATCTCGCCCATAATTGTCTTAGAGAAACTAAGCCGCCATATTTAACTGTTTTTTGACAAGTTAACTATGCTCCATAGCATAGTTAAATTTAACTACCTTTTATTACCCTCAACTACCTTTAATAACTGCAGTTAGGCTAACTACTTTTTTATACAACCGACTTAACAGCATGGTTAAATTTAACTACTTTTTAAATGCAAAAAGTGCAGTTAAAAAGTAGTTAAGAGCTTTATACAACCGGCCCAGGTGTAAGGAATTGTTGTTGCATAATTCTTTATCCAATTACCACTGATATTTTTGTTGGCTCTTTTTCGTCGGCAAAACTTGGGATGTTTACAACAATGACGAAAGTAGTACACCGTCCATAAAGCTTTTATTCTAAAAGCCTTTGCCATAGAAGATACATATGTGATTAAAAACTCAAGGTAAAACTTTGTTGATCAACAACATCTCGCCAATAATTGTGTTTGAGAAACTAAGCTGCCATATTTAACTGTTTTTTGACAAGTTAACTATGCTCCATAGCATAGTTAAATTTAACTACCTTTTATTACCTTTAACTACCTTTAATAACTGCAGTTAGCGCTAAATACTTTTTTATACAACCGACTTAACAGCGTGGTTCAATGTAACTACTTTTTAAGTGCAAAAAGTGCAGTTAAAAAGTAGTTAAGAGCTTTTTACAACCGGCCCCTGGTGTAAGGAATTGTTGTTGCATAATTCTTTATCCAATTACCACTGATATTTTTGTTGGCTCTTTTTCGTCGGCAAAACTTGGGATGTTACAACAATGACGAATGTAGTACACCGTCCATAAAGCTTTTATTCTAAAAGCCTTTGCCATAGAAGATACATATGTGATTAAAAACTCAAGGTAAAACTTTGTTGATCAACAACATCTCGCCCATAATTGTGTTTGAGAAACTAAGCTGCCATATTTAACTGTTTTTTTGACAAGTTAACTATGCTCCATAGCATAGTTAAATTTAACTACCTTTTATTACCTTTAACTACCTTTAATAACTGCAGTTAGCGCTAAATACTTTTTTATACAACCGACTTAGCAGCGTGGTTAAATGTAACTACTTTTTAAATGCAAAAAGTGCAGTTAAAAAGTAATTAAGAGCTTTATACAACCGGCCCCAGCCAAACAATTGGGCTGAAAAAGCTAGATATGTCACCAATAGAATTACACCATGAAGATTTATGTAAACGTTATTTCCAGACAATTGAAACAAATGAACGCCATAAATTAAGAAATTTACTGCCAAACAAAAATAACTGTAAATATAGCCTGAGAAGTAAACATAAATATATAGTTCCGCTTGCTCGCACCAACAGAGCGAAGAACTCGTTCATCCTGTCCTTGTGTACATAAAGTTACACAAAGTGGCTAGGTATGGAGTTTTCTTTGTCTCTGTTGGTGTTAGCAAGTACCATTTTTAGATACTTATTTTTAGATTTTTAGATACTTATTTTTAGATACTTATTTGCTATTAAAATTTTACTAATGTAGATATTTGCAATTCAGCCGCAAGGCTGCAATTAATATTTTAATAAACTACCTACCTACCTAAAAAAAAACAAAACTTGCATTGTAAAATATGTTATCAAAAACAAACTGTATTCAGTCAGTTACTATGATAAGGATTAGCAAAAAACTCAATAAAGTTTCATTTGACAGATAAACCTTCACACAAATTAATCAGGTTCCTTCTCTCCCAACATATTTCTGTCTGGTAGACCATATTGGGTTATCTCGACATGGTCTTGGAGGAGCAAACCATTGTGGATTATGTTTCCAAGCCATGTAATTAACATTTATTTGATGTACACAATGATATGATGTTGGAGGTATCACATATTGCTTTACTTTGTCTTCTTTCTCATAAATTTGCCAATACAATCGCATTTGAGCAGGATAACTTTGATGCAACCCTAGCAATGAATGACAAATTTCTTTTCTCAACTTCACAACTTCATCTGAACTAAATTGCTGGGATGTTGATCTCATATGAACAAGCCTTGCATTGTCCGAAAATGTCGTAAGGTTTGTAATTTTCTTCAACCAGAAACCTATTGATTGACCCTCCCAAGGATTACACATCAAATTCTGTCTCCTTCTTAAAAAGGACTGTACAATATCAAATGTAACAAGAAAGAAAGACTCATCAAGCCAAGTTGCATCTGAAATGAATAAATATTATTTTAGTGGTGTTACTATTGAGAAAACGTGTTTATACTGCATGAGTTGATAACCAAAAATTTGAAGTTTGGATTTTACGCAATATTTTTTATAAACTCTACCTGGTAGCTCACAATGCAACCATCCCCACTGAAAGGTTTGTTTAGGTCTTTGACCACTTGCCAATTCATACATCAACTTATTTAAACAAATGAAATAATCGTCATCTATTCGTAAAAATATTTGAAACTGTAATGATTATTGACCCAGTCAAGAATCCACAATAACTGTAAACCAAAGTTCACTCCACCTGGAGCTTGGCTAAGAACAAGATCTCGGTATGTTTTAATCTCATTTTCAATTTCTTTCTTTCTTTACCGTGAGTTACTTTGCCTAGAGAATCTCTACCATCAGTAAAATATTTACAAACAACATCTGAGCGTTTACTACATTCTTTGATCCACGTCTCTCGTCCTGCAGTTCGTCGATCTTCGTGATACGGAGCACTTATGATGGTAACAAATAATAACAGTTCTTTCTTATCAAAAGAAGTGGTGGGCTCTCTTTTTGTGATGAGATTAAGCGGAGTGCTTAAATTGGATCCTGTCTCATTGATCGTCTTTCCAGTTGCTCCTATTTCATTTGAAATATCTTGTTGAACAAAACGAAATTTCGTTATCTTTGTTATATTGTAGGCAATGAAAATTTTAATTGCAACCATGCATACACCAAAGAAAGCAACTTTGGATCTATTCATTGTACTTTATGCGGCAAATGGAGAATGACGATAAAGAACTTTACTACTTACATTTATCCTGGCAACGCTAACAAATGCGGCTTACCCAATCGCTGTTTAATTATATTGTACGTACCCCATTGTCTGCAGTGGCGTGCGGTCATGCAAGGGTAGGCAAGCGCCGCTTGCCTAAGCATTTTACCGAACAAAAATTTTTTGGATCAATCTCTGAGCAAAATCAGTTTAAATTTTTCTGTTCTAAACAATGTCAATGTAATCTTTTGTCTAAATTGTCTTTACAGTTGAAATGCTTGCTATTTATACGCGATTTACTGTCGTGGTTTTCGGTTTCACTTTGCTACACTTGTAAGGGGGTGTTTACATGAATCCGGAATGACTTTCAATCCCGATCGAAACGTGATGTCAATCCGTGTTTACATGAAACTAATTGTTGTTTTTCTTCGCACTCATTTTAACCCATTTAGCCTCTTTATTTGCTTACGAGCTTCAATTTGCCGGAAGACAATACCCATGGCACATGCGTGCTTCGTCATTAATCACAATATCATTCCAGAATGAAACTCAATTCGCGTTTACATGAGATAACAAGTAAATTTCGATCCGGAATGAAATTTCGATCCGGAATGAAACTAGGAATGAACTCGATCCGGATCGAGTTGTGACTCATTCCGGATTCATGTCCTCAGTTTGTAACACACCGTGCCAATTTTGTTCGCGAAACTGGCTGTTCTTAATTGTTATAATCACGACTGCTACAATACATTTCGCGCTTATTGTCTTGCAATTTATGTATGTAGAAGATATTATCTGTAGCATGTAATACAAGATTATGATATTGACAAGAGCTTCCTTTTGCGTAGTAGTTTTGATATTTGTATCCGGTAGATATCATGTAACTGATGTAAGGTATAAATAAGATTGATGTTCCTATAAAATATATAGCATAGGAATTTTCATCCTTTTATGTTCCACTTCTACATTCGGTATTTCCGCGAACCTCACCCCCAGCGCTTGCCTATTAAATTCGGTCACCGCACGCCACTGATTGTCTGTAAACTGCCGTTTGTACACAATGAAACCATTTTAAGGCCCATCTCCACTAGACGATTTTTGTGACGATCGTCTTAAATTTTCGCGACGACACATGCGCAGAGGCAAAAAGCTTTTCGTTCGGACGAAATTTTTGACGATTTTGATTCTGACGAAAAGTTTAAACTGTTTTAACTTTTCGTCAAGCGCTTTACGATCGTCAAAATTTTAGCCAATCAAATATCAGAGATGAGCAAACACTGCACATGGCCAACCTAGCAGTTCATATTAATGATTTCAACATGGCTACTAGTAACGAAGAAACAACAGAAGTTGAGTTAATTATTACAGAGCTTCCACACTCATCAGAAGTAGACAGTCAGTCTCAAAAGTCCAATTTTTCTGTGGAAGGCAATACCTTTGACAAAGAAATGTTTCTCCAAGCATTAAGAGAATATAAATGCTTGTGGGATACCAGTGATCCCAATTACAAAAATCGTAATATGAAAGTGAATGCATGGAATGCATTGTCATCGTTGTTTAATCAAGAAGGTACGAGTTTCTTCCATTTTTACAGTTTTCCTTTGCCTATTTACATGCCAAAATCAAACTATATCCTACTACAAAAATACTTCTAGGATTGTAATTGTTACACATGAAAATGGAGGGTTGTCAATGAACTGTGTTGATGTTTGGTGTCTGCATGAAACCAAAAAATTTCCTTTGGGTCTGTATGCTGTGAGTCCAAAATGAATCCCTAGTCTAACTTACACAGTTCTTTTCTGCCAGCCTTTCTGAGTTGTGGCCTATTTCAACTTTTTTTTCATTCGAGACAACATATATTTTTATTCTAGTTGATTCAAGTCTTTTTCATATGTGTTTGATGACATTTGGTAATTTGTTTTTGAATTTTTACTTTTTAGTGGCATTCCTACAGAAAATTTATAAAAATCTAAAAGATTCTTTAAAGAAATGCCTGGACAAAAGAAGGGCCATGACCAGATCAGGTGCTCCTGCAGGATGTCTACCTACATGCAAATATTTTGAATTGATGCGTTTTCTTCATGAGAAAACTTCCAATTTGCCAACTCATAGCAATGTTGACATATCACCTGCAGCATCCAGCCATGTAATTGAAACTGGTAATTTTGAGGATCAATCAGATGCTTTTTCCCCTGCTATATCAACTTCTTCCACATCACCATTTCAACCGATAGCTTGCTCTATGTCACCATTATCGGTACCTGCAAGTCCGTGTACTCTAACAACACCGACACCTGAAAGACCTATTGATGAAAATACTTCAAAAAAGCGTAAAAGACCTTCATCTGAAAAGTGCTTATGACCCATTTTGCAACAAATCAAGCAAATGGATGATCAACTAATCAAAATTGTTAACAAAGAGTCTATGGATGATGAGGCTACAGCATTTTGCATGAGTCTTGTACCTGTGCTGAAAGACTTTGATAAAAAAGCTAAGATTAGCAAAAATTAAAATTCAACAACTTTTATTTGACATAGAATTTGATGATCAATGAGATAAAATATGCATTCAGTTTTTAACAATATAACAATTTTGGTATTTACATATTCTTAAGATTTTTCCTTTTTTAAACATGAATTTTATTTCTGTGTTGGTGACCTCAAAACAAGCATCATAGGTCTGACAAATTTGTTTGAAAATAATATTTCACATGTGGTGGGAATCATGAGAATTCATTACATAATAAAAGTGATTAAACATTGCTTTGAATTGATTACAATTTACCTTGAACTTTTCTTGGGTTTGAAAACTCAATTTACTAAACTCATTTTAACATTTTGATGAATTCTCTTTTCTCATCATATATAAAACCTGTATGCTTACATAAATAGACTATATAGAATATTGTTAATTAATGAATAACATTGTATATGTGATAATTGATATTCTGTTGCTTAGCCAAATAATGACATTCCTGTAAAGCTTAACAATTATCTACATTTTATGTTATTCATTAGTTGTTTCCAAGTCCTATTAAAAAACGAGAATCAATTTATTTTGCTTTGCCTATTTTGTCCCATTGCCAGTCAACAGCACCCTCATTGTTGAAATAATGTTCAAACTGTTCTCTAACCCATTTAGCTTCCCCACCATAATTTCTTGAAGCCCCAACATTTTGAATAGAAGCTATACCATTCATAATATTTGCATCTTGTCTCCATTCACCAAGGTGCAGTCCATTTGGCCCATCCTGGTCAACAAATGTACTTGGGCAATAGTGACTTGTCAGTTTCATTTATAGTCATCAGGAAGTTGTGCAGTGCAACCACTGCTTTTGTTATTGCAATAACCTTGGGTACTTTTGCAATGATTGGCCTGTGGAAAACACGAAAACGACTAGCACAAATGCCAAATGTGTTTTCAATTACCCTCCTTGCACGACTGAGCCTATAATTGAAAACTAGCTTACTTTCTGAAAGATTGGAGAATGGATATGGCTTCATCATATGTCTTTTTAGACCAAAAGCATCATCTCCAACAAAAACATACGGTAAAACCTTATTAGAATTGGAAATTTGACAATCAGGTGGAGTGTTCAGGAGTTTATTTTCTATAGCATAACCTAAATTGCTGTTAGCATAAACACTTCCATCACTTTGCCGTCCACTATCACCTATATCAACCATAGTAAACTTGTACCGAGCATCACATACTGCCATGAGCACAATACTGTGAGTCTTTTATAATTAAAGAAAGCGGATGACTGATTATCAGGAGCAAACATCAACACATGTTTGCCATCAATTGCGCCAAGTGCATTCGGAAAATTCCATCGAGCTTCGAATTCATTGGCAATTTTCTCCATGCTTCAACTCCAGAAGGTGTGTCAATATATCCTGCTTCCTTCAGTCTATTCCAAATTGAATTGCACGTTTCATCGATTATTCTGCCAACAGTTGTGGCACTCATTCTATAATTAGCGCCAATAGTTGAATAGGCATCACCGGTGGTTAAATATCGTAGTGTCACTGCAAGTCTTTGGTCAGGTCCAATAGGTTTTTTGGAAACATACGAAAGTATCTAAAGAACATTTCATGGTCGTGGAGTCGCATATCATTTATCAATAGCTTATATTCTCCTTTCACATTTCTTTCTTCGTACAGCTTTCTTATCCAAAATCGACGTTTCCTTTTTCTTGTTTTGGTGTTCTCCCTGAGCATTTTTTGGTGAAGATTGTAAAGAAATAAATATCTTCTACGAAGCAGCAAATATAGAATATATCTTTTATTTATAGACGCCATTTTGTTTATTGGAAAACACCGCGAAATAATCGTCTAGTGGAGATGACTAACAAAATCGTCCTATAATTCGTGTTCGAAATATTGTCGCGAAAATTTAAGACGATCGTCACAAAAATCGTCTAGTGGAGATGCGCCTTAAAGGCTGAAACACACTTGGCAGTCGCTTTAGTCGCGCGTCAAACGCGTTTGATATTTGACTCATCTGTCACGAATGACAAATGTTGTTCAAAACTTCCGCGCGCACTAGGAAATTTTGTCGATCGCACTTGTCACGAACAGTGAACGTGACATTTGAATGACTTGGTTATTTAAATGTTGAGTTCACTGCATCTGATCATTGAGCTCTATAAAACCTGGAGGGGCAAAGGGGCCTGGACCCCGCAGTGAACTCCATATATATATGGTTAGCACTATTTTCCACCCTGCAAACCGCCCTTTACTTTACACAATCGGAAATAAATTAAAGATGGCGGCTAATGGGAAAGAACCAAAACCTAAAAGGAAACCATGCATGCACTGGTGCTAGGTCGTTTTGAGATGGCGAGTAATTTTATATTTTTATAATACAGTTTTTAATATCAACATATGAAAATATTTACAGATAAATGTTGCAGTACAAATTTTCATGCAACCACCTTAAGTTATAAACTTATAATCCAGGCTGGAAAATATGTCGTTTTTCGACGATTGTGTAAAATATTATATAAAATATTATATTGTGTGAAATATTA